TGGTGATGTTATCTTTACTGCTGGTGGTTCTGGTGGTAGTCGAATCATCTCATCGGTGTCACAAGTTGCTATCTACAATCTCTGGCTTGGAAAAAGTATTCGAGATTCTGTCGACATGCCTCGCTTGCATCAACAGCTTATTCCAATGGAACTCGAACTCGAAAAGCGTTTTCCCGTGGTAGGCGAGAAAAGAAAACATCTCGGCTGTGTGATTGTGTTCTGCTTTTCTATCTAGAATGTCGTTCACGGTCTGTTGGGGAAAGGTCATACAATATCTGGCTTTCGTGGTGGATGTGTGGTGCAAGCAATTGAACGTCGTCACGCAAACGAATTATGGGCAGTAAGTGATGCTCGAAAGGGTGGCGCGCCTGATGGGGTTGGCTATACAAATTTGTCAAAAAGATTAAATAATTGGATGCGGCGAACATTCAATCTGAGCAAGGCACGTCGGCTACTTCAACAAGAAATCGAAAAAGGGAAATTATTAACACCAAAATAAAAAATACTCCTTCTTTGTTCTTATCATACCCGCATATAGACAGATGATAGATTTATTTTGAAAACTGCGCTTGTTCAGTTTCTTTCTTTTTATTCTAAGTTATGGTGTGTGTGTGTGTGTGTATCCTAAAAAATGTTTTATGGAAAGGATCAAATAAGAAAAAACTGGTATCAATAAAGTCCATTATTTTGCTTTTTGAAAAAGCTCATCCGCCTTTTTCCAATTTGCAATTTGAAAAATTGCTTTGACATAGTCAGCACGAACATTCTTATATTGAAGATAATAAGCATGTTCCCACACATCAATACCAAAGATAGGTAAGAGACCTTAAATAAACACGCGAAACACAAAACAAACATAAAATCATTTTTCACAACATCTCTTACCGGTTGTGGCTTGTAAAGGATCTTGGTTGGAACAAGTTGCAACTTGTAAACGTTGTTCTTGTTTGTTAAAGCCCAGCCAACCCCAACCACTGCCTTGTACGCCAACACTTGCATTTGATAATTGTGTTACCATTTTATCGAACGAACCAAAATCTTTCTTGATTTGATCAGCAAGAGCACCGCTTGGTTGATTACCTCCTTCTTTTGGACAAAGAACTTGCCAGAATATTGAATGATTTAGATGACCACCTCCATTGAAACGGATCGCTGGTTGAAGGTGAATCATTGTGTTAAGATCATCTTAAACGAAAGAGTTTTTTTATGTAAAAAAACGAAGGAAACTGTTGATCAATACTTTTAGCTTTGGCATCATTGTATTTTTCTTCAGCTACATTGAGGTTATTAACATATGTAGCGTGATGTTTTTGATGATGAAGTTTCATAATTTCACCAGATATAATTGGTTCCAAAGCATTGTAGTCATATGGGAGATCAGGTAACGTATGTTTGGAACATCGTGACAAAGCTGGAACTAAACTAAATCAATACATCGATAAAATAGATGTGTCAGAAGAAGAATTTGGAAGAATTCCTTACGTTCGAGGAGCTAATTTAATGATAGTTTGCATGATGAATTTGATTCAGTAAATCTACAAAGATATATTAATAAAACCGAACTCAGTGAACTACCTATGCGAATATATGAAATCAACAAAGAAGGAATAGAATGGTTGGTTTGGTGTCTTGTATATAGACGATAGCATTGGACAGAAGATGACTCAGATTTCATTCTAGTGACAGATGTCATTATCTGCCGTTGACGAAAAAAAAAGAACTGTTTTCATAAGAGTAGCAACAGCTGGTTTTTATTCATCAAGGATTCATTGATACAGAGAATGAATGTTAAAAATAAACTTTCTCTTGCAATTTCGAAAGTAAAGAATATTACTGTTTGAATAAAACACAATTATTTATTCTTCATAATAGTTTTTTGATGTTTTGAAATAAAGCCAATAATGAACATTTCCGATAGTTTGTTCTATCCTAGTTGAAAGCTGTTGATGATTATCAAACTACTCATCGAAGCGAACAGAACAGTGTTCTTCTTCCTGTTAGATCGAGCAAACTTGTTAATACTTCTCGTTCACTCTCTTTTGTTATTCTAATATATACGAAAGACATGCACATTAGAGACATCTGTGATGGAGATGTCGATGAAAAAGATTCTCGATGGAAACGGAAATTGTTTGAAAAAAGAATATATTTTTTCTCGATGAATTTTCTTCGACAAAAATTAGTTTCATTCGTCGGAAAAAAATTCAAATGATTCATCTGTCTGTCAATGATTTTCATTGAAAGAAAGAATGATGTTGGATGAGTATCGGAAACAGGCATCGTTCTCTATTGAACGTATGAAAAACATTTTCGAAGATGAATCATCCCAGACTTACCGAGTATGAAACACACATTTTCTCGTTGTTGTCAAATCTCTCATATTTTTCCAGGAAAAACTTTGGTCAATACTCAACTCTCAATCGATATTCCACCAGTCAAAACAGCCATTAACCATCGATGAATACAAACGATTGACTTACCTTCGTTGTAAGGAATTAATACGATTGAATTTGTTGACCGACGATGAGTTGTATGAAAATCCCCGTCGGAAAATTATACTCGAACAATGTTTAGCGATGTATGATTCGTCATGTCATGCAAAATATTCACTCCATACAACTGTATTTTGTGAAACGATACGTAAGTTAGGTACGCAAAGACATGCGTATCTACTCGATTTGGAAAAGAGTGAAAAAGTAAGACGAAAATCCTCGTGTAAATGCGCACGAAAGATGTTTTTGAATAGATTTTTGGATGTTTTGCCCTGACGGAATTATCTCATGGAAGTAATACGAAAGAAATGAGAACTATCGCTGTTTATGATCCACAAACACAAGTAAGTAGGAAAATTAATGAATGAACGTCGTTTATTTATCGATTTTTCTAGGAATTTGTTTTAAATACACCGGATATTGAAGCAATGAAATTCTGGATAGGGTAATTTGAATTCCGAAGTTATATGGAATATAAATCATTGTTTAGAAATTTGGGCTATCATGCAACACATGCGATTGTTTACGCTCAACTTTATACGAAGAACGTGTGTCACGGTCTTCATTTATTTATTGTACCAGTTCGGTAGGAGATTTGCTTTTCGTAGTGCATAGATGTTTATTTTAATTTGTCTGGAAGTGATCCGTTGACGTATAAAACATTCGATGGTGTGAAAGTTGGAGATATTGGTGCAAAATGTGGATGGAATGGTTTAGACAACGGGTATGCATGAAAATTCGTTAGATTTCACATGAAAAGAATTGAAATTTATTGCAGATTTTTAATCTTACGAAATTATCGAATACCAAGAGAAAATTTATTGAATAAACATGGTGATGTATTACCTGATGGCACTTATCAAACTCACTTCAAAGTAAGATCTGACCTTTTGCGAAGAGATCATAATGCGTATGTTATTGTAGTCATCGAACAAACGATTTGGCGCAAGTCTCGGTGCTCTCTCGTCAGGTCGTGTTGGTATTTCTAGTTTAGCGATTGGGCTACTAATCAAATGTATAACAATCGCTGTTCGATACTCATGCGTGCGAAAACAATTCGGACCGTCGTCTGGAATCGAACTACCGATCATTGAATATCAAACACAAGTAAATCAAAAACGTTGATACCACTTACGAAACATTTGCTTTTTTTTCTTCGTAGAATTGGCGTTTAGTACCAATAGTCGCATCACTTTATATCTATCGATATTTAGCCGTATCTGTTTTCGACAATTTAACCGAATTCTATGCACTGTCCATGTCTTCGGATGAAAGTGATCGAGATCTATTGAGCGACATGGGAAGAGAAATTCATGCATTGTCATGTACAGCGAAAGCTTTGTGTACATGGAATACTCAGAAAGCAGTTCAAGAATGCCGAGAAGCATGTGGCGGTCATGGATATTTGTATGGTAAATAAACAACGAGGAAAATCGTTAGAGTAGTTGGGGATAACGATTGTACTTTCTAGCAAGTGGTTTTGGTGTCATACGTGATGACAACGATCCATCGTGTACGTTCGAAGGAGACAATAATGTATTATTACAACAAGGAGCGAATTATATTCTCGCGGTATACGAAGATATTCATCGAAAGAGTAAGGATTTTGTTTAGAATGAAAAATGCATTAATTCTTGTTGGATTTAGATCTCGTATCGAATTCTCCTTTTCATAGCGTTGATTTCATCGAAGACTTGAAAAAGATTCTCGAAAAAAATCAATGTTCAATAACATCGGAATGTTATATCCAAGGTAATTTCATCACTGAACATTCACCGTAAACAAATTCGAATCTATCAGATCTACTTGGTGCATTCGATTGGTTATTATGCTACGCAATTGATAAATCGATTCGAAAACTCGAACGTTTATCATTAATGAAGAATCTCTCAACTTTTGATGTGAAAAATACTACACAAGTTTATCATCTTCGAACAGTATCAATTCTTTACATTCAAGTAAATTATCACTATTTCGAGAAAAAGAAGACGAAAAATACTTCATTGTAGCGCACTGCCATTGAACGTTTTGCCAAATTTCTTCGCGAATCAGCTGGCATTGACGAGCCATGTAAAACTGTCTTGGAGAAACTGTTGCTCGTACATATTTTAAAACTATTCGAGGAACATTTAGCGATTCTATTCGAAGGGAATTATATTCGAAACACGCATGTAAACCAATGGATGCAAACACGTCTATTACAATTATGTGATGAGCTGCGCAATGAAATCGTTGTGTTGGTGGATGTCTTTGCTCCACCTGACTACATTCTCAATTCAGTTTTAGGAAATAGCGATGGCCGAGTATATGAAGCAATCAGTCAGATGATTCATAGTAATAAGACTACATTTGAAATTCCATCGTGGATAAAGAGAGATTTAATCGAAAAAAGCAAACTTTGAGTTGATTGGTTTTAATCAAACAAAAAGACATTTTCTTTTTATTTGAAAATTGCTCTTGTTCTTTTTTTCTAGATTTGTATTTCTCCTTCTCCAGTTCCTTGAAATCATGGGTGAAACCAAAGAAATCGAAAGGTAAGTTAAGTAATTGATTTATCTGGAAACAATTTTGACATACTTTTCATGATACGGTCGGTTAAGAGTACACATCGAGTGACCCGCTCTCGTTCAGATTTCGTGATTCGTTGTCTAATTTCACTTTTTTCCCTTTAATAGTCATATGAAAATCGATGTAATTTTCAGCGAGACGAAAGTTGTTATTTCATCGAGCGTTAAACGTGTTAAAAAAACGTTTCTCATATGAAATTTAACTTTTTTTTCTCACGTCCATTATGCACTATCGACGTCAAAGTACATGTCAAGCTTCATTAAAAACCGTATTTTCTAACACATCTTTTACGCTCGAAAAAGTAACATTTCAACTTGTCAAATCGGTCGGTTCACAACGCATTCGACGTGCTTTGCCCAAACGGCAATAGATTTTCAGAAAGAATAAAGCCAAGATTACGAAAGATAAAGAAAATAAAACATCTGATTCATCGTTATTTTCATGTCATAAGATATTGAAATTTGTATATCAGTTCCATTATCTAAAAAAAAACAATATTGCTGATTTAGATCAGTGCAGATGCGCCTATATGCTTTACACAAACGGCAGTTTGTCGCCGTATTTGTACTGTTCTTTATTTGTTTGTTCGTTGCCATTCTCATCGGCATTATTGGTCCATCGGTCATTCAAACAACAGTCTATAAATCTGAAACGCCGACCAAAGCATTAGTAAAAATAATTGACAAAAACGATAGGAAGTATTCCGATAGTGTTCATTTTCTGCTAGTCGACACCATACGAATTGCAATCGGACTATCTCGATAAATTCCATCAACGTCTTTGGTTAACGATGAAATCATCAACTGATATAAGTGGTAGGTGTGATCCTCTGTTTGAAATGAATATCGAAATCTGCTTTTCTTCATCTTTGTCTAGAAGAGTTTCGTAAAACGATTAACGTTAGTATATCAGTGAATGATCCATCAACGAATGCTCAAGTGTATGTTCGTCCACGAACAATTCATTGTCAAAGACAGGTAAGGAACGCGCACGAAAGATTAAATCAGAAATGCGATCGATTAAACTGATTTCTATCAGTTTCTAGTCAGATATATAGAAAACTTTTTTGGCGGTGTGAGAAGAACACGAAATTTCATATGCGTTTAGACATAAAATTTTAAAACATATTGCATTTTAATATTCGTTAATTTAATGCATATTCGCTTGTTATGAAACTATTTTGTCTAGTCGCGCATCTTTTTTTCTTTATGATAAAAAGAAATGATTTAAATTAACTTTAATTTCTTTCTTTGTGTGAAATCATCTTCGTTGCTCATATAACATTGAATATGTACATATACGAACGAATATGTATGTATATCATGCTCGCGTAATCTACCTAGAGGCGTATATTCTACTCATTTATTTCTCCTGTCTCATCAATCAAATTTGTGTATGTATATACGTGTTCATCATTGCTTGCTCACAACGCTCGCTCAAAGTCGTGTGAGCGTGTGCTCGCTCGAGCAAAGCACGTGTGAGAACTGCAATCGAAATCGATCAAATCGATCGCGCAACTGCAAGAACATCGTTCTAATTGGGAGCGAAGGGTGCCTCTTTTCATCCATCAATATCATCCATTCATATGCAAGGCTATGGTCGAAAAGCCGTTTCGATGCATTCAATTGTGTCCGTAAACCTTGATGTGCTCGAATGAGCAAGTTTGAATATGGATGCCCTTCGCTATCTGAATCCTTTTTTCTTTCGAACTCAATGCTACGAGACCGATCAGGGTCGAAGAGAAAAAAAGATAATGAAATAGTATAGGAGAAGGATGTTCATGGTCGTAAGCTCATTACTGATATAAATACACGGGTTTCTTATCAATCAGATTCACATTCAGGTGATAGTCTCTTGCCAATACGGTATACCCAACTCTTAAAGTTTCAGGTAAGACTATTAAAGTTTTGAAATTCAGTTTTTTCTCTGGTCCCTTTATTACTATGAACATTTGTTACTCTCACTCCCATTATGACCAGTAATATTACTAATATATAGAAGATAACAATCTTGCTTCGTCCATCTCCACGGTTGTTCATATGCATATATTGAGCAAAGGGAAAAGAAGAACAAGAGGCACAAAGAAAAAAAGAGAAGAAAAATCTTTCACCGTAACGATTCGGTTGCACAATTTCATGTTGTTGGTCACGGAGAGAAGAGAGAGAGAGAGAGACGCATAGAGCGAGAAAAGAATATTGAAGGCGAGTAGAGTCGTTGTCAAAAAAAGTTGCATCATATATACAAACAGAGAGACATCGGGAGTGTACAGTATTTTAGTCTTGCCTCATATTCTCGAACGTACACGCACACACACACCTTTATATATCACACAGAAATAGTTTTGGCGAACCCACACAGGCATGGGTCCATACAATCAATATTCACAACAATCGGGAACATATGCTTCCTCGACTAGACAACAAACAAATAATAGCAGCAGCGGAGTAACAGGCGGATACACACAAAATGGTAGTAGTACTGGTGGTGGTCATAAAAGCAATGGAAAAAGTTCAGGATCAACATCAAGCACAAGTTCGTCAAGCTCATACGATTACAAACGATATCCAGCTGGTTCGAACTCACAGAAATACGGCGGACCAGCAGCTGGCGGTGTAAGCGGTTATTATGAACAACAACAATTTAGCTCAGGTGCTGCTGTTGGAGCAGCTGGAGCTGCAGGTGGAGCAAATTATGCCGCTTATAGTGGTTATGGCGAATCTCAATGCGGTAGTGAAGGTGGTTATGATAATTCAGGTGATATGTATCTTCGTCGTCGTCAAGGCCGTATTCGTCGACAAGCTATTCGTTTACCAGATCAACCAGGTGCTGTGCGACAAGTTCGACATCGAATGCCTACACCAGAGCCCGACATTCTGGAACGCGTCTATATTCGTCGTCAACCAGGCGAAATTGTGGAAGAAATCATCGAGGAGCCAATGACACCGCCACCTCGTGTGCAAGAACGTACTGTTGTGGAACCATGTGGACCACCGCAAGTCGTACGTAAAGTCATTCGTGTGCCACCTCGTGGACAAGGATATCAACATCAACAACAAGACACACTCAATCAATATGGAAGCTCCAGTGGTGCGAATGCACCTGTCGCTGGCGGTGGTGCTTATGGAGCTGGCTATGGACAATCTGGACAAGCTTATAGTGGTACAAGTAGCTACAATCAATCGAGCAGTGCTATTGGCACGCAACAACCAGGACCACAAGGTTACGGACAAACTGGCTATGAACGATATCAAGGACCAGCACAAACACGCGGTGCTCAATATGGTTACAATGCACCAAATGCTCAAGGTATTGCTAGCACTGGCATGTATCCACCGCAACCAATTCCACCACAGCCAATTCCACCACCACCTGGTCTTCCACCCAATGCTTTCTGCTTTGAAACTGGTGGTCCGGGCGCTCCACCTCAAGCCCCACCAGCGCCATATCCACCTCAACCAGCTATTCCACCATTCGGCTCGGCTCTTCCGGGCTTCGGACCAGCTCCAGGCTATGGTGCTCCTCCAAGCTATGCGCCGCCACCAAGTTATGCTCCACCACCAAGTTATGCTCCACCTCCAAGCTTTGGTCCACTTCCAAGCTTTGGTCCAGCTCCTAGCTATGGCCCACCTCCTAGCTTTGCACCACCTCCTAGCTTTGCACCACCACCTAGCTTTGCACCACCACCCAGCTTTGCACCACCACCCAGCTTTGCACCACCCAGTTTCGGCGCAGCTCCAGGGTTTGGTGCTGTTCCTAGCTTTGCCGCGCCTCCAGCCTATGGCGGCGGTTTCGGCGGCGGACAACTAAGTAGTATTGCTAGCTATGGCGCAGGTACTAGCTTTGGCGGTGCTCCTTATGGTGCAACAGGTTTAGCAGGCTATGGTGCGAGTCCATTCTCTGGAGGTTTCAGCGGCGGCGCACTTGGCGGATTCGGCGGCGGTATTCCAAATGGATTAGGTTCATATGGTGCTCCCATCGGAGGAATCGGAGGTTTCGGTCAAGCTGCGCTACCATATGGCGGTAGTTTTGCTGGTGCTTCACCATTCGCTGGTGGAGGTTCATTCGGAGGTCTACCATATGGCGGTGGATCATTTGGAGGAGGCGCCTCATTTGGAGGCGGTCTTCCATTCGGTGGCGGCTCTTTTGGCGGTGCCAATCCATGTGCACCACCAATGCAAATGCCTTGTGCACCACCAATGCCACCACCAATGCCGTGTCTACCACCACCACCACCAATGCAAATGCCGTGCGCGCCACCAATGCCACCTCCAATGCCATGCTTGCCACCACCAATGCCAATGCCACCACCAATGCCATGCTTGCCACCACCAATGCCAATGCCACCTCCAATGCCATGCTTGCCACCACCAATGCCAATTCAACCACAGATGCCATGCTTGCCACCACCAATGCCAATTCAACCACAGATGCCATGCTTACCACCACCAATGCCAATGCTTCCAGCACCACAACAAGCGCCAATTATTCAACAGGTACCATGTCCAGTACCGGTACCCGTACCACAACAGATTCCATGTCCTGTTCCTGTACCAGTACCACAGCCACAACCGTGTCCTGTTCCAGTGCCTGTTCCAGTTCGGGAATGTGTACCAGTACCGTAAGTGCTAGTTTTCCATCACATGGCTTTTATTATTATTGTCTCTATATTCTTCTTAGACAACCATACCCTGTTCCTGTACCTGTACCAGTTCAATCGAGTCAAGTTCAAGTAAGACAGATTGATTTTTCGCGCTATGATCGAAACATTTACTTTATTCTATTTATAGCAAGTGCCTGTACCTGTTCCTCAACCATGTCCAGTGCCAGTTCCTGTGCCTGTCGAACGCGTTGTTTGTCAACCTGTGTAAGTAGCTCCATTATTATTACCAATGGAATTTACTGTCTCTCTTTTTATCTAGCTGTATACCTGTTCCACAGCCAGTACCACAGCCATATCCAGTACCAGTACCACAACCGTGTCCTGTACCTGTTCCAGTTCAATCAAGTCAAGTTCAAGTAAGATAGATTAGCTTTTTTTATTACTTATTACAAAATTCATCCATGTTTCATTGTAGCAAGTACCGGTACCTGTTCCACAGCCATGCCCAGTACCTGTTCCACAACCATGTCCAGTTCCAGTCCCTGTTCCTGGTCCTGTTCAATGTATACCTGTACCTGTGCCTGTGCCTGTACCTCAGCAACAACAACCACAATGCCTACCTCAAATGCAAATGCCAATGCAAATGCCATGCGCACCACCACCAATGCCAATGCAAATGCCAATGCCATGTGCACCACCTCCAATGCCAATGCAAATGCCGTGTGCACCACCTCCAATGCCAATGCAAATGCCGTGTGCACCACCACCAATGCCAATGCAAATGCCATGTGCACCACCACCAATGCCTATGGCACAACCAGCATGTCCAATTTCCAACCCCTGTGCCTCACTCGGTGGCGGGTACGTTGCAATCGTCTTTTAGTATCTAGCAGTGAATCTTGGTTGATTATTTTCAGATTGGGTGGATATGGCGGTATGTTCCCATCATTAGGAGCCAGTGGACTTCTCGGTGGAGGTCTAGGTGCATATGGGTAAATCAAATTAAATTTGACTCTATTTATACTTTCTAATGTTATTGCTGTTTTCTAGTGGAGGACTCGGCGGCCTCGGAGGATTTGGAGGCGGTTTAGGTGGCTTCGGAGGAGGCTTCGGAGGAGGCTTGGGAGGAGGCTTGGGAGGAGCTCCTATCTGTGGTGTACCTATTGGTTTCGGCGTGACAACAACCGTCGGCGGACTGAATCCATACACAGACGATATTTATGGCGGAGGAATTGGTTATGGAGCATCACTTGGTTATGGGCCAACTGGCGTTCCACCACCAGGTGTTGCTGGCGTTTCAGGTGCGTTCAATCGGGCATTACATCGTGGTCCCTATCGTCGACCATATTAACTTTAAGTTATCGATCGATTAACTACCCGAATGAAAAAACTTATGAAACAGACAGAACGACAAGAAGTGCCTACACCACTTGTCTAGAAAATAACACACTTAGATCCGTGAGCGTTGCAAACGACTCTTCTTTTCTCTTCTTTATAATTTATTTGAGGTCTTTCATTTACATCTCATTTTACACGCGTTTTGTACTGGCTCATTCTTCTTTTACATCATTTTATATCTTTTTACAATTTTTTTTCTTGTCATCGTCTTGTGTCTCCCACATTTTATCCGTATGTCTACGTATCTTTTGCCTCTCTCTGCATGTGAAAACGTTCAGATAGGTGTAATTTTTTTGTCCATATTTGTTTGTTGTATTGTGCAATCGTCGTTTCTCTCAAATCTTTTTCATTTTATTAAATAAATTCATATTCTACACCCTTCTCCTTTCCTTCTCCCTCGCTAACCCTCCCACTCACGCCCCTATTCACGCCATCCGCTTCGTTCATTTTTAAACTCATTTGCGCGTACGTCCCGTTCGTTTTCGTTCGCTTCTTATTTAAATGCATTTCACATGACGTAATCATACATTGCGCGCTTGAGAGTGGGACGTCCTCGTTCTAGTTCACTGAACAACTAAATAAGAATGTCAAAAGTGTGTATATGTGTGTCTGTGCGCGCGCGTAGATTTCATTCAATCTATAATTTTGCCTTCGATGGAAAATCAAGATTAATAGGCGCTCGGTCATTAGTTAATTAGCGCATGACAATGTCACCGAGTCGTCTACGCATCCTGACAAAATGTTAGAAATGCGCTTGATGTCAATGAAGAAATCATTAATGAAACGTGAAGGCTTCTAATTTTGTTTCACATATTTTCATTAACTTTGTTCGTGTAATTTTCTCGTTCTAGGCTTGTAATGAATTGATTTTGTTCCATTTGAATTTCCTTCATGAAAATAAGTATCAATTTAAAATCCAATTAAATGGAATTGACGAAACGAAAACCAAATCAATCCAATTTTCTGTTCGCGACCTTTTCTTCTCTTTTCACCTCCATTCAATTTACCGTGATCTTTTTTCTTCTAGTTGAATACATTCAATCCGAAATATACACAATTCGAATTGGCTTTCCGCTTTATTTTCTTGATCAGTTCAATTATAGCAACAGTAAGTCGTTTCGATCATTCAATCGCATAAGTTTCAATCGAATTCCAGTGTCTTTTCACCAAATCCATGCGGCGATTCTCCATTCTCGACTGGTCACTGGAACAACGATGGATGATTGTATTACTTATCTTTCTCGTTTTCTACAATAGTAAATGTGCACTTGATTGATTTCACCTGTTTTTCCTGTTCTCTTTCTTAGATCCATTTTATCCGTTAACATTTTTAACGGACAATTCTTTTCCAACCATTCTCGATGGTATTCTCCAAGCCAGTTTTCTGTGCACTCTTCTACTCTTCTGGCTTAGTGTTTATCACGGCATACGTCAAGTTAGACCATTTGATTGACATCGTCGAATTCTGTTTGTCTTCTATTTGATTTTTAGAATGTTCGTCGATTTCTTCCATTCTATTGTCCAAAGATATTTCTCGTTAGTCTTCTATGGATATTCTCTATTGTACTCTCGTCTGCTCGTATTGTACAAGAATTTCGTGATCCAATGTACAATCTCACTATTGATATTAAACAATTTACGGTAGGAGTCAACCTCCTTTGAAGAAAAGAGTTTTTTATTGCCTGTTTAGACATATCGAGTTATATTTTACATTGTGGGAATCTTCTACGTTCTTTATTTGCTCTTTTTAATCATTCGAGCATTTGGCGAACTTCGAAATATGCCCTATTTCGGTAGGTTTCCATGCGATGTGCGACCACTGAAATAATTATACTTGAATTTAGATGTTCGATTGAAATTTACAACAGTACTGATGTTATGTGTTGTTTCGATTTCGATAACGATCACAACGCTTCGATTCGGTTCAGGAATAATCGAAGAGAATTTCGTTCCAGAATTAGCGTCACGTTACAAAAATTCCGTCGAGTTCTTATCGTTCTATAGTTTAATTAATCTGTATTTGTATACGATGGCATATGTCTATTCTCCAGCAAAGAACGCAGCCATCGATTCGTTATTTCGGGATAATCCAACATTTTCAATGATAAACGATTCAGACGAAGATGTTGTCTACGGGTAAGCACAGATTGTTTTCGAACGAACATGACATGAAAGCCTTTTGTTTGTGTAGATCTGATCATGAAGCATCTCAATTGACACCTATAAGATAAACGAATCTGTTTGTTCTGTTTCAATGTTTTATTTATTCAATGGTGTGAGGTCTTTCAATAACGACAACTATGTGCATTAGATTGTTTTCTCTTTGTCTTCATTTACATTCTTAATCGAATACATATATGTCTCATTACTCCTAATCGTTGTTATGTAGTTCTAATTGTTCTGAATGAAGAAAGCAAATTTTCTCAATGGTTATTTGTGAACAATAAGTATTTTTATTTGTCGTGGGAAAAAGAAATAAATGTCACTGAACGAATCTCAATATAAATCTTCATTCTCGTTGTATTTAAATGAATCTGCACTTGTTCGATTCACATTGCTCGCCGAGATCAACAGCAATAAATAGTCCGGTGATTGTCTTATTAAGTAATGACATGGGCACATGTAGGGAAAAACGAAATTGATTCAAGGATGTTTCCATTATGTTGTCGCAGCTTCTTTGTGGTCGATATTATTAATATTTAATTTATGACACATATATGTTTGTTTATCAATAGGTGTTGAAGATTTTTTTATGAGATACGTGCCGATGTATATCGGGAGATGGTTGTCGCTCAGGTGAATTGACTCGTTGACCGATGATGAGATCGATATCCTTGATTTGTTTTCTTGTATGAGATGATGTACGTACTGGAATAGGAGAGTCAAATCGATATTCAGTCAGAGCTTGAACTTGTTTCATGGGACATTTGCGAGCGAACGGATACGATTTGGACAATGAAGGAAGAGAAATTTCATTTGCACGAACATATCGATTTGACTTCGGAAGCGTTTCGAAACGTATTGCATTGCCTTCGATACCCTTGAAGTCATTATTATCATTAGCGTCGGTTGATTGTCGCGTGATTACGTTTGTCAATGATGGAACGTTCGCGCTGACATTGAAATTCGTACTCATTGCTTGCTGTCGATGTCGATGATGTGTATCCGCCAGCGTGTCGATATTCAAAGCAGATTTCATACTCAGTCTGTAAGTCTGACGATCCAGTATCGAAGCGTGATTATGATTATCAATTAATTGATTGAATGCTACCAATGATGATTTATTTCGGCAAGGCAAACGAGTAATTGCTTTTGGCAAGGACAGATGAGTCATGGAATGTTGGACGCGTAAATGACGCTCATATCGAACTGACGGTGAGAAGTAGTTGAGTGTCATTTTCAATTATCTAAAACGAAACTTCTTCGTCACCGTATCGCGAATTAGTACATAAACACATTCGATCTTGAACGTCAAAAACACCGGCATATTGATGTTCCTTTTGCTGATAATTGAATAGAATTTATATTCATATTCAGCATCTCTATCTGAAGCGGGTAGTCCAGAGTTTCGAGAGGAAAAGAAGAAGGAGAAATAACAAACAGTATTTTTTTTTCTTCTTCTTTGACAAATGTTTCAAGTATATAAATATTTAAAATGCGTGTTAAGAAAAAGCAAGTTTTCATTTTGTTAATTTGGAAATATCGATAGAATGAAATTGACAATAAAAATAATTAGATGAGAAAATAATGTTCGTATATTTTTACTGCGATGAAACCTGATTTATGGGTGAAGATGGTGATTGTGTGTGAAAGAAAACATTTGAATTTACCTGATCATATCGATCAAGTGTGAGAAGATGCATTTTCACGAACCACGGCAAAATCTACCAACGAATAATTTTCTCCAAATCATGACTTCACACGTCTGATATGACTATTTTTGTCGGTATAAAACTGTCCTAAAGAGTAAACATAATTATACAATGAAGTTTTCTTTCAACATGAAATGGAATTACATACTGATCAGTATGCTTTCGATTGGAATATGTGGCCTGGTGATTGCTTCGACTGTGGTGCTATCGTTGATACCACTTTATACACCCCCAAGTGAAGGGGTTGTGTCAACAAAAGATAAGCTTTGTTTGATTGTCAGTTTAGGATGATTTTTGAACTATTTACGCAGGACACGGTCATTTCAATATAAATTCAACTATAATCGAGTAGCTAAACGTAGTTTATCCTCGGGTTTGGATCCGGTGGATGCATCCAGTTTTCAAGAATTAAATCATCTGGTTCGTGTTTGAAGAAAATGATTTAACAGCGGAATTCATTTTCTTTTGATTTAGATTCGGAGTATATTAACGAAGAGAACGCATGTGCCTATAAGTGTTGCTGCGAATGTTGAACAAGCTTTTCTGTAATTCTGATCTTTCATATTTGCGCATGTTAACAAATTCGTTTTATTTAGAGATGCCACGACAAATGTGTTATATGTCGGAGGATTCTACACGTTTTCGCTTTTCTGCAATACTAATTGTCAAGATCAAATACTCGATAGAACATTTGTTGATAATAGCACAACACAAAAGCTGCGTAATTTATCAATTACGAATTTAAACGAACAACTTCAACTTAGTATTCGTCAAAATATATACCATTTTGGCATAATAGACATGCAAATTGCTCCCGACTCTTCAGAAGGTATGATACAGATTTTCGTCTACTATTTGTTTTCTATTATGATATACTAGTGCCCATTGACTTAAGCTACGATACGGAAAATGCAGCAGCGAGCCGACGTCGACGACGAAGACGAGAGCTATCGTTACATGACTCAAATGATTCTCTAACTAATTTAGTAAGTGCTTTATTTTTTACAAGAACAAATCCTACCAATCAAATATATTCAAGGTCCAACAAACACTTTGGTTAACAGCAGACAGTCAAAATATTCCATTTGTCATTGCCAGTGTCAATTCATTATTATCAAGCAGTGTTTTGCAATTGAACGTTTCTGTAATACTTCAATATCCTTTCTATTGTGTGAATACTTGCTTAACAGACCACGTCGGTGCTTTGGTTTCTGACTTATCCAATCTCAGTAGAGTAGATAAACTGCAGTATCAATATAACAATAGTTGGTATCGAGTGATAATGCTGAAAACTATACCTAGTGAAAACTACGCTCTTGGTAAGTAGTTATAATCCGTCATTTCTATTCGATGTGTTTGATTCATCCTAGAATCTGAACGAATGTTCACCTATGAAATAAATGGTACTACTGGAAATACTTCAGCAATTGTCGCTGGCCCGATTAATGATGCAAACTCGTTGGACAGTATCAAGGCTGGCGTAAGTTAATGAAGTCATTTGAACAAAATACTTGTATATATATATTTATTGTCTAGTTGAACGCAACACTCAATTCTTCAATTGACTTCGTAGTTGTTGGCGCATCTTTCCGGCCAATAGACACGAGTCCATCAAACAAATTATTGGATTTATCTCTAAAGCGCGGATTGTCACGTCGAAAATATGGTCGATATCAACTGATCGTAATCATTCGATTTATCTTTCTGTCGCTATGTGATCGTCACTGTCAAAAACTTTTATTAACGCCGATATTTGATCATCGCGACATTCCGCCACCGCCAGCTATCATGATTCTGGGTATTAAATTTAAACTGCCGAAACCTATCATTGGTAATTTACTTATTTTTCTCCTTTCAAACAAAATCTAACAGCAATCTACATCTGTATTTAGAAATATGGTACAAGCCGTCTCCATCATTGACTACAAGTAGTAAGACTCAAAAAGCAAACTGACTTTTTCCATAAAATATCTGTTCGTATCGTTTTAGCTACGACAGTCACATCAGATAACACTCCAACAGAATCAATATCAACGGATGCAAATACGTTCACGGAAGAATCATCCACAAGTGACACAACGTCGCTCATCATAGACACGACAACGCAAACAGAAACAATATCAACGGATACAAATACGTTCACGGAAGAATCATCCACAAGTGACACAACGTCGCTCATCATAGACACGACAACGCAAACAGAAACTGCAACAACAAACATGCCAGACGGAACCTATTAAGCACCTTGTGGCTAAAAGACAATCATTCAAAAAGCGTTCTCGGCTTATTTAATCTTGAGCGCTTCGCATAAATTCAAATTAACGTACTAATCTAGAATTTATTTTGTAAAAAGCGCAAATCTCCTTTTAATATAAAACTAACTTATTTATCGCTCTAAATCTCATGAACAAATGTATGATTACGAAAAGAAGTTCCACATTTGGTAATCACTGATCAGATGCGAAGAGTTATGTGTTTAATGGGTTTATAGAACTCAGATAATAACTTGTCTATATTTCAGTCCATGAATTCAGAGTAGTACATCAACGTAATGTGGTTCCTTTTTTTGCTTAACTTTTCCGGATAGCTTTATTAAGAAATATCATCTTAGTGTGGCTGATTAGAAATACATATGAAAACTTTCTGTAAATGTGTTTCTTAGAGTATATTTCTATGTTTTCATTTGTTCTTTCACTTTTTTTATATTATTCTCTGTTCGAATAATGTCTGTATGTGTGGGTGGTAAAATCTTTCGACTAATTTCCAGCGATTTTTTATAATACTTCAAAGCTTCAGAGATGTTTCCGATGTCCTTGTGAAGGGCGCCTAGGTTGTTATATGTTAGTGCAATGTTGGGATGGTTAGGGGGTAAATTAGCCAGTTGCACTTCAAGAGTTTTGTTATAATATTCCAACGCTAAATCGGTTTGATCCAAACGATGGTATATCAGACCCATGCCATTATAGCTCGTAGCGAGAGCAGCACTGTCAATTTCAAGTGTTTTTTCGTGTATTTCAGTAGATTTTTTCATATTGAATAAAGCTTTGTCATACATGTTTTCTCTCCAATACACACATCCAATACGGCAGAAACATTCCGCTACTTTCACATGATTTTCTCCCAGCAGATGTCTTCGTATACTTAGGGCTTCTTGTAGATGCTCGAGACTTTCATCGTACTCGTCACACCAATACAACGCCCATCCAATTCCAGATTGAGCATCGCTCATTCCTAATCTAAATTCCTCTTGCATTCGTCGGTAGCACTTTTCCGCTTGTCGATCTTCACCCATTTCAAGTAAAATTTTTCCTAATGAATCCAAGTTTGTTTCATCTCCAATTTTATCTTTCATAAAAGAGAATGTCTCTTTTAAGTGATAATCATCTTCACTTGCTAATGAGATGTTCGCTATCCACATTCGATTCTTTTCATCTTCAATCACCTTTTGGATGCAGAACAAAGCGCCCAGCATAATCAGCACTTCATCTTCCTTTTGATAATAACTCATTTCTTTGATATCAGCAAATGCTTTCGTTTTCAAACGTGGATCGATTTCAATTTCAAACAAAATTCTCTGATACTCATCACTGATTGGAATCATGCGAATAAAATCTACAGCAGTCGCACGATTACGACTTGTTGAAAGGAAAGAATTCATCGATAAATATTCGCCGAGACTATTTCTCATCAGATTCAGTTCATCGTGACCGATTGCTTGTCCACGATACACACGGATGACAGTTCGAGTGTCACTTGTACGAATGAATTTTTCATGTCCATCTTTTAACTGTTTGGCGATATCCGTGATAAGAAACCGAAGCGGAAACAAAATGTCATAATCTTGCACTCGTAAAGCTTTGTTCATCATGCGATAAAAACATGCATTTCTCGTATACCACCATACTGCGTTATCACTTTTATAGTCCATCTGAAATTCTTCAATGATAGTCATTTCTTTTCGATTACCATTGTAATTTTTCTTACAAATATCGATTAATTCTTTTCGATCGGTTGATTTATGATGCATGCGAAGAAGAACTTCAATGAAAAGTTGAAACCACATGAATATGGCATTATGTGCTTCGAGTGATTTTGGACCGTTACTAATCACAGAAATCGATGCGCTATCTTCCACTTTATTTCTAGCTGCTTGATCTTGAGCAATCTTATTGACCAGTTCAGAACGTATAACAAATACTCCTTTTACCTAACAGATCATATAGGCAAGTTCGTTACTTCAGCTGATCAATGTTGAAACAATTACCTTCGAGTATTTGTTAGCCCATCGTTCGTTAGCTTCTTTGTTACTACAGAATACATAACATGCGGCAAGCTGTGGAAGAGAATGCAGTCGGGGAACGATGATCTGTCCTAACGAACCCGAAACAATCAAAACTACTTTTTCGTGTATAGTTTGTCGAATATACTCTTCACATTGATCACCATTATCAAATGTTTGAAGATAATTGATGACCTGTCGAAGTTCTTCCTGTGTCGTGCGATTGTCGTTTGTAGAATGTATATTTTGATCAAGCCATAAACAAGCAACTGATTCTAAATTTTGACTATGAATAGTACCGGCTGTCGATTTAGTCTGGACTGATGTTGAAGATGATGTCATTGACTTCGTCAACGGTTTTTTACTGGTAGCCATCTCAGAAAACGAATCTATTTTTCTAGCTGTGCGTTTGAATAGATTTTGGTTTGTAGTTTACGAATTCGTATGAGTTTTTTTTAATTGAAAAATGTCGTTTTTATAGACATATTTTTGCGTAGTAATAATAACCTGTTCTTTTCTTCCGTCTTGAAAACAAAAGCGTAGAAAGACATTTCTCTTCAACCCGTGAATGTCTTGCCACGGTAGCATAAAAATATAGTGAAAATAAAAGAAACGACTGTTCTTCAAATTTATCAAATATTTGCAAAGACGAGAGCGTATGAATTAGGTACTGTTTTTACTTGAAGTTGGAAAAAATTACACATTCACCATACTTTTTATTATTCGAGAAGAGAGCATTAGGTGTGCTTCTTGATGCTTTAAGAATTTCTTTTTATGTAAAGGTTACAAAGCTCCCTGCTTTGCTTTACTTCAATTTTCGCTATTCGAATTGTTCAGTTCGCATGTTTTTTATCATGATCGAGTCTATACTCAATAAGCACATGGAAACCAGATATTCCGATGGATTTCGAATACGATTGTTAGCTTTTGCGTATGTTTTAGAGAAGATAATAATATCTATTCTCCGTGCACCAACGATCAAGGTTAAATTTTATGGTAATTTGACACTTATGATTAAGAAAAAGAAACACCCACTGCTTTTTTATTTGTACTAAATCAACTATATATAAATATATCTTTGCAAAGACTAAAGATAAATCAATCTTCCACTCATCAATTCAGTTTTATCAAAGTATGGTTCGTCATCTTTTACTCACGTTCTTAGCTCTCTGCGTTTTATTCGCATCGATCAACGGTAAAAGTCAATGTTCTTGTTCATGTTGCAAAGGCAACCGATGTATCAAACAATATCTCGGCTCAATCCAAATGCCTACATGTTCTGCAACAAGTTGTAAGAATGCTTGTAAACTTCGTCATCCCAGCAAATGCGCCGGAACACCCGGATCAATCACTGCAACATGCACAAAAACCAAAACGCCTCATCGATCACCAGTGAATAAGATTAAACACAAACTACGACCATCACCGAAAAAATATATCAAAACCGCATACATATAAATCGAAATATATCAACGGACGAAGTGTAGCATAGAGTTTTTCATGTGATTTCTATTTAGTTTTTCTGTGAAATTGATTGAAAACTTACGAAAATAAAACCAATGTAGTAGCAGTTCATTCTGAAATATTTCGATTTTCATTCAATCGATAATTGATAATGATATTTCATACAACCAACAATGGTGAATGTTGTAGCCCTAAAGCTCAGTTTTTTGCCGAGGCTAATTTTACATTTATGAAGATTCTGTTTGTAGTTTTTACTCCTAAGGCAGCAAATCGAAAGAGTTGCTGTAATTCTAGGAGATATGATATCTTCTATTAAATGCAGTCGCCGTACCTAAATCAATATAATTAATGTTTATCTCTCACCGTTTTGCTTATTTTTAATCAAAAGCGTACTTAATCTTGGCAGATTGTTCGTTGCTTACGACATCTACAGAACAGTGATTCAGTTTTATACTCAAATCTATGAACGAGCGATAGTAAATCCTAATAGAATCGGAGTGAAAAGCGTCCATTCAACGAACTCCATTTGCTATAATCTCAAACTGATTCACAATCAGACGACGAGTGCTTCATTCACATTCGTCAGAACTTTTCGGCAACAGTTTATTAAAATTCAATTTATAATAATTCTACACAATTTAGATTAAAAAACGCACGCACTACTTCTTACAGATTAAATATGTTCTTGATAATTATCCATGCGCCTATAAGATATCGGGAAAGCTCGACGAGCCATGAAAATAGAACACATTCCAATTAATCTCTAGTACTCTTGATATTTGTTTTACATGAAACAGTCTAGTTTGTTTCTTAGCTCTCATAAACGGAGATATATCTAACAGTGACATAATTTATCTCGGAGAGAATTTTCTAGTCCCTGTCGGGTTAAGTGAAACACTTTGATTTACTAATTGCGAGCTGAGAATAAGACAGACAAAGTAATTCTTTTTGAAATAATCTCATATGATTTACGTAGAAAAATAGGTTTGAGATAAAAATGTCATTCAATGAAGAGTTTCATGACTAACGGATTACTACCAACTGGAAATAATTTGAGAGAAAAATAGCGTTGAAAATTCAAATAGTCACATCTCTGCTTTTCCTTTGAAGGCTACTGAAAAAGCTCGCTCATTCTATTCGTCTGTTTGTGATAAAAAAACTTATCTCCAGCATTTCTATTAGATTCAAATCTTTTTTGAAATAAACATTCCAACATCACTTTTACTTCAACGATGTCAACAGCAAGCTCAAGCTTTACTCTGATTTCTAAATATATCTCTATTTACGCCGGCACTCCGATTTTTATTTTAGGAGTCGCCGGCGGAGTGTGCAATCTTATTGTTTTCTTAAGCCTTCAAACATTTCGGCATAGCTCGTCGGCGATCTTTCTGACGGTGATGTCGTTTGTCAATATTGGCCAATTAGTCACGGGTTTATTGTCACGTATAATGATATCAGGCTTTGATATTGATTGGACGCGAACGTCGGAATTCTATTGCAAATTTCGGATTTTTTGTTTACAGTTCTGTGCATTATCATCGTACACATGTTTATGCCTAGCCACGATCAACCAATTCATGGCTACTTCGTTTCGCATTCGTTGGCAGCAATGCTTTGATGTCAGACGGGCGATCATTGCCTGTGGAATCTTTCTCATTATCTGGATTGCTCAAGGTATCCCAGCTATCGTGGCATTCAATTTAAGCTACAATACACAAACCAAAACAGTTAGCTGTACGATAACTGATGCAAGCTATTCACCATATTATTCCTACGTTTATTTACTTATTCTTCAAGGAGTTTTACACTTGGTCATTGATATCACGTTTGGATCGTTGGCTTATTGGAATGTTCGACAGATTCCTTATCGAACGGTGCCTCTCGTTCGACGGGAATTGGATAAACAACTGACAAGTATGGTACTCGTTCAAGTTGTTTATAAAACCGCTGTTGTCGTACCGTATGTCACCATCTTATTTATACTTTACACAGCCGATTTAAGTAAATTTGCTCTTTCAATTGTACAATTGAATTTCTTGAATTTCATCACCGGAATGATTTATTATTTAAACTTCGCGGTAAGATTGAAGAATGAGGTTTTCATTTCAATCAATATCGTTTCTTTTCTAGAGTCCATTTTATATTTACATGTGTGTGTCAAAACGATTTCGACAGCAGTTTGTCTACGTGGTATCAAGTATTTACTATCGAAAAGCAAAGCAACAACCTGCCGGGATCAATGAAGTCACTCCAGTCCAATGAGGATTAACAACAAGAAATGTTTGCTCCTACTGTGATCAACGGCGGATGTTTTCTGGACAATACTTCATAGAACACTGATTTGACGGTTAATTAATCACTGGCGACATGAAGTTTGCATTTGACATGCTTATTAGAAGAGGAAATTGTTCATTCAGTTTAAACGTCGCGAACAGTCGAATAGAATCTTGTTTATTTGATCGTGAAAGAAAAAAACAACGGAATTTGGCATTAATTAAAAGAATAAATTGGTTCTAATTCTTGTAGTTGAACGATATGTAGGTCATTATCGGCTTCGAGAGCTGATACAACTTTGAATTGACAGCCGGGTGATAAAAGAATTTGTTCTTTTGATGGATCGAAGGCGTGCCGAGTGATATCTTTGCCAGTCCGACAATGAATTGCTAAAAGTGTTCGTTTACCTGTCTTGCCGAAGTCTTCATCTTCTTCTAATGACTCGATCAGCCGCGCGCAGTTCGAAAATTGCCAGGCTGTGTAAATATTATTCGTAGGATAATTCTTTGTCAGATTTCCTGAAAATCCTTGGTGGACAATTCCCGAAATAGTTTTCAATTTCGAAAGTCCGTGGAAGAGCAATCGTAAATACAGAAACCATGGTGTGACCTTCTGTCTCTCTTCCGTGCGTAGAGCTTCATTTAAAATATACGAAAGCGAAGATTCGCGTGGAAACCATTCCATGGTAAAGACGGAAATCGATGCCGATTCATCGACTGTAAGACCATTCTCTGGATTTTGACAGTTCTGTTTGGCTGTCCACACCATTTGTTCGACTTCACCAACAATGCCTTTGAGAGGCTCAACGGCTTCTTCGAGGGTGCTAAACGGTAGTTTTTCGTAGCCATCAAGTATGCATGGTTTGGATGTTGCACCTAGAGGAAGATGTAAAATTCGCTCTGATGAATAGACTTCTTACCTGCAGCCGGTATCGGCGATGGTTTAGATTTAGATTTTGCTCGTAGTTCTTCCAAATCCGCCCCGATTCGATTCATCAACGGTCCTGATTCGACGAAGATATCCTTAATCTATCGGAAAAACGAAGTTTTCATTCAAAAGAAACGAAAATATCGGTGGTAAATCAATTAACCTTAGGATAATTTTTGGCCCATTCTGCATGGCGACTTTTATCCATACAATAAATATAGACTCCATCAATTTGCGCCCATGCATCAATCGCAGGTACAAGTTCCCGACTTAATCGGCCACTAGTGATAACTAACATATGTGATTGAGGTTCAGATTCGATAAATTGTAGACAATCTTTTTTATTATCGAAAACTTCAACATCGCGGAAAGTGTCAGTTAATTTTTTTTTTGTCTTGAGATTGTCTTCGCTGTTAATTTCTGAATCGAGCCAAAGTACCAAACACCTCATAGAACTCATCATTGTAATGTTTCTCTTCCGTTCGTGTTTCAGAATAACAATCGACACATGTAAGAAGCAAATAAGCACAAAAAATTCTTTTTTTTCTTCTTTACTCTGGTAGTTCTCTCATGTGAAGGCACAAATGTAAGAGAACGAACAACATCTTCGGATTGCACGGACATCTGTTTCGTTTTTTACTCTTTCTTTTCTTCCGACAATCGAAAAACATGAATGTTATGTAAAGTAAAATATCACCGATAACATCATTTCATTCGATTCTCTGCACGTAACTGAATAGAGACTGGACAAACTGCATTTTTGACAAATATCAGTCAGATTTGTGACGTCATCGTTTATTTTCTATACAATACGAACTGTGTATGCAACAAAATGAAAGGCATTGTCTTGTTCTCAATCAAACCGCCAGTCACATTACAGAATTTACTTTGTAAATGATCACATTTTCCATTTAGTTCTTTTCAATACTTATCACGATCTTCTCTCACATGAGTGTGTCAATAAGAACAGAAACCCATTTGAATAAAGACTTGCCGTGATGCTATTTCGTTGCATGAAAAATAAAATACTCGATAAAAATATTAATCGATAGTGATTATTCATCTAGTATATCAAGGTTTGCTTGCCACCTATTTCTACATTCACAAATACTTGTTGATCCTTCTGACTACAAAACTTCTGTCAATTTACCTTCGGTAAAAAGAAATATTCATAGTAAATAGATTTTTTTTCTTTCTTGAAACTTCCAGTATATAATATATACGTGTATGTTATTTTATTCATTCTCACGGTCGAGTATATTTTTTCGAATCTTTACCTCGAGGAATAGTTTGACAGACTAACGATGGCGCATTCGAATCAACGAACTGCTTATATCACAAATCAACCAACAACTGGCAATCCGTTCCAGCAAGCAACTAGCGAATGGTCAGCTGATTTATTCAGTTGTTTTGATAACGTTTCGGAATGTAAAATCGGACATATTTGATTGATATGGCCGATGGATCTACTTTCGGTTTATACTTATTAGGTTGTTATGCATATTGGTGCTTCTGTTGTTTCCTTGGAACGTTGGCAGATCGAATTGGTGAATCGAAGGTTTCATGTTGTTGTGTGCCAAATGTACTTGGTATTTATCGTATGAAAGTGCGATCGGTTTTACGAATTGAAGTAAGTTCTATAGAATAGAGTTATTAGAATAAAAGTGTAACTAAAATTGTCAATTAGGGTGATTCCTGTGGTGACTATATGACGACATCCTGTTGTCCTTTATGTGCTGCTTTACAAATGTCAAATGAATTGAATAATCGTGGTATTAATTAACGTTTTTGGTACTTGAGAAACAGAAAGTGATATTGCTTATCTTTATTATTCCAATAAATTTTACAGTAGCGAAAAAGGCGGAATGAGAACGCTTGGAAGTCATTGTTTAGATACGAAGACATGCCAATCGGCAGAGGGCATGTTGACCTTTACGATAAAGTGATCTAATTGTTATTTTTAGCTTCGCTCGCACATATTTTGCATAAATTCGGGACTTATTTTTGTTTTGGAGGAATTTCCGACAGGTAAAACCATGTCCGAAAAGTATTTTGATTCCTTCACTGTTGGCTGCTGATGAAACTAAGAAGTAATCAATGACGTCTGAATATGTCAGATTAATTCTAAGTCGGATATAGTTAATAGAAAGTCTATTTTCGATATACTGCGTGAACATGTCAAGCTGAAGACACGTATTGAGAATATTTAAGTAGAAGGTCGATCGCTTTTCTTCTACTAAATTGCCAGTCACAACACCGAGGGCATCAGTTACTCGATAAATTATTCGGATGTTGTAGAAAACGTGTTTGTACTATACAAATAGTAATCGAAAGATAAAGCACCGGGTAATCCTTGAAAAATTCATTAGAGTATTTTCGTCATTAACGATTCAGTATATAAATTTTCAAATAAAAATCATCCTTTGCCTTTGACAAGTCGTGTCAAGGCCATTTCATTCTAATATGAGTATGGATCCGTTTGACTACGTCTCCTCGTTAGTGAGAGCACCCTAAGTGCATCTATGGAATATGCATATAGTACGGAAATCAGTAGCAACATTGCGTGCATATCATTCTAAGTGCTATTTTATGGCTAGGATAATATAGGTTGATTTGAAATTAGCGGAAAGATTTGTCTTTTCAAAGATGATTTCCGTCTTTGAAATTATTTTTCTATTCATTAAAAATGTCGAACGCATGTTTTCTGGCTGCGTGAGACATAAAACTAAGCAGCACAGTCATGTTTTCATCTATCTTTTTTGTTTAGTCATCAAGGCACGAAATGCTTATGCATCTGACGTTTTCGTTAAGGGGACGTGAGCAGACAATGAAAATCGTGCCAATTCCGTATTTGTATGTTTTCAATTAAAAAATAGGACAACTGCGAATGATCGATGCGCCTAGTTTGTTTGTTTTGTTGACTTCAATAGAAAAAAAGATCTCTTTCATCGTTAGAGTTTCGCCCATGATTATGAATGCAATGGAATAAATAATGAATGTTCCCTTTTGAAGACAAGAATGCTAATTAAACAGAAATATGTCTTTCTCTATTTCCTTGTATTATTTCGACAAAGTCATTAGCATAGTATTCAAGTCAATCGAAAAAATGACCATACTCGAGCAAATCCAATGTAATGCAGTAGAACACGCTGTTACGAAAGAAATCCATTTATTTTGACGTTGAAGATCATTCTAGTTAAACTCATTCAACATTTCAAAGAATAGGTATACTTAAGCGTTCAAGTGAGATAATATTAATGCACTGAGTTAATAAAATGCATTAGTTGACGATGTGTTTTTTTCAAAGGAAATTTTTTGTGATTGTTTTCTACTGCTTCGCTACATGTCATAATCGTTGTTTCTTTTTTTCTTTATAGAATTGAGTAAATAGCTAAGTTTCGAAATGGTTTATTCAAGAAATGAAAGTAGCTTATACGAAGTGTTCGAAATGAACTTATCATACAAATTTAATCGAAAAATCTTGCCGAGAGTGATCATTCCGGTGTTTCAAGTCATTCTGACATAAATATGAATTTCTACCAGAGAACGCTCTGCTCTCTTCCGGTATAAACGAGTCATCACAATATTGACTTCTGTCTTACAAGTAAACATGCACTTGATTGGGATAATTATAAATTGATCAGTATTTTTGCATCGGTGTTTTCTTCTTTGTGTGCAGAATAATATTTATATATTTAAAACACGGTTACACGAACAATAAATACGTAGATAAAAACAGATCTAAATGTATGTAGGCACTACATTGTGAGATGTTATTAACGGAACCATTTGTGGGACGGACACTGAGCTAATAGGATCACCATATGTATGTTCATTAACTGTCACACTCAATTCATACATCGCATTTTTTTCGTGTCGAAGTGATGCGTTTGAATGTATGCTTTGTTTCATACTCTGCTTCTTTCGTAGGCGATCGTTAACTAAACCACAGCAAGTAGTGCAACATCGCCAGTAATGCAAATATCCAGCACGAAATTTTGATGACATGACGCCGTAGATGAACGGATTGACACAGGAGTTACTCATAGCCATCAGATGAAAAGCGAAGTAAAAGTGTGGAACATATTTCTGGTCAAATATTTGATCGAGATACGGACGTAGAATATTTATGTATAATTGCATGGGAAACCAACATACGCCGAACATAATCACAACGATGAAACACATTTTCGTGACTTTCTGCTTGGATTTCTTCACTCGAGCATCACGTTCAACGTGTGCTTCACCGGGTAATTGACTTCGCTTCAGCTGCCAGCCAAGACTTATGTAAATTATTGTCAAAACAAATAAAGGTATCAAATAAATTACCGTTAACGTTGCAACATTGTAAACGGTTTGAATTGATGGATTCAAACCATTCGTTTGACAAACAGTTTGAGTATCTACTTTAAAACGATTGTCATCGCGATGATAACATACGTAACTAATATGCATCTCGAAAAATATCGGCGAACTAAACAGAATTGAGAATACCCATAGCATAGCGATCAATATTCGACATTGTCTACGCGTTAATTTCTGTTTTAGTGGATAAACTATAGCTATGTAACGATCAACTGACATGGCGATCAGTGTATATACAGTACAAACGACGAAAACTGATTGTGCAACAGACGTAAATTTACACATAAATAATCCGAACGGCCAGTCGGATAAGAGATAATCGGAAATGAGAACGATCGGGATACAGAGCAAACCAACAAAGAGATCTGTAACTGCAAGATTAGCTATAAACAAGTTCGTTACTGTTGTCATGCCCATGAAATGGAATACCACCAGACAAACGAGAGCGTTGCCGCCAAAAGTCAGAAGACTTAGTAGAGTGTAGACGATAGCAGCAGTTCCTTGAAGGTACGGCGGAGGAATAGGTGGAGCAGGATCGACAAAAGTTGCGCCATCTAGTGATGCGTTACATAATATATTATACGTTGAATTCATCTGGAGCATTTGCGATTTAACTATCTATTCATTATAGGAAACTACTATCTAAAATAATAAGATGAGAATGGAGATGAAGTGTGATAGATTAGCGTATTTATATTAGTGTTGCAGACAAACACTTTCACGTCTTATTACTTTTGTCAAAAGATAGATAAATACGAAAAGAAATTAGTCGCTCATTCTCTTTATTATACGAAGATTTCTTCAAGCTATTGATGAGTATAGATTAAAGGTGCACGTCTTATCTGTCAGTCGTGTACTTGTTTAAATTACCATAATTTCCTATCGTCGAATATATAATCTCGGTACTTCTATGCTAATAAAATGCATGATAAAACGTCTTGTTTTTCTGCTAATAAATGCATTTTGAAAAGAAACAAAGTTTTCTTCTGATGTCTGAAGATGGCATATCACTCACTGGCACTTACAAACTAAAGGTCGATCAAGTCATATAGACGGTTTCTCTGGTTTTTTTTTCTTTCTTCTTATTAAAACAGACATGGTATCTCTCTAAGAAGAAAAACTAGTGTAGAATACTCATATTAGAAGACACTCGTCGCATCATCGATATGAACAAAGTTCTCTCTGAAGAAAAAACAGAAAAAGAAAAGAAGAAGAAATGTTTCTCATGCAACTCTTTCATCATGATTCTCAGTTGCAAATCTTATAATTTGGCAAAGTTTAGCCAGCAAGTCATATTTATTAATTTAAAAGTACTTAACCAGACAGAGTTTGATTTTCACCTTGATTAAATCTCCGTCGTCGCAAAAATACGCAAGCCATCACCGACCGTTGATGTATCCAATGTATCATAACGAGAAAACATAATATGTTGAAAAGAAAAAGAAATTATGATATATCACAAAGCGAAAGCTGTCGACATCCTAATTTCCTATATTTTCATCGATGATACGATCACGAAAACGGCGAAACAACGACAGAAAAGACAAACCACGTTTGCACGTGTTTATATTGTGCGTGTAATACGTATCTGAAGACTATTTGATCAGCTACGTGCTTTTATTCTTCTAGTATGCTGACAAAGAATTACAATTCGATTATTATTAACACGGCGTCCATGTTCCTTTGTTTGAGAAGTTTAATATGCTTTCGAGTACTGCTCCTGGTAGATTTCAAGTAGAATTTTTGTTAGTTGATGGAATAGACGAACGCATCGAGGTCTAGTGAGATGGATATTAAAAAGCGGAGGCAAATAACGCCATATATAAGTTATTAACAATGCATTCTCCATGTAAACTATTGACTAATCAATCATGCTTTAACCAAGCTGAGAAAATAAAGGAAGAATCGCGCATGTTTACTAGAAAAGTCATTTTCTTTGATGAATATCTGATCATCAGTAGACAAGATGGAAATCAAGAAATATTAGTGAGTATATTTTTATCCTAATCGCGACAAGACAACGGGGCTATTACTTACAGAATGTCGTATAGAAGGAGAATATGCCAACAAATAATAATCGAATCTACTCAAAAGAAGAAAAACTCTTCATGTATAAACAAAACAACGTAAACGAAGTGATAACAGAAGAGAATTTCTTTCATCGGAAAAACAGATAGATCTTCTTACAAAAATATAATACGGCTTAGTTAGGATGTGAAGTGCACAACAACTCCATGGATGGCAGCTGCATTGAACTAAGACAGTCCTTTATGAAAAGAATAATACAACGCCTGATGTGACAACAACAGCAAATACATTTTCTTCCTCATGCACGCAAGAAGTCTATGGTTTGCCGAGACAATAGAACTTTCCTTTGTTGTATTTTTTTCCTCTTCTGTTCAGAAGAGAAAAGACTTTTCGAACAACGACGGTTGAACTAGTCATTTGTCGGCACACAAAGAGGAAGACAAGTTTTATCATTGGAAAAAAACCCCAACTAGTTTATCTCAACAATCTATTATAATCGTGCTACTAAATACAAACTGCTTTTCCCGTTAGAATATTTCCCTTTTATAGCTACAGCGTTTCTCATTACAAGAATGACATCTGATCTATCACAAGTTTCTTAATCGTATTCTAATTATCATATGATGCTAAAATTGACAAGCATAGAATTTTGTTCGTAGCTATAAAAGTAACAGCAGGTTAAACAGGTCGATTTAATCTAAGACAGGTCCTTCACGACTAATGAAGCCGAACTTACCACATCAGATTGGTTTAAATTTAACAACACTTATTAAAACTATGTCATTTCTTGATGAAACGACTGGAAAGATACAGACACGGCGAAAGCGTTTCGTAGAAAATAATAACGATATGTGCAATCTTCTTTCTCCTGAGATCTCAACTTTCAATAACATTATCTGCGTAAGTGCATTACTCTTCCATGAGTGAAATCGAAAATACATCACTTGCATCAATGGCACGATCAACCAATGCTCCCTAGTTTGATAATAAAACTAATTTACAAAGAAAACTATTTGCATTCATGTCTCATGAAGATGTTTTGAACAAAATTTCAAATAGATGTCGAGTACATATGCTTTTCCTTTCTAGTTGAATAATGGCTACGAGATGAAATAGATTGCAAGAGAATACTTTACAATGAACTTGCTCCTAATGGAAGTTCTCTGAAAGAAAGAAAGAAGAGTTCATCATGATATGTGAACAAGACGAACTCTTCACGTAAGCGATCTATTATGGAAGACTGTTAACGTTTGCATACAGAATTTTGAAATGCATTTGGAATGTTTGAGAAAGTGAATAGTATGTTTAGCAAAGATAGAATTCTTCTCGATGAAATATTTAGTTACAATGTAGAATTTCTTTTTGATGTATTTATATATTATATAGTAAATTCTAATAATAAAAAAAGGAGAGTTCCGATCTGAATACTATGGGCATGAATGATTTACGCTCGCAAGAATCTCAGATAGTCGATGTATAGAAATAGTCTTTTGTGAATCATACGGAAAAAGCCTTTGTGCAAAGGATGCGAACTAACTATAGCCGAAGTACAATACCTATTCGCACTATGCGTTTGAATAACGAGGACTTGAATTATTTATTAATATGTGAACTACATATGATATCCTTAACTAATTTTAACTTACATCCGCTTCCACCTAGCTCTTTGTTTGACTTCGATTATGTCATGAATAACTTCGAGGGTTATATTTCCTCTACTGTCGATCCATTATACTCTACACCCCAGATCGTATTTACCTAGAATCTTCTCATGAAAATATCGCGATTGGAAAAAGCATAATATCGAGACACGCGGAAAATACATTGTAGATAGTATTCAAAATGTCTTACTTGAGTAAAAGAGAACTCTTCAAGAAACATCGAACACATTGACACTTATGAAGTGTTCCTATTAATATCGATACGGATTCATGCGATCGATCGAATGGCGATTAGAGGTAAGTAGGCCTAATCTTGCATAGGTATTGAGAAAAGCTGATCACAAAACTGATCTACTTGAAAGTCGGCCCATAGAAAATCATGATAGATGTAAACAAGATTTTTATCGGAAGTGATATAAATTAATCACGAAGGTTTAATAGAATTTGCGAGTGATTGATTTACCTCGATACATCGAATGTTTTGAAGTAAATCATATGAGCCGGTCTGTCGAGCGTGCTCGCATTGGTGTGCCAAGTAAATTATAATGATCATCGTAGGAGTGTTGATTATTGTTTTTGATTTGTAATATGTTCGGCTGTTCTGCTGTACATTTATTGGATACCATCGAGTTTCTCGAGGGAAATTTACTTGGTCTAATAACTTGATTAATTTGATTTTCGTTCAAAATCTTTACCTGTCCTATTCGTTTGTTTTGGTGCGTGTACCTAAGGCGAGGGGGTGTCGCATTTTAGTTTAAGTTCAATTATTTTCGGGTTCCCGATGGAAATCTAAAAGAAAAATATTTTCTTTTCGTCTCGCTTTTCTATTCAACAATAGGCAGTGATAGAGACGGGAAATGTTGAACTATTCGGGGAAATCCTTTGTCTAATAAGAAGAGCGTAATATGCTCACGGTTGACCGACAGCTTCCTTTATTTTCCTATAGGATGACTAATTGAAATGATTTCGCTCACCAATACATTTTCAGTCTTTGGAGCGTGTCAATTAAGTCGTATGCATTACCTCGTTGCATGCTCCGTGTATGTTTTTAACGAGATGGGATAAGTTGTAATATATTCATTAGTTTAAGTGCACAATAATGATCAAGTGTCATCAAGTAATGATGAATAAACAACTCACAATTACAGATTTGTGTAGATAATGCTGAATGTCATAAAAACAGATGAAGTTTTCCGACTAGAAAGAAAGAAAGTGTGATCGTATTGAATATAATTTCAATACGTACACAGATGACGCTAATGCATGGAAAACAAAATATTCCTCCGAAAAAGTTTTTTCTTAATTAAACCAAACTATTTTAATGAGACGACCTTTAGAAAATTAGAATTTTCCCAAACTTTTAATTATGTAAAACACAAGCGATCAATTCATCGGCCAATCATATTGCGAACACGAGAAACCCGTCTTCCGAATTATCTATGCTTTCTTCATTTCAAGTCTTCTTCATACTACTAAACAATGGCTTCACCACCTCCAGTTTCCACTGTCAAACCAACAGTACGACACTCGGTTTCCCTTCATTTTAATATATCTTTAAAGAATTTCTAGGACTCATCAATCTCAGATGAGAATGATTTACAAACGAGAGGCCATGTTTCTCTTGCATCGGCTTCGTCGCTATTACACTCTGCTGAACGCCTTGTAGCACCGATTCAAACACCCTTACCAGCTGGAACACCTGTCCAACAACAACCTACCGGTGGATTTACGTCAACATTCAACTCCGCTAATCCAATGTTTGCGGTTTTGAAAGCGACTGCTCTACAGCAGGCTTTTGGCCATCCAATGGCTTATGCACGAACATTAATGCAGGTGGGCGAATTTGAATTAGAGTTCCGTGTTTGATTCGTTTATTTGTTTAGATGGGGTATGAACCGTTGCCTGTATATCGTGGAAAAACTTTACTTGGAAAAGAAGCTCTGTTTTATCCGAACGTTTTTCGCTACTGTTCGTGTTTCTTCTCAATCCGATCGATCATCTACTCTCTTTGATGTTTTTAGTGAGATACATTTACAACATCGATGGTTTTACAGGTCTATATCGTGGATTTGGTTGTGCTGTTCTATCAAAAATGGTCTGTTGGTATACAACAACAAAAGTTGATGAAGTAAATAAAAGAGATATCTGTTGAATTGTATATTCGTTTCATTTTCTGTTATGAACAGCTCCTTGGTCCAGTCGAACCTGTTGTACCGGACGATAAATCGAAACCAACATGGGATAAATGTATCAAAAAGACTTTACGAGAAGTACGCTGTCAATCGTGGGGAATCTTGATTTCACATCCATTCCAAGGTTTGTTCGACTGAAATATATTTTCTCGGGATATTCTCGACTTTATCGATTAGTAATGGCCATTCGATGTATGGGACAATTTATTGGTCGTGAAACAGCATATTCGTCGATCAACCTCTTTCAAAATGTCCAAGAAATTTACAATCGACAAGGAATTGGCGGATTTTTCGTGTAAGTCAATATTCTTCTCTTCAAACATCCTGTCTCACTTTTCATTCGTATACACAGCGGTTTAGTTCCTCGTTGGTTGTTAGAAATTGCAACAATCGTCATATCCAATGTACTTATTCATCTACTTAAATCCCAATTGCCTTCACAAAGTGAAATGGTTCCATTGTACGAATACATGGCTGCTGTAAGTTCAAATATTTTGCATAACAACATAATTGTTGATTAGTTCGGAACGCCCACTTCCCTTCTCATCTAACAGCCGTTTCATCAGTGCAATTCACACATTCTTTTGTTTTGCTCTGGCGAATGAAATATGCGATGCGAAAAAGAATGTAATCTATTGTTCTCATAAAAATCCAGACTCAAGAAAAAAAAAAAGTTAAATATTTGTTTTGATAACAATCAACATTGAAAAATCCGAATAAAATAACATATACAATTTCTCAATTGAACCAGAGTTAATCTTTGTTGTTCTAGTTTGTTGCTCAAACAGCGACGTATCCATTAAGTGTTGTAACAACAGTTACAGCTATCAATCGAAGCGGTCTACGAGCTGGTATGTTACCTATTACACCAATTTATGCTAATTGGCAAGATGCATACAGACAATTAGGCAAAACTGTAAGTCGTTGAAAATACTCGAGAGAATTCTTGAAATATCGACGAGTTTTCAGGAACAATTGAAACGTGGCTCGAGCTTTTTCAATCGTGCTGTTTTTGGCAACGTCGGAGTTCCTGTCCCGGGTACACCCATACCCAATGTTTAGACATTTCTCTTTTCTCTCTCTCTCTTTTTTAAAATTTTTTTCCCCGTTATTTTTAAACTTAGATAAAATAAATAAAGAAAAAAGTAGGAAAAACGAAGATAATAAGACTCGATTACTCAAGGACGTATGAATAGTATCATGGAGAGATGACGGCTTTGTTTTGTTAGTGATGATCTATTGGTGGATATTTTTCTTTTCCTTCTCCTTCTTGTTCTTCTTCGTCGTTTTGTTCTTCGCAAGAAAACATCGATGACCTTGTGACCGCATTTCAACGGAATACACTCACGTATTCAAACAGAAATCAGCAGATCCCATTTGTTTTATTGGTAAGCAGGAATATTATTTGATTTGGTCATACGTCCTTGGATCGGTTATTGGAATTACGTTTTTCTCTTTTTTTTTTGTGTTTCTATGTAAAGAAAGACAACATCAGACTATGGCGTGATATTTCCTCGTACGATACTATTATTCCTAAGTTTTTTTTTGCTTCTTCTGTTCTTTTTGTCGCGTCGATTTGAGAGGTAGAGACGTTTTATGAAAAGCATCATTCGATTGGTCATTTCGATATTATTCATCTCATAACGCAGTGCCAAGAAAAAACAGCTCGCAACCAGTAAATGTGTGTTTTTTTTTCTCTCATTATGACCATATCGGTTTCGACTGTAGTTTCGTAGCACATTTTGTCGTTGAATATACAATGTTATCTTCTGTCTTCACGAATCTCTCATTATTAAAAGGATAGATATCGTAGTCAAAAAAATGTATCGATAAACAAGATATCAGAAGCACTTAACACGAGAATGAGAGAGAGAGAGAAGAAAAAAGAATTTGTTAGCACACGATCGACGAAGTAAGTGTTCTTTATTTTCTTTTCATCGAACGACTTTTCTTGTTATGTGTCATATTGAAGTGTTTATGTGAAGGTATACACCCGGGGGACTTTATCTTCGTCGAACAGATTCAGAATGACGTTTCGAAACGAGCCGATCGAGCGAGCGCTGGATCTCTCGTTGATATATTTTCGTCAGACGCCTCCTACACATTCCACCACGTGTGTATCAGAATGGAGATAGAAGAGAAAGGCGCACATAAAACGAGTGAAATCCAGATGTTATGAATGTTATTATTTCGTTTTCTTTTTGTATTTTTGAGTAGATTAGAAATAATATTCCGATGTCGACTAGTGTTACTAATAAAGATAATCAACGTTATTCAATGGGCTCGAATCGAATTCAAGAACGAAGTGATCGATTTTGGAATGGATATTCGAAGATTTTAATACGATTTACTCAGCCGATTTTGTTAGCGAGTTTAGTCGTCACTGTGGGTTTGACAGTTTGCTTTTTCTATTTTGTGCAAATCCGTCAATTCGATCAAACTGACTTTATCGTGCGGAATGGCAAAGCACAACAAAATGCTCAGCGGATCAGCGAAATCTTCGGCAATGATAAAGACTTTCGTGCACATCAACAAATGGATCTTTATCCCGCATTGGACATCATTATAAAGAGAAAACTCTCAAACAATTCCAGAGATATAAACGAAACGAACATGTTAAACAAGGATATTATTGAAGAGGTACGGACAAGAATTTCGAAGAGCAAAGAATATATTAGTATTCCACTCAGATATCATATCAATCTTCTCCTTTCCTCTCCGAAACGAACAAATGTTGGCAGATGTCAACATTCTCTTCTTTCGAGACACGCCGTGATTAATGATTTCCTCGTCCTATGAGTCTTCGAAACCAGACGGCTAAACTGATGTTCATCAAATGTATGATTTGTTCTGTTTAGATTCGTGTACTCGACCGTCATATTCAATCGGTTCGAATTAATAATAGTAAAAATTCTCTTCAATACAACTTTTCAGCATTATGCGCCGTGATTAACCACGCTTGTGTAGTCGATGGGAATTACTTATTATCAGATAAATTTCGTCAGGATGCACTACTTTTACCACATATAAAAAGTGGAATCTACTTCGATTCACTCACTGGAGCTAATGGACTTTCGTCGTTTATATTCAGCAAAGATTACAAAATACTGAACACGACAGTACCGGAAGAAGATTATGTCGACGAAGAGGAGGAGGAAGAAGAAGAGGACGGTGAAAAAGTTCCCGAACCAAAACCAGCGCAATTCATCGAAGTCGTGTCATATGTTCCTTTGTTTCGTATTCGGTATTCGTTGAATATTTCCACGGATGCAATGCGTTCATTAGCGCTCCAATGGGAACGCGAAGTTCTTCGTTATTTGAATGAAAAATTTCATTCGTCATTAATACACATCTCACCATCTACATCCACAGCAATATCTGATATTGTTGGCAAACAAGCACGTGATGAAGGTCCCTTTATGACCATCATGCTTTTGATTTTTTTCATTTTCGTTGGCTTTTTCATCAGTATTCAAGGCAATTCTCATACATCTGTAGGATATCTCTCACTCTGTGGAGTCATTAATTTAGCTTTAGCGTCCGGTGCTACTTTTGGCCTGTTAGCAGTGTTCAAGTTGCAAATTATTGAACCCATGGCTCTAATTGTTTTTGCTGTTGCGAGTAAGTGTCTTGAGACAAATGTTTCATCGGTCTCAATCTCTCGTTCTCTTCTAGTTATCGATTCAATGCGTATTTCGATTGTTTGCGGCGAATACCATCGAATCATTAAAGATCATCTACCAGTCTCATCAAACAACGTTGCGACTAAAATTGATATCGAGAAAATTCTTCCATTAATTATTAAATCTTCTCGGCCATATTTTCTTTCGACAACATTAATCCTAATAATTGTTTATCTAGTTTTATCGCTGTTATCACCTATGTCATGTACACGATATCTTGGTTTAACATTGGTCTTATATGTATTTATTGATTATTTAACCCATTGTACATTCTTCTCTGCATGTCTTGTTTTTACCTTGAAACGTATCAAATCTCGCCGTCATTGTCTATTGTGTCATCATTTACCCAATGATCATTACATAAAGGATCGTCGAAGATCCTTTCAGAAAGTTGTTTTGGAAAAGCCTTTACAATTCTGGTCAAATCGCAATGCGATGATCAAGAAGTTTTGCACCGGATTCTTATGTTTGATATCGTTTGGATTCATCATCTTTAGTGTTTGGTCATTGTTTTCCATCGACACGCATTTATTCGAAGATAGGTTTCTTCCGAAAAATGCAACGACATTGAAATCCTACATGAATTCTCATATTGATCAATATAATATCGGTCCTGTGATTATGTTTGTTATTCCTCAACCGATTAATTATGAGAATAAGAAAAACCAGGCCTTGATTCGTCACCTTCTTCAGCAATGTTTGAACGAACCGACAACGAATCAGTTTAAACTATTATGGCTAGATCAAGAAAACATTCACACGATCTTAACGAGCAAAGATCCGATGAACGTTCGGGTGACGCCCTATTCACAAAACGACATTATTGTATCCGAAATTAACAATAAAACAGTCATAAAAGCGTCCCGCTTCTATTGTCAATATCAAACTAGTCAAGGTAAGACTGCACCGAATGAGAATTCGAAGTTTTGGACGTTCTTTCATTCTCTAGGTGATCGAAATGATTTACAAACGATGAATAATATGTATACATACGCGAAACAGAGCTCCATTCCGTCAATCTTCCCTTACAGTTTCATCTTCGCGCACTATGAGTCACTCGCCCAAATACGTACGGAAATCTATTTGTTGATGTTATTCGTCGTGCTCACTACATTTGTTATCATTTTTATCATTTTTACTTCATTTGAAAAAGGTCTACTGTTATTCTCGCACATGCTCGCTTTACAAGCTGGAAGTTTAACATGTTTATACTTGTTTCATGATTTAACATTCAATTTCGCCAATGCACTTTGGTTGTTCATCATACCAATAATCTTCTGCGATACGTTAATTCATGCATCTTTCAATATAACCAAATCAAAATGGAAATATAATCGTGTTCTACTTTCGCTAATCATTTCTTTAAGCATCTTCTCTTTGTTTTCAATTGAAACATACATCTTTCATATTATACGTCTATCGCTGCTGTATCAAACGATCATTTGCTTTGTACTAATCAATTTTATACTTCCATCATGGCATTACCTGATTGAACGAATGTTCAAGAAAGCCAAAGAGGAAAAGCTAACTACGGCAACAGCAACAGCAGCAGTTCTCGAAAGCAGTCAGCCATTGACTGCTAGTACAGAAATACAGAATCTCGTTTACGAACCGAATGGCAATACGATCGGTTCGATATAAAACAAACTATTGCTGTGATGTACACGTTCAGTTCTTTTTCCTTCTTGCATTTTCTTCCGAGTTAGCTCAGCGTCATTACTTGCGTCCAGACATATCTTCGTCTTTTTACTTTGCTCTGATGTCTGTTTATGTGAAATTTTAAATCCTACATGCATGTATTATTTCAGTGTAGTTCATTGTTGTTCATTTTTCTTCTTTGTTAAACAAAATACGTGAAATTGGGTGCTGCTTTAACTCTAGTGTTTGTCGAAACATGAACTGTTCTGCTCTAGTAGAGAAGTGTTGAACGTTTGCACGAATATAGGCTTTCATGACTTCGGGTCGAATCAAGAATTGTCGATTGTCGAAATGGAATCACACATGCTAAGGAAAAACATTTCCTAGATGAAAAGCACTATTGTGACATGCATTGTAATATAAAGACTATCCGATATTGATCTTCACATCTCTGTTGAACACTTATTCATTTCTTTTGCTTGGCTTTAATAACATTAGATTTCTCTGGTGGACGCTATTTGGGCAATTAACATTCTGTAGATAGAGATAGGCCGTTTCTGTATTGAATATATAGGCGTAAAGATCACGAAGTCTGTTTCATTTTTTGTATTCATACTCATCATAACATAAATTCTGAAGATCAGCAACATGCAAACACACATCTGCGCTTTTTGCCTATTAGCGTTCAGCATTGTTCTGATCAAGTAAGTAGATCATAGGTACAAATTGATTATCTGGCAATGTTTTGCTTAGTGCAAGGTTCGTTTTTCGATCAGTGGACGGCGGTGCAGACGGAGAAATACGTTATCCGAACAATCATCCTTATCATACTCATCATGTTGATGCTTATCAAAAACTATTAGAAGATATTCTGGAAACGGAACTTCGTGCGAGTAAATCAAACCTAATTGATCTTCAATCGTTGGAACGGACAAGGAAAGGAATCGAACGCGGCGATCCACGCGAGTTTATGGGTTGAAAATCGATGTTGTTTGTCAATTTACCAGGAACGAACAATTTTGACAGCTGCCTTTGAAAAACATATCTCATATCTTATGAAATAAATCATATGATTCGAAGTTTTCAAACCTTTATTGATGAAAAATTTTCGTTTTTGATACATAAAACATAAAAGTACATATATGTATACTAATCTAAACGAAGAAGTGTTCAAATGACTAGGTGGACGGGTTACAACAATGAGAAGTAGAAGAAATCAACATATTATCAAACGAGCATTATTCTTCGAACAAAAATAACATCGTTGTTCGAACCATATCTGTTGTCCTGGATAGATTAGTCGATGTGAGTTGACACTAGTCTGTAGAACACATGGCGCTGCTTTGGTTAAGACTGATAGTAAGCGATATTCACCAATAGCTGCTGAGCGTTCTTGAGAGTGAAGACTAAACTTCGTTCCGACATCGATTTGAAGCACTTGATCACAATTAAAACATTTTCTTTGACCATTTACACATGAACACGAACGACATTTATGATTCGGTGGTGTTAACCATTTGGAGCCTGATGGGAAATAGTACATCACTGATACCGGACGTGTCTTTCGTAGAAAGCAAGGGCGATGGCATCTGTCATGAAGACGTTCACATTTTAATATACCATCCAACGTACACGAACATCGAGTACACGAATTCTGGTCCATCCATGATGTTTCACGTGGTATTTCAATGTAACGACTGAGTTTTTCACTGGTGTTTGCTGAAGAGACACGTTCGATTAGGATGCAAAGTTTCGGTGTAACACCCGATGAACATTCCGGTTGCAAACGAACAGTCGACACACGACGGTCAAGTCGCTTTGCTTTAGGAAAAGAATCTCTGTAATAAGCACAACAAAAATCAATATTTATTCACTCTTGTATAAATCTCACCTTCGTATTTGTTGTGATTGATGAGTCATCAGACGAGTTTGATTCAATGGTAATGCTTTTTTACATATCCAATGTCCGTTTTTCGTACATTTACATCCCGTACATCCATCTCGCGATCGAATCCGTATACCGACTCGATCGGTTCTGCAAACAACGACCCGTTGTCGCACGCTCGGATAGTTCGCAATCGGCCATTTCGCTAAATCTTTCGCGGTTGGTGATCCATTCGTATTCGTTGGTCGAAGAATAGTCAATTGATCAGCAGGTATCAGCGATTGTTGACTATAGAACAGACGTACTTTACCCTGTTCACAAACACAATAAGGAGATCCCGGTGTATCTGTCCGACCCCACATAGCACCATGGGCAAATCGATGACCTTGATGCCAACATTCCCCTGATTTAAAGTCGGCTCCCGACCAACTGTATAACTGAATGTCCGATGGTCGACATTCGATGTCACTAATAACTCCAACTAAGCCTAAACATTGATGCGTCCATTTGAATGACCATAAGACAGAGAAAATATATACATGGTATAGTACAGTTCTACAAATAAACTACAGTGATTGATATTCTCGACAAATATTTAACATACTTTGTAAAACAGATTTGTATTGAAGCCAGACTCTCGAACTAATATGAACGTCGATCAAGAAATCTATCTAAACATGACCAAGATTTTATCTTCTCTCTATGTTCGATGAGAACATAATCAAGAAGGAAGCCGCCACAAAGAAAAAACCTTTAAAATGATTTATATATTTTCAATTTGTTGATCATCATCATGACAAGATGGTTTCCTTACAATTCGGATGATTTCCTCTAGAGTCTCGATCTCACCAGAAAAAGAACTCATACGATTGCTCTTTATCAACACAGCAGGCCTTGCTGACAAAATTTTCTCTTGAAATTATAAGTGCACATCAACGAAACACATTATTACTTAGACAGATTCGCTACTTGACAAGATCGAAAGAAAAATATGCGTCTGTTCTCAATCAGCTTATGCTTCTTGCAAATGTCCTACCGTGCACATATCTATCATCAGGAGTTCTTCGGCCTAGACCCTTCGCGCTGCCTTGCATTACCTGTCACTCGCTTCACTCGTCTTCAAATAATCTCGAATCGCATTTTTTTTCTTCTTCTTCTTGCGACGATGCACTCAGTGGAGCATCCACTTCTCCTAATCAAAATATTTTATGAATAAAAAAAAACCGCCGAGTCTTATTTTAATTCTCACACGTTCGTCTATCTGTTCTTCACATACTTACAAGGAATAACAAAAACAAAACTATAGCCCTATGAAGAGAACGTTCGATGCTATTTTCCCCTCTTTCTCAGTATGATAAGAAGAAGAGAAAGCGCAAGGCGCAGGCATGCATAAATGAGTTCTGCGATCCAGGACAAGCGCTCATATGGACATTATAGACGAGAAAATAGTCGTCGCTTCTCCAGGAATTCGATAACCTTGAATCTATCGGAACGATAACAAACTGTGTTGTTTTCTTTTTCTCTTTTCATATGCCTTCAATAATAGTAACACTTGTGTATACGCTGAATACTTCGCAACATATTTATCTCGGCACAAGAGAGGGAGAGAAAGAGAGAGAGAGAACAAGAGCTTCAATCAATGTTCAAAATATTCAAAAGTTTTGTTTCTTACGAAATCAATCTACGATGACTTCCGTTTTCTTACGTCTCAAGCGACGTACTCAATTTCCTTTTCTCTTTCTCACTAAACGACCTTCATCTGGTTAACAGACGTTCGTTCTGTCTGAACACTTGAGACATTTATATATTCCATGAAATCTATTCGAGAAGAATATAATCACAAGTCCACAAATCGAATTCAATTAATATCAATTGGAACTGATGTGACTTTAAATGAAGAAACGGCATGAAAATAATTAGTTCTTTTTTCTTTTCTTTTCCAAGGACGTCAACACTCATTTCAAACTCGACAGGTAGATGACAGGAAATGAACTATGAATTTCATTTAATATGTTGATTACACGTTAGATTATCTTCCATTCTTTGTAATTATACATCGACATATTTTCGATCGTGATCGGTGGATTGAGCATATTCGTTCGACTGTGTGGAACTGAAGAAAATATTGACTGAATAAAGAAAAAAAAAAGAAAAGTTTATTTTGTGGTAAAAACTCGACCAGACATTTACGAGGTGATTGATCGGAGATTGTTTGTTGTTGAGTGAGATTTCGTCGAACTAAATCTTCGTGATTAGGATCAGCGAAGACGTTGACGAACGTTCGACCGAGCGTCGTGTCTTGGGAGAAGATTCGAAGTAGAAAATCGCAGTTATGATCCACATCAGCCATACTAGGGATGATCAAGTAGGCTCCAGTTGTAGTTTTTAAAAGCAACGAAACTTCTCGTCGATTGACTTTGATTATCGAAACAAAATGTCGAAGAAAGAAGGAAAAAACAATCAAATTTAATTACCATAAGGTCCTGTTGATGCTATCGAACAGAATATCAATTTGATGAAGAATATTTCACCTTCACTTACCGATACGTTCGACTTCATCGGGCTTATAGACTTTCTTTTCACATATCTTCACATTAGGTTTGATTCGGAATAATCGAATTTGTATGTACTCTTCATTGGCACTCTTCTTTATTGGCTTTTGCATTAATGCAATGATCATCATACATAATCTATCGGAACTCAACGAACGATTGACAGTTAATTCAATGAGAAACTGGGGATTACGCCAATAGTAACATCCATGACGACACCCGAACGTGGCACATGAGCCGCCGCTATTTTCTCCTGCACGCCATGATCCGAGAACGTACCACATTCGCCAGTGATGTTTCGAATCTTGAGCTGTCAACCCGAATTCATCATAGGTATCTGGACTAATGTGGCAAACTTCCATGACATCGAATTCCTTGTAAAAATCATTGAATGACATCCAGAATTCTCCGTCGTGTTGCTTTTTTATACTTAACCTTGTTCGTGTGTTTTCATCGAGTAGATTCCAAATAGAATCGGCATCCGACCATTTACCATTCCATTCTATATCATTTCCCCAAGGATTACGAAAGCGTATCAAACCGCGATCACTCGTTTTCGATTGATTCTCATCATAGATTATTGGGAGAACATGATAATTGGTTATCGAATACGTATGACCAACGACGAGACCGTTGGGAAGAATACTTTCGACTTGTCTTCTGTCCGCATTAATCGAACAAGCGATCAGTGAACCATAGTCAATACAAGATCGAATAAAATCGAACAGCTCCTCGGATCGAAGATTTGTCTGCGATAAATTCGTTTTGAATTCAAACCGCTGTTCAATTCCACCGGTGAAATCTGTCAGAGCATTGACAGGAAGACCGCCGGCTAAGTTCGTGTAGCAGCCGTTGAGTTTCGCATAGGCCTTTTCAAGTAATGAAACCCAAAATTCATTGATTTCAAAGAGATTTCTCGCACTCCAAAGACGTTTTTGCCTTTTCAGATAAGGTAAACGATCGTCAATAACAACATCATACCAGTTTTGATACCGCCAGAAACGAAAATGAAATATACCAGCTAAAAACTCCATCGATCGAACCTTTCTCAATTACTCACCATACCAATCTTTGGAAAAAGATTGATCCGGTGGAATGACTCGATTCAAGACAAGATTATTCTGTGTTAATGCACTCATCGCTGCGATAAACCAGCAGTTACCTAGATCACCTTGATTCGGATCTGTACGTTTGATTCCGTTGACAATGAACTGAGGATCATCGACAATCTCTCCCGGCCGGTTCCACGTGATATCACGCCAAGATGGAATCAGGTTTTGGTAATTATTTGACAATGATTCAACTTGGGCCGGGAAGAGAGAGTCATCGAAAAGTTTATTCTCTTGTCGACATTGTAATCGAATCGATTCGAAGTCTTGCCCTTCAAAGATTCGAATTGTATGGTCGCATTTGGCCATAAATTGGAAAAGAAAGCAAAGAATATCAACGCGCTTATTTTATTAGAATTCAATTCATTTTCATTTATTATTGATAACCTCTATGAAAAGTGATTCAATACTAGTCCAAACAAAACACCCCCGTAGTCATTAAAAAACGTTTTACAATCGATCGAGAAAGACTATTCTTAACATGTTTAGCTTCAATGAACAGAATATAATATAAAGTCATCAACAAATCATTAGAAATTACCTTTCCTTTTCTTTCATCTTATTCTATATGTGAATATGATGACATGAATTCTCCTTCTTTTCTTTTCACGTCGTTTCTCCTTTGAATAGAAGGAAAAAAAATCGCAGTTGACAAGAAAGTAAATCTAGTCATGAAGAACAAATCATAACTCTTACAATTCGATATGTCATTTATCATCTGGTTAACATCTGTTCTCTCACTCGCTTGTAGTAAGTCGATTTTCATCATTGAACTGTCGACTTTACCTACCATTTTCTTCTCAATCATGTTCTCCTTCTCTCGACATTCATTAATAAATAAAAAAAAACTCACTTGGAAATATGTCACTTGTCAGCAGCATTTTCTTTCTCTTTCATTCCACATCGAACATTTCCAGATCAAATACTTTAGCTCCTGAATCGATTGATTGTCTATACGCATTTCGTTTCGATGACACACTAACGAAAATCGTACGGACATATCATTGATCAAAAGCAGTTCGTCATGTCAAGCAATGTAGGTAGATAGGACACTTGCACAAGTAAGAAAATTCGTCGAACGCTCTTTCGTGCACGAAAACACCGAATGTACACGTGTTCGACATTTTTGCACGAATACGTTCTATTTTGATGAATCGTTTTTGTCAATATTGATCCGTCTGATCATCATAGAATCGAAGGCAAATGGTAGGACTCATGTAGCATTTATAATCACGAATTCTTTCGTTTGAATCATCTCGATTTTCATCTTCGCTTATCAAGTATTTGACATCAACGAAAAAAAAAAGTAATTTGGTTGTAATAAATCTCTTCCTTTTCGTTCGAGACACTTTTTTTTCTTCGTCGACTTTGTTTCGTCTCTCTTTTGATAATAGTATCGAAAAACAACAAATGACGCTGTTTCATATTCGTACATATACGTCAAGCTTCGACTTTCGTTTTTTTCCTACCTTTTAGTTTGCAATGCCATTTATTCTACTAAACCAATACAAGAATAACATGCTAGAGGAGAGAAAAATAAAAGTAAATTTGTTAAGTCGACTTCATTGTAAGTTTTAGATATGGCCTCGAGATCGAATGGGAGTTTACGAAAAAGCAAGAAATTAGTTATCGTAGGGGATGGAATGTGCGGCAAAACATGCCTTTTGTTTGCTTTCAAAGATGATCGGTTTATTCCAACCCATGATGCGACTATTTTCGATACTTATGTTGCTGATATTCAAGTTGATGGAAAAACGGTATGTGGAGCTTGTTATCAGCGATGTTTTACTTATACGATTGCTGATTTTTAGATCGATCTGGCACTTTTTGATACCGCTGGCCAAGAAGATTACGATCGTCTTCGTCCCTTGTCCTATCCGGACACCAGTGTTGTTCTGATCTGCTTCAGCGTTGATAGTCCGGTATCAGCGACCAGTGTACTAGAAAAATGGGTACCAGAAGTTCGTCATTTCTGTGGGTCGTGTCCTGTGATATTAGTTGCTTGTAAGAAAGACCTACGAACAGATCCGGAGGTCATTGCAAAGTTAAAGCAGGAGGGCGAAAAACCGGTGACAAGTGAAACAGGACGAGAAATTGCTGCACGAATCAAAGCAGATGCTTACATGGAATGTTCAGCGAAGACACGCGACGGTGTTCAAGATCTCTTTGTACATGCCGCTCGACTATCACTAAAACAGCGATCTAGTAGATCCTCTGCTAGACGGTGTGTTTTGTATTGAATGACACTCTTTGATCTTCTTTTTCTATACATTGGAACTTCTCAAACAATCAAACGAAAATATTTCGGTTTATCTATAGTTGACTTTCTTTTGGACTGAAAATGTTTACTCGTGTTTGCGGCGATAGAGATAAACATCGTCTCCACATATCGATGACTCATTTTCCAACAAACTCTGCTCGAATTCTCGTGTTTTTTGTCTGTACTCGTCTGTGGTATTCGATAGCCATTGAGGCATATTTTGCTGTTCTCTTTTTCAAGTGAAACTGCTTCATCTGTTGAATCATTCTGGCCAGAGCATTTTTATCATCTTCATTTTCACTACCGAGCTTACCTTGATGCACGAGACGTGACTTTCGATGACTCACCTTCTTACACGAGTACTTCCAATACGATATAACACGGCTCGTCAGTCCATACATCAAGGTAGTAAGCGTTGTGTCAACTGTTATCAACATCTAAACGAATTTTTTTCCCAATGGCGACTTCAACGAACCATACTCGACGAAAAAACAGAAAATTGGTGATTGTCGGGGATGGAATGTGTGGAAAAACGAGTTTGCTATTCGCTTTTCGAGACGGACAGTTCCTTCAAACGCACGAACCAACAGTTTTCGAAACTTACCCAGTTGATGTTCAAGTCGATGGAAACATTGTCAGTCAATTTGATAGAATCTTTCGTCGAATTCTTATCTTTTCTTTGTTTTCAGGTTAATTTAGTTATCTTCGATACAGCCGGCCAAGAAGATTATGCTCGACTTCGCGCATTGTCTTACGCTGATACTAACATCGCACTTGTATGTTTTAGTGTTGATAGTCCTGTGTCAGCCATGAGCGTAATTGAAAACTGGATGCCCGAAGTACGAGAGTTTTGTGGACGTTGCCCAGTCATTCTAGTCGCGTGTAAAATTGATCTTCGAACAGATACTCAAGTAATTGAGTTGCTGCGACGTGAAGATGAAACTCCCGTTACAACTGAAACGGGCAAACAGATTGCTGCACGAATCAAAGCAGATGCATATATAGAATGTTCAGCGCGAACTGGTGAAGGTGTTCAAGAACTATTCCAACATGCTGCTAAAATAACGTGTAAAAAACACTCTCGAAAATCATCTGATCAACGATGTACTTTACTTTGAGTCATGTTTTCTAATAAAGGCTCTGTCTTCACCCGACCTCTTTAAAATTCTATCGATTAGTTCGAAAACTTAAACCAATGAAATCTGTGAACAATTGCACAGATGAGAATTCGAGCAAAATATTTTGCTGTTCCATGTCACTATTGATCCTTTCATTTGATAGCTCATCCGATCGCATCGGTGTTCATCTTCATCGACTTTTGAATTCTTCGTTAACAGGAAACTATCCTCACATTGCATCATTTTGCTCATTTCGTCAATTGTTCTTCTCTTCAACAAACGACTTCGAGAAAATCTTTGCTACTTCCTTAAAACTCGATCTTCTTTCTCATAATGATCTGCTTGGCTTCATTATTCTCATTGACATAGCCACAACGAACAAACTACATTTGAATTATCTTTCGTCCATCGCCTCCTTACTAATTTATCTCAATACGAAGCATCCATTTCAACAAATTCTTACATTTATCATTCACGCCAGTTCCACGAACCAACTCTACACCTCGTCATTGACCTGTTTCAATCTAAATCTAATCCTTCTACATGTTTATCCCTATGTAACCGGAATTGTCTTTCAAAATATCGATCAAATTGATCAACATGAACTTTATCATGAAACTATTGCCAAACAAATCGCATCCATCTTTCTCCCGGTTTCGTCGTTACGCGTAGAGAGAAAACGCATCGTAAACAAAAGTGTCTCTATTGAATTTCTTCAATTTCTTCAACATTTACTCAACAATCCGAATAAGAAGATCTTAGTTTTGCTCACAAACAATCTGAAAAAGTATTCTAATCAATCGTCTTACGCCTCATTGCTTATCCAACGAGGAAAACCTTCGATAACATCTAACGAAACACCAGCGAAGAACTTGGACGTGTGGAATTCGCTCGAAACAAATCTCGATAAATTACAAATGACGCTCATCGTAAACAACGATGAATTCACCGAAAATCTCCTCGAAAAGCTGATTCTTCAACCGTTTGAAAAGAAAATTCAAATGAACAACGCCTATTTCTACTGGTTAAAGAAAAAATTCCATCTAAACTCTCTTGAAGAACAATTAAATCAAGGTATTTTATTGTGTAAAAAAGTCATTTTAGACAAATAAATTGTCCGACAAGTCACAGAAAACCATAATTATTGAGATTATTATTCGTTACATTAGCGAAGATGCAAATCTGCCCATGTTTGTTGATTTCCATACATTCCCCATGGATTCGTTGCTAAACAAGGTTGAACTGTATGTGACAAAGCATTCATTACGTTCACAATACTACATGGAGGAGTACTGATGATGTTACTTCGAAAGAAAAAGAATCAGAATGAACTGAAGGATACGATTGGAAATGTTCTACTTTGTATTTGTCGAACCATTGGCAATGTATATCGATGGGTCTTTCATTGTTCGAATGAAACGATAATCTTCACATTCACACAAACAGAAGAGAATTATTTTCATGAAAACAACGAATCAAATTTAAGACAGATGGCCGATGTACACAGAATAAAACAACAATAGCTTTGTTTTCAATAGAAAGAAATCATCATACTAGTCCTGCGACCTACTGGTGCATCATTGATGACGGAAGTGCTTTGTAATTCTACTACAGACGAATTAAGTTATGCGAGTGTTCTTTTTATTCAACGAAATCTTTTCACATCTTGCCGGTTTTTTTTACTAAGAAATAACAAATAACACATAGACAACGCAAGAAATGACTAGAACTTGTATGACATGTATCTATTCTTTATTGTTTCTTTGTTGAATATATTCTTTTTATCAAAACTCGTTACTTGTAGCATTTTTCCTTTCAGATCGTTGTTTGGTGTGAATTTTCAAATGTCTTGTTATCATATCTCGTCGGCACGCTGTGTAGGAACATTGTGGACATGTGTACGGCTTTTCGCCCGTATGCGTGCGTAAATGAGTAGATAAATGATCACTACGAGAGAAGTATGTGTTACACATTGTACAGCGATATGGACGAATGCCCGAATGAGAACGTAAATGTCGATTTAGCATATCACTTCTGGAAGAAATGACAAGAGTTTCTGCATGAAGGAATTCGCCGGTACTTACCGAGAAAAACGTTTGAAGCATATTTTACAAGAGTAATTCCGTAGATCACCTGAACGATCACAATATAATGTATCTGATTGATCGAGTTCACATGGATTTTCTAAATGAGTGCGGTAATGGGATAAGTACCTAGAACAGATAGATAGATAAAGAACGAAGATCAGCGGGTTTGTGAATTTACATTTGATGTGAATTAAATTCTTGTCGACAAATCTGACACGGTGGAACTGATGATGAATCTCTAGAAGAATTTGATTGATGTTTTTCTGTTTTGATCCTAGATTAAAAAAAATATTTTATTAATACTCGGCATTGACGTCATCGAAGAGGAATTCTTTTACCTGGGGCTAATAGGCGTGAAAATACTTGGTTCATCACATAACATTTTTGTCAACGTCGATAATTGAGCAATTGTTCCTTGGGCATTCATGTGAGCTTGTTCTTGAGTTTGAGGAAAGCGAAAGTTGAATGGAGATGTTGGAGTATTAAACCAAGGCGAACGAAACGGACCAGGATCGCTCGAAACCGAATATGGAGTTAATGGTAATTGCATGCTGCTAGAATAAGGTGTTCGTGCATTTTGATCCTGATCGTGAGAATGAGGATGATAAGGTAAGAGAAGATGATTGCTTTGTTTAGTAGTTCGAGATTCGGTCGATGAATGTCGATATGACAACAACGGTTTAGTTTCCTCTTCCTCCTGTACAACATCGTCATCATCATTGTCGTCATCGTCGTCAGGTTGATTGATACTAAAAGTAATTTTTCCGGCATCATTTGACGTATCGTCGATATCGATAGTCGTATAATGTCGTAGTAAACCTCGTTTACTCGATGTAGGACTTAGAAGATACTGTTCGGCTTTCATTGTCGAACTTTGCGAAGAATCGAACGAATGAGATTTAAATGGTATGGCCGGTTTAGGAAGGGTAGATGACGAGAGATCGAATGAACTCATTTGTTCAGTACGATGTTTTGTTAACATGTCCTTTCGTGATTGAGGTTCATTTGTTTGTTCTAAATAACGACGTTGAAGATAATCCTTAACTTTACCTTTGAAGGTCTAAAATTGAATGGAAAAGTGTTGTTTCTTTTTGCATATGATTTCGATTATCTTTACTTGTAAACTGACACTCGTGCTTGATTGATCATTTTCAATCGACGAGATCAGAAATTGCGAAGTAACCGATGTTTGTGCTTGACTTGCAGTTGATTGCGTTGTATGATTATAATCTAGGATTTTAGTCTTTGGGAAAAATTGCTTTAGTAGATCTATGATTTGCTCTAATTCGCATGCGTCGGTTTCGATCAGGGCATAGGTACGCGCCGGTGATTGTACATCAAAGTGCATCGCTTCGATTTGACTATCGTCAATATCGTTGGATAGTTTGTGTTTCGGCGAATTCATCGGTAGTATTTGTGGTGTGTTAGATGACAGAGGTTTTTGAATGCACATAGTCGTTCGGACAATGTGTAGAGAGAAGATCTGTGTGCATTCAAAATAATATTCTAATCTAAAAACGAAAAATGACGCTATTGTTTGTCAAAAGGATGATTAGATGTCAAAATACATCCATTGAAAAGAAAAAGCAAAGGAACATTTTCCATTTATCAATTTCCGTCATTTAGTATGACTTGAGAAGAAATAACAATTAACAATATAAAGAGAAAAAAAAACGATTACTATAAAATAGTTCCCAGACGCGAGTGACTTCTTTACCTACTTACCTTAATTGCCGAAATGAATAAATTTACTTAAATACAAATGTTAATTTCTTACCCCTTTTAACAAGATATGACAGTTACGAGTGAATCAATAAGAACGTGATTATCCAATCTCATTGAAAAATGTTCTTTTTCTCTCTCTCTCTCTCATTCTTCGTCTAACAAACCAATGCCTACGTACATACTTAAAATGAATATCGTAAACATAATACCCTGGATTGCAACCAAACAAGCAAAGAAAAACGAAGGAAGAATGTTTAAGTGTCATGTGGAATGTGTCAACATAAAAGAATAACGTCTAAGCATGTTCAAGGTTAAACATTAGTTAATTGATGATTATGTCGATGAAGTAGAGGTTCACTGGCAAAACAAGAAGAAAATCTCGTCAGGAAAGTACGTTCGAAGGTTTTATAAATAGTAAATCATATTATAATGATAGTGAATAAGATTTTCAAAAATGAATGGATCCTTTGCTTGTTGAGGACTTTAATTATGACAAGAGATGAAAACTGAGGACTGGAAACGCGAGAGGAAAAAAAATCTTCTTTTCTTTCTTCATCAGCCGGCGTTTCTTTTTCCAAAAAGAAAGAAAAAAAAACACAGAGACATGCACACAATATGAATGTAATTCTTGTTGAAAAGGAAGAAAAATATGAGACAGAATCAAGGCTACATATTCAAAAAATAAGAACAAATGATAATTATTAATACATTTGCTCCACGCGAGAAAATATCGGTGAAGCAAAATGAGAGGAAAAGCAGACAGCGAGACATACGAAAACACGTTTGAAAGACACTTATGCATAACATATTTTTTGAATCACCTTTGCCGCGTCAGTTCGCTAACACGAAGAAGAGAAAAAAAGGAGTCGGTAACCTTCTTGTTTTTCTTCTCCTGCGTCTCCTTTCATTATTTTCTTGACGATGATCAGAGCGGAGGTGTGGATGACTTGTTTTGGCAGAAAAATAATCGCAAAAAATTGGTTTTCTCTTGACCGGTTCGGTTTTTAACTTAGAACTATCTTTATGAAAAACACACGACACACACTCACCCACGTACTATTTGAAGTCACAGATGGTACATTATTTTGCTCTGATATTACATTGACGTTGAAGATATAGCTATTATCGTTAAATAATACGCACTAGCAACTGCTCGGATATATCCTGCGAAGAAAAAGAAGTCTATTTTAAGAGGGCTACATTCATTTCTAAAGAATATTTATAAGAAATGTTTACGAAGTTACTCGTGATATTTCAGATTTTAATTAACAAAATAGTTTGCTTCGTGTGTATTTTGCATATCGAACAACCTAAATGTTACCCGTGAAACTCAGTGTATTCGCCCATGACATCATAACTAATGCATTCTTATTTACAGCTCACAGTCTGTTTTTCTCGGTTATGACTTGAAAATGATGATTATCTTAACTTTGTCAATCGAGCTGATTACTTGATATGTTCTTTTGAATTACTGGAAGAACAACATGATGGTTGAGAAGAGCACTGTTACCTTGAATAAATGAAAAATCTGAATTGATAATACATCAACATGTATACATCATTACGTCCTGAATTCGAGGTATTCAAATTTATTTCTTTGTGTAGGGCATAAGGACATCTTTTCTTCTAATGAATAGAAGACTTGCAATTAAACCCGATGACGTCTGATGAAAGTCAGTTTTCCGAAAGACACTGTTATTCAACGTTTTCATGTGCGAGTTGTTCATTCTGTACTAGTTTCATCGAGATATGCCTTTTCAATCCGCTGCTGATGCCGCTGTCGTAGAGATCTAGAGTGATGACTGTCGGAATGAGCACATTCTCATGCAGTTGAGAAAATTATCTTAATTACGGTATTCTCTAGCAAATGAATAGCCAGATATTTTACTCGAAAAACTCCGAATGGATTTACGTTGTTATTTAATATGCGAAATGTCTATATGCATGAAATTTAAGTATGTCCTGTAAACAAAAGGTTGTCGAGTGTTACGCTATGTTGTTTTTAACAATGAGCCATGCTTCTCACGCCAAAATTAGTAACCCTATTACCGGCCAAGTCTAAATGAGCCAGCGCCTACGAGATATTTGAGAATGAAGTATTGGGTGAAGAGGCAGAGAGAGAGAGAGTACCTTATTGTTTATTAATATATCAGCCAGATGTTTAATACCAACATTATCAATTCGATTGTTTATAACGATCAACGTACTGAGTGACTGGAAGAACTTGTATGAGTTATAGTGACGCATTTAGAATATGTATAATTACCATGTTTTTGCGGAATATATTAGTTAAATGCTGTGCTCCTCAATCCCCTGTCTGATTATATCGAAGATTAGACTTCTAAGTGTCTGTAAAATAAAGAACAAAGACGATTATAACAGAGGCAGGCAAATAGGAGTAACCTTATTGACATCTAGAGCACCTGTCAGGGAGTACATAGCATCGTCTCCGATCTGATTAAGATGAGGATCTAGCGTATTAAGTGTCTGCCAAAGGATAACCCAGTAGCTACATTACGTGATGAACAAAACTAAGATAAGTATTACTTTATTATATTTTAATGTGTTTGCTAGATGTTTTATACCAACATCTTTGACGCAGTTCATTCAAAGGTGCAAATTTTTCAAAGCCTGTATGAAACCATATAGAAGAAAAGAATATCTATCAACTAATTCTGATTCATGCTGTTAACAACTAAAGCATCAGCGGGGTGCTGTGCCTTAACACTTCCGATGCGACCAAATTGAATGTACTCAGACTCTATAAAAAGACGACTCACGTCATTGCTTCTCAATATGTATGCCAGATGTTCAAGTCCCACATTTGCAATTTGATTATATGTGAGCTGTAAGATAACAAGTGTTTATTTAGGAAATTAATGCGAGTTATTCAAAGACAAAGAAAAGTGATAGAAAGTACTGCATTTTCTATAAATTTGTTGGAGAGATGCTGCAAACCAGCATCACCTATTCGATTAGATCGAAGATCTAACGTGACGAATGTCTATATACAAGAATGTGAACTTGAATCTGGAGAAACATTGAACTTACTTAATTATTCCATAGACCATCAGCTATACACTCTGTTTCGATATTTTCAATTTGTTGATCGTCTGTTCATCAGGACATAAACGACTCTGCTTCAAATGTTCTGATATCCGAAACTCACTGTATTGAATGACTGTAAATCATTGATACGACAGCAAAAGACTTGAAATACAAATCAAAACGATGGCATATCCTGTGTTCACAGAAACTGTCTACGATAATGGCGAAGCATTGGCACACGTTACACATCGGACATAGAAATGTAAATTTATTTTCATGGTCATGTGTTCTACAGAGAAGTTCGACTGAGAACGTGAGAAAAATAACGGCGATTTTCTTTTCGATTATATTGAAAGACGAACACATATTGCTTGCTTTCTTTCTGTTCTATCGATATTATTTTTTGTACCTTCTACCGATTTATTCTCGACGAAAAAAGTATTTGATTATTTATAGAAACAAAGCATGTGATTCGATTTGGGATATTTCAATATCTGAATCATTTAGAACGTCAACAAATGTTCACCTTTATCGATACTTTTGATTATCATAATCAGAGACACCCTAATGAAATTGAAATTATTATCAAACGAACTTTTCTACTACACGGGTTCTACAAATAGTATTACGAATTTTGTCTCTACTACTCGATTATACAATCACACTGTCTGATTAATAAGACGCTGCCGATCGCATTGAATCGTTAGTTTGACAGTTTGACCTTTTCTTTGCAAAGTATTGGCAAGACCTACGCCTAAAAACACGATTCATTATCAAATATTCTTCGGATAACGGGTCATTCATACAGATAAAATATTAAATTGAATCATTATTTTATAAACGAGAACACCTTCTTCGCACTTATATACAGAAGTTGAAATTACTTCAATTAAGTGTGAAAACAATCCTTCCAAACTTTATATTATTGACAGATACCTTCCAAGAAGTGTTCTTATGTAAAGAATATTGGTGAAGTTTAGCTTGAAAAGCATACTTCCAGCTTTATGCATTTCAATGCACAAATATCGACCGATTTAAACGATCCACTGTGTTGTTCTCTTAGACTACCGAATCTCGACGTTCTATGCATAAAAATTCCGATTAGTGAGCATGTCGGTCGATTGTCCAAATTTCGGAACGATGAACATCGATCGCAAGGTCTGAAAACCTAGAAAAGGTTTGAATTTAGAGAATAGTTAAATGATAATAAGAACGGTCTGAATCGATTTTGAAGTTACAGAAGGCTTTTGTCTCATATAAATGACATCATACCTTCATTTTCCCCGAAGACCTAGGAACTGAATCATTCGTCTGAGCACACATTTGAATTTCTCAAGATATTGCGCATTCTTATCAATCGAAAACACACCTGTACTATACACAAGAAAATCACAACTCAGTCGATGAAAAACTATATGAAGCGCAGTAGTGCTTCGTATCTAAAACAGTTAACAGAATATATTTTAATTCACATACAACTATGCGTGTACTCTGTCTGCTTCTATTGGTTGTAGTATCGGCAGTTTCTGCCAAATCTCTTTTGGAGCAGATCGAAGAACGGGCAGAGAATAATTGCAAAACAGTTATGGATCTGTTCATTATCCTCGACTCCTCTGGCAGTATTGGTGCTGCTGCATTTGAAACTGCCAAAAAAGCTCTCATTGAAATGGTCTCCATGTTACAAATTGGCCCCAAGAAAGTACAAGTATGGGTGTTCAATTATGGTCAAACTGTTGACATGCCAATCGCTTTTCATAACATGCCCATGTCAGAGTTCACCAAAGATGTTCTGATTCGAAAGATTCAAAACATTCCATACATGAACGGTGGCTGTACCGCTACAGGAGACGCACTACGTGATGCTCGACTGGTTTGTGGTAAACATTGTCGAGGTCTTCATGAAGGTGTTTCACGAATTGCTGTTGTTTTCACCGATGGAAATAGCAATTGCGGTGCATCAGTTGGTGTCGAATCAGCTCAATTCTTCAGTCAAACGAAATCTAGTGTTTTTGCTGTTGGTATTGGTTTCGGTATTAACAATAATGAACTCCTCACAATTGCTACCGAAAAAAAACATGTTGTACATGTCCAGAACTATATCGAATTAGTTACAGCAATGAACAATATCACCGTATATACATGTGGTATTCCAGCTTTCGTTGTTCCAAATGTTAAAGTTGAAACATCAACACCTAGCAACACGTTTCGGTACTACCAAGTCGATACAACAGAACATTTCCGAAATAATCGAAACACTCAAGGCGGATTCATGGAACTTAGCGCACATGTTCATATTGGTAAAGTAGAAGTTTACACATCGACAACAAATTCCAATCCAGGACCAGGCACTGGCCATCGTGTTCAATTTGACACAAGAGGATCTGATCTATTCTATATCGAACATATCGAAGAAGATACTCCAAGATTATATTTTAGTTTTTACGGTGTTCAAACAGTCAACGAATATGATTTTGTTGTTAATTGGCTTGATGCCAGCGGTGGAGTAATTGGTTAAAAGTTTCTCAAGTGAATTTTTTTATTTCACGTTTGTAGAAACAAATTTTAAGTCGATAAACAAATAAAAATGCAATTTTGCCATGTCTTACACATGGAAGACAAAACATAGAATAAGTCAACAAAACACTTCGATTTTACCTTTTTCCTCCGTTCCATATGACGATGACGTGCCCGTTGCAATAAAAATATGATTAATACTGGGAAAAAACCAGCTTCAACTATCTACTTCCTTCAAAATAAATCAGTGTTATTTTCACTCAATGAACATTTATTTGCATGGAGCAACCTGGTTTGCGCGTTGATCGTCCGGTTGATTCCACGGATGCTGTAGAACCGAATCATTTGATTATTCGGTTTGGAAAAACTCGACAATATCTTCTGTTGAAAAGAAACTTTTTTCCATGATAATAGACTCAACTATCGAGTGCGAAAGAAGCCTCGACAAGACCGTCATTGGCGCTCGTATTTGTTCGAATATCAGTCTATAGCCACGAGTTGTTCAAAACTTTCCAAAACAACTTCGAACAACACAAGCGATTTATATATTCTGTGCAAAGATGAACATGAGAGGAACTGATGGTGCTGGAGCTGCGACTAACGAATGAGCACTTGATTATATCGATTATTTATTAATGTACGATCATGAAGATTGTTTACTAGCTCGTTTAGTATTGGATATTAGTAAATATTTCTTTGTCGAAGCAGAAGTATTGACTAAACTAGGACAATTGAATGATGCTCTTCAGCGTTGTTATTGGTCAAAAAGAATGCTTCAGCTACGTAAAACGATGATAAACTCGGGAAATTTACTAAAAAACGAACTTGAAACTGTTGAGAAGTTCATAGTTGATCTCGAAAACCGCCTCAGCGATGATGAACATCATATTGAATTTCAATATTTATTAAATTCTGCGCCAAAAATACACATGGAGAGTTCAAAAATTTTCCGCATCGATATCGGGCGTATTAATATTGATGTTCTTCACGGCTATCTGCATCGCTTTGCTCACAGTTTCCTTCACGGTTTTCTTCACTGCCTTTCGTGTAGCTTCTTGTACCGCAGCTTCTTGGTTCGCAACTTGTTCGTCAACTTTTGGCTTGATTTCTTGATTTATTTCGAGCGCGATATTCTTCTTCGCTGTTTTCGAGGTGGCATATTGAATAGCCAGTGCATTGACTTTCTCGACATTATCAGGAAAATGTGAATAGAGAAGACCTTCATATGGTTCTGGTGCTGCTTCTTTCATCTTTCGGATAATATCTGATCTTTGAATCTAAACTCGAGTATGAAGAGAATTATAGAGCCGTTGCCGATTGACTTACAAGAACGTTTTTTGGAAGGTTAGTAGCTATTATTTTTCCGTGTTCTTGAATAGTTGCGATGATTTCGGGATCGATTTTGGTATTCAGAGCTCCCATTAGAATAGCGGTTTATTGAAAATACAAAATGCAAATTTCGTAGATTTCTTTGAATGAATGGTTTGAATGGAATTTTTAAGCATATATAAGGTGACAGAAAACTGCGTTGTTCTTTTGATTGTGTTGTGTGATTTCGAGAACAAGAATCGAAAATCATGAAACTGCATACTTCAGAATCGATTGTCTCAAAGAAATCAGACGAAAACAATCACAGGTGCGCAAAAGGGAACTGAGTTTATTGATAATGCGAATCATTTTTCTAAGAATGACTATTCTACTAGTCATCGGATTGATCATTCAATGATTGAGTAACGAAAATGAAAATTTGAATTCCCATTAAACAAAGAAATTTTCTTCATGTTCTACAAAATACCATTGGTGGATATATTTATGTCAATTTATACCTCGAACGACATATGACTGTAATAACATATAGCAGAAAAATTAGAGTCAAATGCATTTGGACATCTCGCTAAGCACAAACGAATACAACGAAGAATTTATTTCGCTTTTACTGATGACTATTGGCTGTTTAGTATGTCAGACTGTTGATTTGTAATACGGCTGACTAAATCTCTACGATCAAGGTCATTCTGTCGAGAAATCGATTCAGTCAACAAAGACAATTTATATATACGTCCATTTAGTCTTTTGAAAGAACGAAGGATGACCCTGGATTTCAGCGCAGATAAATCTTTTCGAAATTCATTCACCAACCGACACACTATTGAAGAGACAAGAACACATCATGACCAAAATGATCGTCGTTGTTATCTGCTTACTCATCATCGCACAGCATATCTGGGCAGCGCCAAGTGAGTTTTTATTTGAAACGATTACATCAGTGCACCAAAACTTAATTCATAACAATTATCTGTTCAGATCTACCAGATTTACTCAACGATGGTAAACATGGTTTTCATGTTGATTCGGCCTCAACACCGACCCAAGTTTTTACTGTAGCTTGGCTTACTAAAGCTAAGCGAGCAGAAGAATCATGTTTCGTCACGGGTTGTCCAGAGGGTAAACGATGTAAAGGATGCGGTGGTTCCAGTGTATTCTGCATACCAAACACTGGCGATTGTTGACCTCAATATTCACTTCAGTTCATAAAACTGTTTATACTTATACTTAATTTTTGTTCATTTCGTTATGTGAGTGTAATAATGGCAGCTAAAAATAAATGTATCTAAACTGGAATGAAATTTCATGATCGAAGGAAGAGAATAAGAAATCAATACATTCTTTGTAAATACGTGTTTGCAAGACAAACACGCAACAGCTGTCACATTCATTATGATTCACGTAATGGTATCAGGTCTTATTCCCAATACGCTTCCATCAAAGGCGTTTCTAATGGTTTAATAAAGATAAAATTCCCAAGTATCTGGGTTTTTCTATGTATAAATAATGACAAGATTTTCTTTACAATCTATATTCAACTCGGTAAGTTTGGTTGAGAACGCCTTCACTGTGAAAATCGAAAATGATTGTGGCATAGTTTTAGATAAAATACAAATGCCTTTAAAAGTGGATAAAACAAAAGTCTTCTTCGAAAACCTTGCCAAACATACTACTGAAGAATCATTGCGAGCATCCTTATTGAAAGAATACCAAGTACAAATATGTAGCGTTCCATTAGAATCAGGTAAGGAAAGATACGTAGTGTTTATCTAGATGAACAAGAAACCATCAATATCTTTTCAGGTCAAAACAAAAGATACAGTTCGGTTAAGTTTACCGACGAGGCTAATGTTGATAAGTTAATGAACAATCGGCCGATTCGAATCGATGATCAACATGTCGAAGTTTACCGATCAGTGCCTGATAAAGGTCCTTTGAAAGGGAAATTAGGCGTCACAACTCTTCTTGTTCACGGCATAGAAAACAAACTAACCAAAAAAGATATACAGGAATACTTCCAAGACAAATATGGAAAAATAAAAAATATTTCTACCAGTGAAGACGATGGTCTTTGTCAAGTCGAATTTTTCGAGTATGTTTATCATAATTGTTGAGATAATATTGTTTCTCTTCATTCATTTTTGTATAGCTACGATTCCGTGGATAAAGCTTTGTTAAATAAGCCACATCAAATTAAATCTGTCAATATCAGCATAGAAAAAGGTGAGCGCCGTCGTTCACAACCGGTAACAACTGAAGTATTAGGTTCACAGCGATCGGCCCAAAAATATCGTATTCATGTAACCAATCTTCCATTAACAACAAATGCAAACAGCCTATCGAAGTTATTCAATAATTGGCCAATTCGCAATATACTTATGCGACGAACTAGTCAACAAGATTCATCAACTGAATGTTGACTGATCAATATACACGTTCTGGAAGTTGCGAGCGATTTTGTGAAAAAATGGAACGGTCGAATTCATGACAATATGAATATACAGTGTTCTTTCGATATAGATACAACAGATCTGTGTAAGTTTTTTCAAGTTGGTTGCTGTAATCATGAAGCTGACAAATGCGATTGGAAACATATCGCATGTACCAATTATTCAACCTGTTCAGCATCTGATTGTGCGTATGGCCATTCTCGTGAATTGCGACGAACAATGATCGAGCCCAAAGATTCATATCGAATAAAAATCACCGGTTTTCAAACTGACATAACACCGGAAGTATTATCCAGCCTGTCAAAACATCCAGATAATAAGTACTATGTCTCCTCACACGACAAAAAAACTGGCTACGCAATCAAATTGAAAAGCATCAATTCAACACAGAGACTCTTCGAAGAATGGCATGAACGTACGCTTGATGGGCATAATACATTACAATGTCAACTTGAGACGAATACAGTTCCACCTGTTCGTACATATAGTTGCAACTTATCTTGTTCAAGCGATAGTACGGATTCGAGTATCGCGTCATATCAAGAGCCAAAGCCGAGTAGTCAATCACTTTTCCCCACTAATGGTTGGAACTCTTCTTCGAAATGTGAGTCGAACTGACCTTCACTTTATCATAAGATAAGTTCTAATTTATTTAGTGACATTACCTAGTGCTGATTTGAGTAATCAGTGGGAGATAACAAAAAAAGTAGATGAGAACGGTCGAGTCTTGTTAATACGCGGCAAGCTAAAACGAAATCAGTGTGCTGTTTTCAAGAAATGCGAAAATATTAATGAACTACAAGCATTAACAATTCTGAAAGGTAAGTACCGCAAGTCCAGATCATTTTCATAGTATTGAATTTTGTTTAGGTATTGATAATGTATCTCAACTGATTGATTATTCCGAAAAGGATGATAACCGTTGGATGATTATAGAACGTGCACCGGGATTATCACTTGAAGAATTCATTCGACGAAAAGATCATCATGTTCTAGATATACTTCAAGCAGTTCAATTAACCCAAAAGGTACTGACGATCATCAAATGCATTCATTCCCAAGGTGTACGTCATAGAAACTTGCAACCGAAACACATTATGATCCAACACGATTCTGGGCCAATGTGGATCGAACGCGCAAAACTAACTATAATAAGTTTTTCAAATGCTCATATTAAATCGGAAACAAATATTTGTTCTGATTCTCTGTCAAAACAAAGTTGGTGTCAACCATGGCAATCGGATACGAAAGTTTCACAATGGCTTAGCTCGATCGATACAACGAGCATCTGTGCTTTACTCTTCTGGTTAATAACACATACGGTGCCAACGCACGATGATGAGGGTAAAATTCTTCCAAATGAGCGGAATGATGCTCGTGAGCGTTTAGAAACTGAAATCGTAACGCAATGTAAGTTTTGCAACACTTTTGTTTTCAATAATGTGTCTAGCTTACTTTGTAGACTCAAAGAAAAAGAAGTCGGATGATGTCAAATGTTTGACGAGATATCTAAATGACACATTTAGCTACGCTTTCGGCTATCCTGATTATCCACCATGGACGATCGATGATTTAGAAGTTCGATTAGAATCCATATGTGAACTTATCTGCCCTTCTGATAAAAACTTACATTCCATCGAAGAGATTTCTCAATGTACACTTTCGATTGCACAGGTACCAAAACAGTTACCTCCTCGACAATCGATTGCTCAGCAAAATATCTTTGTCAAGGCGTCGTACGCATTCTCTGAAGCGAAACAAATCTTTTTCAAACTCCACAATCAAAGATACTCTTGGTCGTATGGTGATTGCATTTGGTTAAGTAATTCATACAGTCTACTTGATGAACATCAGAATTACGATATCCTTATGTATCATGAATTGCAACGAAACATGGTTCGTTATTGTCCTACTATTATTGTGTGCTTGGCAAGTTTTCTTGAGAAGGAACGGATGATCACATTCTCAATCGGTAGTCCAGTGAATGGTAAAATGCTTCGCTTTCCCATTGGTCAATATAGTACAGACCAAGACTGTGAAGAAGAATTCCGAGAAAACTTCCAGATTGAATTAAAACATCTTTTGCTTGCACTCTACAAGCAATCCAAGCTCGAATGACAAGAGAATTATTTTTTTTGTTTTATCATTATGCACGAATATCATCTTTATTTTGTTTTTGAATGAACGAAAATAAATGTAATCAAGATATTGAATCTACTTTATTCTTGAAACTAGAAACGACAGTTCGGGGACATTAGAAAACTTAGTTAGTCATTTCACAAAAATAAACGACGTGAGAATAGGTAGTGTCCATCTTGGGGTTATGTTCTTATTCAGGAGGCAAAGTTCGAGGTGTAATAATTTTGAATTCCTAAGAGTTCCTACCAAGGTACGCTGTCAAATTTCTTTTGTTTTTATTTAGAAAAAGTGCATCTTCGTCAATCATATTATAGCACAGTATCTGATTTGACATTGAACAATCGATGACTTCCTCAGGTACACGACACAATAGGTAGTAAAACATAATATTGAATGAAAATGCTGGCCGACTGATTGGAAAATAAGAATACAAAATGCAGTATATATCGTCTTCTCCAAGTGACATACTTCTAATAATTCAGTAATCCTACGCAGTATCAAACACGTGCTCATGAGATTTCAGAACGGTTTATAGGACAGATATCCATGAAATAAATGAGATGATAGTCAGTAATCAACTCAAACTTTTAGATCTACACAACACTTTCAGTTTTTAGACAACGAGACTATTTTCGGTAGTACGGTGTAATTCTACGTTGCAAAAAGAATCATGACGTCGAAATGTACCGATTCGCACAGTAAAGCTAGTAGAACAGAGTAACATTTGACTATGAAAACAAATTCTACGGCAAATGCACAATTCTTCGAAATGAGTAGTTCAAATGTGAATAGTGTTTGAGGGTGAGAAAGATGCGAGTGTGATAAATTGACTGTAGTACCACAAGACGTTGTATATTCTTTTACAAAATAGCGAGCTTATGCATACAGAAGAGAGTTATTTGTTAAAAGATATGAATATCACGAGTTCTTGGAAAGCATGTTATGCCCTACTGCACATAAAGAAAAGGAAATTTGATAAAAATCTAACCAGATGTATATCTTTGAAGCACAACTTGTGAAATCCAACAGGGAATCGATGAAAACTCAGAGAACAAGCATGTTGAAAAGATACTTGCGTCGCAACACACAAACAGATGCACCGGTTGGAAGAAACGAATTTTTTTATCGTTACTCATTGCGTTTCGGTTTAATGTCGACAAGAATAAGAGAAAACTGAAGCTTGAATCCGTATTAAACATTTGAGCAGTTGGTAAACTGGTGCTGTTCTCAAATATTTACAAGAGTTAATCGCTGGCATCTGCTTCCATTTTGTTCGAAATTAAAACTTTTGAGAACGAGATAATCTTCGGCATCAGTAGACAGCTCATGTATTTATGTATATCATTACCTGCAAATTAGAAGCCACTGGTTTATTCCCGTCTCGATGTGCATGTAGGTGTTCAAATTGCATGAATTCCACATAAATGATGCAAACGAGTAAAGTCGACGTTCAGAATGTAATTTATGGTAGATCAAAGAACATAATTTTGTAAATCGTTTGTTTGTTTTAGTTACCAACATACAACCCATCTACTCGATCAAATCGCATGTATAGACATTGTGTGAGATAGAAATACTCAATCAAGGGAATCTTTTCATTTTTAGATGTGATCTCGCTTCTAAACGAAAACTGACATGCATGATTTATTTCACTATTATTACTATTTTGATCGTAGTAGGGAGCGTCATTTCATTCTATGCGAGCAGCAAGAGATTGAAAAAGACAGCAAAATCTACAAGTTCATCGAGTGTTGTCAATGAACAGTTCGAAGTAACGACTATAGTGACCGATACAAGATCATTGATAAATAAAGGTAACGTGTTCAACAGTTAACACAGAGAAAAGGTAGACTTTATCAGAATTTTTCAGACCTGCCACCACTTATTACTCCCAATGACACAATCTACGGTGTATACGAAGCATTCATGGGCTATAATAGTACGATAGCATCACCGTACACCAATGGTACTGGTCAATATCATCTTGACGAGTCACCAAGTAATGCATGTGATGGAAACATTGCCACGAAATATGTTAATTTCGGACTTTGTGCAGCTGATGCGCACATTTGTGGATGTGGTTCACAAACGGGTTTGCATATCGAGTTAAAACGTGGTGCGCCATTGGTAACTGGATTTCAAATATGCACAGGCGATGATTATCCTGGACGTGATCCTATCTTAGTGACACTGGAAGGAAGCAATCATTCGGGAACAGATCTTCTTGTAGGTTCCAGCTGGTCTTTAATCTATGTTGGTGATAGTGATCTAAAATCTGATCCTGGGAGACATAAATGCGGTACGATTCAAATGTTTCCCAATTCAAATCGATATAAGAGTTACCGATTTCTTATTTTGAGTGTCCGACAAGTATTGGACTGTGCACAATATTCCGAATTACAATTATATGGATATTAATTCTTAAAATTCTCGATCCTTCTTTCTTTTTTTGTTTGATAAACGACTTATTGATAATAAATCGATTCATTTCCGTTTCTCGAGAAAGCTCAAGTCAAATTCTATTCATTTATACTTAGTATTTCACAAGAAACTTGTAACTATAAATGCAACCATCATCATCATCATGCTTTTCTTCAAAAACGAAAGATATATAAATGACTCACTTGTATTGAAAAACGTTGCGAAATCAGGCTCACTTATATACTGATTTTTCTCGGACCAGCTGACCAGTTTGTGCTTCATTACAGTGTGCTGCCAAACAATTAATATATGAAACATCTGCATGTGCATGAACAGCCATGTCAAATTCGACTTCGCGTTTGAACATTTGAAGATGTGGAGCATCCTTCACATAACCGGCACACACTTTCATTCTGTTTAATTCATTGAAGTATTCAGAGATACACCGTATACATGCGATCAGATCAACCATCGTTGATTTTCGATACTTTTCAGCGGTTTGATTCGTAAAAGATAAACACTGGTGTGCGTCGATTGTCACTACTGACCTCAAAAGATATCTTTCAGGTCATCACGTTAGTTGACTACTGTCAGTGATTGCAACAAGCGTTTGAATACGCCCATATCATTGCAATAATAGTTAAGCAACTTATGTATTGGTTATCTAGATGTACGATGCAGTTTGAACGGAGATCTAGGAAATGGGGATACTTTCGATTGTTTTAAATAGGGGTCTTTATTAGTCATAGATGAATCACCTTGATAATAAACAAGATAAGATTAGTCATCTATGAAATTAGTCAAAAGGTTTATTTAATAGTACATTCAACACGTAAAAGTACATTTTTGTATTTGATATGCATTATAAATGAAATTTCGTTTCATGGAATTTTTTACTTTATCATCTTTGTATTCAGTGTAGAATCCTATGGAAGTGACAACAAGTTCATCATTTTATGACGACACCATAGAACACTATCCTTCGTGGTATCTCACATTGAATTAGTTTTGAAAAACAATAACTATGAAAATTGAGGTATAATTAAGAGAAGGAACTGGTATATGAGCATAGTTATTGTTTAGATGTTAACTACGTACATATGTTTATAAATTGCCATTATACATATATCGAATCTATTCGATCAGAAAAACACAAACTGAGGGCATGCATTTTGCTACGTGTTATTGATAAATGGCATAAATGAGAAAACGCAGGTGAAATGGGCGCTTGTATGTGTAAAAGTACTTTCCCATCAGTTTATGCGGAGTTCGTTCCTTTTTCGCCGTTCTTTTCGATTGACTCTGATGAATGCAAAAGTATATTTATGGTGTCTATCATACTTCTTCTCTTCTATGCGATAGCCACGGTCGTTGGTTCTATGAAAATATAAGCACGTAGTTGCAGGTGTAAACACTTTAAGAAAGGCGTGTCGTTTTAAACGAATGACGTCACACTTTTGATTTTTTATTGGGCCAATCGAACTGTTTCGCCAATTACGCTGACTATATATAGGTATAATATTCACTCATTCGTACAGATAACTCAATACGAAATGTCTTCGCTCTCTTATTTCGTTATTTTTCTTTTTACTCTTCAAAGTGTTCACACACTGCAATGCTATCTGAGTACTATTGATGGAAGTGGTACAGTAATAACAATAGACTCAAATAATCAGACAAATTTATGCAATGTCACCACAGGCTGTGTTTGCGCAAGTTTTCAAAGCTATTGTCCAGACGCAACGTTTTGCACCAGCAGTGATTTTCAAAACAACGTTACGAAATGGTTCTATGCTCTTACAGATCCAATAAGCTGCTCAGACAAGAACCAAACAAATGGTGCCTGGAACATAACCTGTTGTAGTACAGATCTGTGCAATAATCAAGGGATTAGCGGTGCGGCCATCAACACAACTACTATTGCAAACGCTGCTACCACGAACACTATCACGAACGCTGCTGGTGCTACTACAACTACTACCACCACCACCACGAGCAATGGTGGTACTACGACTACAGTTGCTACGAGCACAACTAATTCGACGACTACCACTCCTGCCGTTAATACTACTATTAGTATAAGCGTATCAACAAACTCATCTTCACCGATGATTTTGCCATCATTCACCGCATCAGCAGCTCTATTGGCATTGTGCTTTGCGAAGATACTAGTCTAAATTCTTTAAAATTTTCTCTTTTCTACTAGTGGGTGACTTGATTTTTCTTTCACATGTATGATTTTTACTCGTTGGTTTCATTAATAAAGGATGTCGTTTGTGAACTATGACTCACGAATTGTTTTCATGCAGAGAATACAAAAAGTGTGCATCGAATCAATGACGTTGATATTATATAGTCGCGTATATTATTATTTTGACACGCGCAGAAGGTGAAAAGAAGAATGCAATCACAAAAACGTACTTAATATGAACTTTCAGTAGGAGTATGTTGCTTTTCTACCTGAAATCAAATCGGTACGGACTATGGACTCCGTGCGGTGTGATCAGTTCTGTAAATGTTCTCACAAACGACATAAGTTCAACTGAATTTATGTACGTATATGATATCGATCGATTCGAAAATGCACAGATAGTGATTGAAATCGAAATACGTTAGAAAAATCGATACAGATAAGTTCTTTCCGCTTCAAATAGAGCACGAATGGTCGCTCCAAGGTCTAATGGAGCTTGAGTGAGTCGTGTTGTTAAATAACACATTAATGAAACAGCGATGAAAATCGTCAATAGCACTCGATGTATCGCCACGTACACGAGAAGAAAGAAAAAAATGTGATCGATGACAAAGCATTTCTCGTTTTCATAATCTATTGCAATTTCTCCAACTATTCACCGGATGTACACGCTGACAAGATCAGTGCAGAAATTCCTGACTACACTATTAAGATGCCATACATGCGTTAAATGACACTGAAGAGTGTATATTTATTGAAAATATAGTCAAGGATTCAACAGATTATCCAACAGAAAATATCGATGCAATTGTAGAAATAGAAATAAATGAAAAACCATATGAAACGCAAAGGATCTTCGTCAATCTCAAAGATAAACATGGCTTCAAAACAACGGCTTATGCAACTAATGGACCATATGGCTGTTTCTTTGTGTTCACAACAGCATATAGCGATAATGCCATAAATAGTCTTGTATCGTCTAGAGATCTTTAAATATTGTCTGTCTTTATTGCCAACAAAATGCTGTATCACATTAATAAACTAAATATCTATTTCATATCTTGTCAGAGAAAAGCAAATAGTATTGCAAAGTACGGGGTGACTATTTGTCCAGGTGAAATAACTGGCAAAGTATGCAAAACCTTGAAATGTTTCGTTTAAGTGTATGTATTTTTGCGGGAACAATTCTGGTGCTGGTTTTTTTAGTAAAAAGTAGAGAGTAGGTGTCGTTAGTATTTGACTATCTAGAATTGTTTCATTTCTCGCTTATGATATCAAAAGTAAATACGATAGCCAATGGTTAACAATGCACTTATTCGCCTTTTTCCGATTGACCAATAGACATACCTCGTCTAACAAAAGACAACTGATCGTATATAAATATCTGTTCAATAATAGACGGCTGTATACATTCTGAATAGATAAATTGGTTGAAAGGTCATGTCTCGGCAATTCTTTGTACTTTTCGTCAGTGTAGTTCTTGTACAATTTAGTGCAAGTAATCCTATTCGTAAGTACTAAAAGCGAAGATTGAAATATACTCCATCGAATTTGTTTTACAATAGCTGTGTCGACCAACAATCAAGGTTCACTCTTTGAAACTAAAAATACTCATGGTAATGTTTATGAGAACAAATATTTTAATGTGACAGCAGAAAAACCAGAATCATGGCATACAATCAGCACCAAGGTAATTGCAAATTCTATTCAGAATATTGCGTCACCGATTGTAAGCCAAATTAGCAATATTACTGGTCATAATGTATCAATCCCGCCCAATTACTTAATTCCTCTATTCGGTTTCTCGCACTATCAATTTGGTATTCACAAGGGGTCAGTTAACGCCAACTTTATCGGAGTCGTTCAAAATGTCACACGCGACGGACTCTTACAAAACAACTGCGACATATTCAATGTTCATCTTGTCAAGCTTGTAACGGACATGCATGTAACACGGGCAGGTGAATGTCAGCAGATCGATGTCAACGGATTCAAATATGTTTGGCAACAATCAGAGGTTCAATTAAGTAATTCAGTAACTGTAAATCAAATTCAATACATCCGAAGTAGTCCAAATGGCTATCTATTTAGATTTACATTGACATACCAAAAAAACAATGAAAGAGATGAACTCCTGAACATCATGAAAAGTGTTCGCTTCGTTGTATAATGCTTTTTGTGTTCGTAATCATGTGCTTAGGTAGATAGTTTGTTCCTGTCATGAAAATAGATATTAGATTCAATTAATGAATAAAATTTCTTAAAAGTTCAAACGCATTACTTTGATGAGACATCAAAGAAGTCAACGCGACGCATAATCGTTGAATGTATTCTCATCATGACGAGAAAATTTTAATTTTTAATGACTGATTGAGTATACGTGTTAGTTTGGCTTCATTCCTTAAAGCCACGATCGTCAGTTTGGATCCCATTCGAATCTGATGATAGCGGAAGAACGTCCTTCCTTTACATGTACATACTTGAATGAGTAAAGAATGAACGCAGGGAATAGTTTATTCGAATGGGTAAGCACACATGACATTACTTTGTCATGAACATTATTATTAATATAAACGAAGAACACTACAATCAAGGGGGTGTACAGGTCATGACTCCTGAGAATGTAGCACTCATTTAGGATTCAATCTGTTGTTATCGTCTGGAAGATATAAAGAGCATAACATCGGTGGGAGTGAGAGGAAAATTTGAATTTGACGAGAAATGTCCTTATGAAATGGAGTTTAGTTTGTATACTAAAAACAAATCAAAAGCTCTACTCGTTGTACTCAGATTTAATCAGCATTGTTGGAGTTTCACGGCAGACATTTATAAGTCTGGAATGAGCGATGATGAATGTAACAAAAGATGATTTTCTCATGAATTATAGAAAAAGCACATGTCAAATCTAATAGAAACCATGACTGGTTGCAATCACATTCCATGCATCAAAGGTACCATCGACCTGATAGAATTGTTTAAAAATAGAATCCAGTTGAATGTACCTCTCAATCTTCGTCGCCTGTCACGCCTGCTTATTAAAAAGGCTCGAAAGCTTCTAAGAATATTTTTGGAAGATGTTCTGCATGAGCAGAAATAAAATTTTCTCAGACCACATCAGTTGGGAATAAACGAGGGTCACGTGTATCACGATAGGCCCGTGAATCTACTTCGTCCCAGGTATAATCATTGCCTGATCAAGCCGTTTTCCGCATAAATTATCAGCCAAAATCATTCGGAAGTGAGGTCGACTGAGGAAAGACAGAAGATAAATTTTTAATGGAATAACAATAATAAGAAAAATATATAATCACAAGGGTAGGCGCGTTGTTAGTCGGATAGTAAAATAAGCAGTTGTGTAATTGAAATAATGCAAATATCATGTATGAACTAGTTTAAAAATAAATAAATAACATGGGTGTTTCTGCACTGCTCATATTCACGACAGTTTCTAATCAATTTAAAACCTTTTAATATTCGAGTAGAGAAACCAGGAGATCTCTATGTGTAGAGGAAAAACGCGCCATATGCTTCTTTGCTTTTTTATGAGTTGGTAAGTGGCATATGTTAATCTAATGTTTTCTCAACGATATGTTTCCTCAGAGAACAGAAATGTTGAGTTTTTTTTACTGTGCGAAAGAAGATCCTATTTTTTTTTTAAAGTGTGTTATTTGCCTAAAAGGCAGAAGATTAGCATATATGCATTCTGAACATGTTTAGTTGACATTAATAACTTGAGAAAATGGAACGAGGCGTGATGTTATTGGAATTCAGTATATTTATCCGATATTTGCGCCATATAGCTAGATGTACACAGGGCAAGCATCCATGAGCCCTTTTCTCTCTCTCTCTCTCTTTCCTGTCTTCAAACATTGTCAAATCAGTTTGTAGCTTGCGTAAATATTCATATTCAGATGATTAACTTTTCTATTACGATAATTTTGACATAGTTTCTTATTAGAAGACGAATACACAAACATTTCTACTATTTTTTTCTCTTCGCTGAAAGTACATAATTATCTATTAAAGGTAGAAAGAGAGAGAGAGAGAGAGAGAAGAGGAGGGAACAACGGGAATATAGTATTTTCAACGCATGAAGAATTACTTTGTAATTTTACTAACAAAATGTCGTTCATTGCCTTTTTTTTCTCTTTAACATATGGTAAGTGAGTGAAGAGGCGTTGAAATCGATTGTTATATCGATAGAGACATTGTTTCTCAACGAATTCATATTCTAATCTGACATGACAGTGAGCAGGGTCAGATCGTGATGAGCAGTAGCATTAACGAATGTCATAAGAATGACTTGACTTTCGTCTTATTCAAACATAGAATACTCAATTCGAAGTTGAAATATTATTTAAGAAGAAAATTTTCTTTGTATTTATTTAGATTAAATGTTATAAGTATCTTTCATTTGTAACGAATTAACAATTAGGATGTCAAATAGTAGTACCTCACCAATGAGTACGATGGAGTACATACAGAGAACGTTAACGCAGATTTCTATTCCTTATATTATCATTATTCCATCAATTGGCATTGCCGGTAACGTACTGACTATCATTATGTTGTCAAAACGATCTCTAACGAAAAATTTCAATAATTGTACATTGATTGCACTAGGTAAATAGTTGAACGCGATGGAAAAGTAGAAGCAAACTCTTGTGTGTTTTAGGTGCAGCAGATCTTCTATTCAATTTAACACTTGTGTCGTTTTGTATAAATAAATTGAGCGGTTTAAATTCAGATAGTTTCTGTCGATTCTTATCGTTTTGTTCTCATCTAGCTGAATTGTTATCCGCTTGTTTTACTGCACATTTTACTATTCAACGTTTCATTGCTGTGCGATTTCCTTTAAGTGTATTCATGGAGAAGAATGTTCATATCTTGCACTATGTTATTGAATCACTGATTATTCTATTCGGCGTATCATATTGTTTATTACTCATCATGAATAACCGATATGACAATTGCCAAGAACAATTAGCTTCGAATTGGTTTATATCAGATGCGTTGTCATCGTTTGTCATTCCATTCCTTATTATTGCAACATTGAATTTATTAATTATCTTTCATTTGAGAAAAACTTCGCGAAAGAATCAACAGTTGTCATCAGTTAATAAACGAACCAAACGAGATTCGTTGCCTTTGAACAATCGCAAGAAACCATCGATCTCGTTCGACTCGCAATCCCGATCGTCCGAGCTAAATATTGCGTTGAATCCAAAGGTAAGCTGCATTTTGTCAAAATGACATAGTCTATTTCCGAAACAGATACATTCTGAGTTGACTTTTTATTTTCTTTCCTAAATGGAATCATATCTCTTTCGCATGAACGAGAAAAGCAAATGATAAGCAGAAAAGGGCACTTTTTTTTCTGTAGCAATAGATTCTTTCATCGAAATCGTTTAATGATATGTGTTCTAATCGATTATCCATGAATATGAAGAGAGAAAAAAACAAGTTGTCAGGTTTAAAAGAAACAGAAAGTTGATTCAACATGAATGTTGACAAATTTTCATTCCGATAGGAAAAGATTACAGGTTTTTCAGGAAGAACAACATGTATTTCCTGTTAAAGAATCATGGAAACATAGAACAATATGTATGGGGGCGTCATTAATGACGTCTACCCAAGACCAATTAGCAGTCTTCCAAAATAGAAACGTGACGTGAGAGAATGACAAGGATATATCTGAGTCTATTAGAACCAAACGATTGGCTTTATGAGTGCATTTATATTTAGTGAGTAGAGATATGTCAGGCACGTGTATTTCACTCAATGTCCTGTATATATGAAAAAAAGGGCACACTATCTAAGGCTTTTTTCTGTCTAATTGACTTTTCTTGAAGTAGTCTTTTTTATAGCTTCAAAAAATTGCCTTTTGAATTCTTAGCTCACGTTCAGAATGATCTACGTTCTTTTAGCATCAAACCATCTATCAATTCAGAACCAATGGAGTATCGAATGCAAAGTATTTATCAGTTAGCACGCGTATGCGTCGCGGTGCATCTATTCGTTCAACGACTCGTTCTCATGCTCAATCGCATCGTGTTACACGCATGCTTATCTTAGTATCAACTTGTTTCCTATTACTAAATGCTCCATGGCATATCTGTACAATAAGTTCGCAGATCATTGGTTATATTGCCAATTCGGCATCACCATCATCATCGTTACTATTGAATTCGACATTTTATACAAACGACGAGACGAACTTGAGTTTTATATTAACCACGCCCACGTCGATGTCCTCGCGAGAATCTCCGGCGAGATCTAAAATCAGCTTTTTGGATGTCTTTTATATTGTCATGATTATCACTCAGCACGTATCATATTTATCTTATTCGATAAATTTTTTCTTATATTCATTTTGTGGAATGAAATTTCGTCGTGAATTAATGAAAGTTTTGTCTCGCTGTCGAAATCATCGTGAACATTTGCCTACATCAACAACGGCAAATTTCTTATGAAATTCAATTTTAGCGGTTCTCGTTAGCTTTTTGTTTGTATCATGTGATCGTTTCGTATTCAAATAAATCATTTCAACTGAACGATTGATGTGATTTGCAGACAGTTTTCTTCTGGCAAATATCTTGATCGAATAGGCGGGGAAAAAAAGTCATCTCTCAATCTGAAATATCTAATTAACCATGAACTTACACTTGTCGAATGGAACCGGATCTAATCGATTTCCTTCTCCTTCTCCTAATCATAGACTATTAATTTCATATACATCTCCTAACTTCTTTCTCTTGACTTACTAAGAGTATCGGAATTGTTCTTTCTCTTCGATATTATTGTTTGAGTGCTCTAAGAGATTATTAATCGGAGAGAGTATGAATGGCAAAAAAAAAGAGCAAGACTTTCTTCATACCTTGGCATAGATTCTATTTAGTAGAAAACAATTCAACACCACTTAGAATTTCCCTTTTCTCGCGTATTTCTCTCTACATATCGATTCAGTTCTTCGCCCATTTAGATTCCAATATACGAATCAGACAAGAAGACTTTCATGGGTATTTTCAAACGATGATTTCGAATGTCATTATTTTCTACATGAAAATCTTGTTCTTAAGTTTGCTTCTATTATTTCTTCGAATTCCATCTTCATCGAATGGAACCGTCTTATTTTTTCACAAGAAATTAGATAAACACTCACGTTTTCATCCAAATCAACAACAAGACGGAATCGCATCAATGCCCGGAACTGTTTGGACACACTTTCAATGTGACTCGAAGATAAGTCCGTTTATCGGCGTAGGATTCGGCTGTTATTGTCCAGGTGCATGGTGTTCAAATAATAATCAATGTTGTTCACAAATGTGCTATAAGAAAACTTGTTATTAACCCGATCTTTTTCATTTTTATCATATTTAATAAATTCGAAGAATCTGTTAAATATCAGCAGGCATGAAAACGGGCGGCTTTAGAACTCTTTCGACAGATGTCGCTCGTGTACATTTTAATTGCTAATTCATTTTCGATAAAATCTAGCTGAAGAATTGATTCCCATACGTGAAAAAATCTCACATTGCTTTTCGGTCGTTTGAAAAACTTATTACTCATTTAGATCTATTCCCATTGGTTATTTGATTTGATCTGGTTCTAGATGTATGTCAGAACTGATGAATCATTCTCTACTTTTTTTATTCATTTATTCATCATCATCAAAAATAAATATTTTTTCATTCTCATTTTCAACCTGAAAACTTATTCATCCTCACCTGTCCGAAATTCGTTCGGAATTCGAAAATTATGACATATAATGCAAGTACAACGCAAGATCACACATCAACTTTTCGAGATCCATTGATTTTCTACGATCCTGATCTAACAACTGGAAATACTCAAGCAACAGATTTTGTTTTCGATGATTTAACATTACCATCTCAACAGAGTCACTTACCGTTGACTGATATCAACAATAGTTTTCCCGTTGATGATCTTGATGGTCTGAATAATAATAATAATAGCACAAATTTGATTCAACAACGTGATCTCCCGTTTGAGGATGAAGAAGAAGGCTTTTTCGAAAAAGATTTACCCAAACATGCATGCGCGTAATTGATCTCGACATTTGCATGGTTCGAATCGTAAAAACTATTGTTCTGTTCTAGCTATTGTGGTATCCATGATCCAGCAGCAGTTGTAATGTGCAATCAGACGAAAAAATGGTTTTGTAATGGGCGTGGAAATACATCGGGCAGGTAGTTGAAACTATTTGTCCGTTTTACGAGTCTCGATGTGATTCATGATACTTAATTTAGTCATATCGTTAATCATCTTGTTCGTGCTCGATGTAAAGAAGTTACTTTACATAAAGATGGTCCGTTGGGTGAAACACAGTTAGAATGTTATAACTGCGGATGCCGAAATGCATTCCTACTCGGTTTTATTCCAGCGAAAGCAGACAGTGTCGTTGTTTTACTTTGTCGACAGCCATGCGCTAGTCAGAGTGCACTGAAAGATATGAATTGGTAAGTGATTTAACAGAATTGACTCATGTTTGCTCTATTGAACTCGTCTAGGGATCCCATGCAATGGCAACCATTGATACAAGATCGATGCTTCTTGACTTGGCTAGTGAAAATACCTTCTGAACAAGAACAATTACGTGCTCGTCAGATCACAGCACAAATGATCAATCGTTTAGAAGAACTTTGGAAGAACAATCCCGATGCTACCATAGCTGATCTAGAAAAGCCTGGCATTGATGAAGAACCACAACAGTGTAGTTTGAGATACGAGGATGCCTATCAATATCAGAATATTTTTGGTCCATTGGTGAAAATGGAAGCAGATGATGATCGAAAAATCAAAGAGTCACAAACGCAGGAGAACATCTCCGTACGATGGGATATGGGCTTGAACAAGAAACGTTTAGCTTACTTCTGTCTACCGAAAGCAAATGAAGGTAAACTTATCCGAATTTTCGATTCAAGATAAAAGTTAAGTACTATGGTTTCATTTATGTTGATTAGAGATGAGATTGATGCCAGGTGATGAACTACGTTTGAGATACGTTGGAGATCCGATGAGATCGAATTGGGGCGGTGTTGGACATGTTGTCAAAGTTCCAAATAGTAAGAAATTGTCAAAATTATCGCTTTCTGGTTATCGAATTAGTTAATATTCATGTAGATTATGGAGAAGAAGTTGGAATTGAATTGAAAATAAGTTCTGGTGCACCCGTTGAACATAGCACTAATTTCGTCGTCGAATTCGTTTGGAAATCCACATCCTTCGATCGGTAAGCGATTGTTTAGAAAAACAAACGAGATATGGATTTCTCGGTTCCATTGTAGAATGCAAGCCGCACTGAAAACATTTGCTGTCGATGAAAATAGTGTATCCGCTTATTTATATCATCGTCTACTTGGTCACGAAGTCGAAGATGTAGTCATGAAAGTATCCTTGCCGAAACGTTTTTCTGCACCAGGCCTACCTGAACTAAATCATTCACAAGTCTATGCTGTTAAAACTGTTCTTCAACGTCCATTGAGTCTTATTCAAGGTCCACCCGGAACTGGAAAAACTGTTACATCAGCGACGATTGTCTATCATTTAGTGAAACAAAGCCAAGGACAAGTACTTGTCTGTGCTCCGAGTAATATTGCTGTGGATCAATTAACTGAAAAGATTCATAAAACTGGTTTGAAAGTCGTGCGTCTATGTGCGAAAAGTCGTGAAGCACTCGATTCACCCGTCTCCTTCCTTGCATTGCATAATCAAGTAAGAAATCTTGAAAGGTAAGCACCGATTTGATTTCAATAGGGTCAATATCGTGTGTGACTATTTTTCTTCGATGTCTAGTGAACCAGAATTGAAGAAATTACAGCAATTGAAAGATGAAACAGGTGAATTGTCATCGGCTGATGAAAAACGTTATCGAACATTGAAACGTAAATGTGAAAGTGATTTACTTCGCAATGCAGATGTTATTTGTTGTACGTGCGTTGGTTCGGGAGATCCGCGTTTATCACACGGATATCAATTTCGTTCAATACTTATCGATGAGTCAACACAAGCGACGGAACCTGAATGTATGGTGCCAGTTGTTCTCGGTGCTAGACAACTTATTCTAGTCGGTGACCATTGTCAATTAGGACCAGTTGTAATGAGTAAGAAAGCAGCGAAAGCTGGTCTCAGTCAATCCTTATTTGAACGTTTGGTTGTGCTTGGCATTCGACCGATTCGATTGCAAGTACAATATCGAATGCACCCAGCATTATCAGCATTTCCATCAAACATTTTCTATGAAGGTTTGAACGAAAGTTTTTCTATTGTCCTATAATCGATCTGTCCTATCGTTGTTAGGTTCATTACAAAATGGTGTCACAGCTGCTGAACGTGCTATCAAAGGTTTAGATTTTCCATGGATTCAATCTGACAAGCCGATGTTTTTTCATTGTTCACTTGGCCAAGAGGAAATTTCTAGTAGTGGTACATCGTATCTGAATCGAACCGAAGCCAATATGGTAGAGAAGACCGCTACACGTTTACTTAAAGCTGGCATTAAACCAGAACAAATCGGCATTATAACACCCTATGAAGGGCAACGTGCTTTCATTGTCCAACATATGCAATATAGTGGTTCATTGAATGAAAAACTCTATCAAGAAATCGAGGTGGCGAGTGTCGATGCATTTCAAGGACGTGAAAAAGATTTTATTATTTTATCTTGTGTACGTGCAAATGAACATCAAGGTATTGGGTTCTTAAATGATCCGCGTCGACTTAATGTAGCTTTAACACGAGCAAAGTAAACGCATAACTATTTCAGTTTTAAACACATTCGACGTAAATATCTTCTTTCTAGATATGGTATTATTATCATCGGTAATCCAAAAGTTCTTTCACGTCAACCATTATGGAATCATTTGTTAACCTATTACAAAGAACAACATGTGCTTGCCGAGGGCCCATTGAATAACTTGAAAGAAAGTGCTATACAGTTTGCTAAACCAAAAAAACTTGTCAATCCATCGAATCCTGGCGGTCGATTCATGTCCAATGCTATGTTTTCTGGTTCGTTCTCATCTAGAATTTTACTATCACATATGCCTATGAAATTCATTTGGTTTTAGCGAAAGAAGCGATGATTCCTGGCTCAGTTTATGATCGAACGGCAACTACGACCGATAGACGACAAATGAACGGACCTATGTATGGAAATACGTTTGCATCAAATCTTCGTATGCATGATCCAATGAGCTATATTGATACTGAAATGATGGGTGGCGTGTCACAACCGCCGAATGCGTTGAACTTACCGATGCCACATCAAATGATAATGCCAACAATGCCTATCCCATATATGAGTGGCCCACCACCATTTAATCCAATGATGAATGGTTTGTAGCTGAAGAAGCGAAAAATAGTTTGACTTTATGATTCGATTTAGATCGACAAATGAATAATCAAGCGACAACAACAACAGCTAGAGGAGGCAGAGGAGGAGGAAGAGTGAAAAGCTCAACGAAACCACCGCGTTTTTCAAGAAATAATGCTACACAATCACAGGTATGAACTCTTTCTAAATTCAACAATCGATTCAAACATTAAATAAACTTTTATTCGTAGGATAATACAAATTTTACACAAGGTGGAACAATCAGTCAACCATATCCAGTGTCACAAAGCGGATTTATGTCACAAAATGCCTATGGTCTTTCACAGCAAGACTTTTCGCAACAAGTAAGTGGTGAAATATCTTTCGTATAAGATTTATGTTACTTCTCTCATATAATTTTCTCTCTCTAGGATATGTACGATGTATATCAACCATCACAAAACGAACATCATCAACTGTTATCGCAGGACTCAACGTATGCTGATTCAACGGCTTTCATTGGCTCTCAAATATCAAGTAATACGAGTAGTAATCCAACTAACAAAAGCAATCATTCACATTTTTGATCGCAAATTCAAACAATCAATAATAAGGATAAGAAAAACTTACTTCAAATCTATATACATACATCAGTTCATGTGATTGAAATCATGGATATGTTCAACGGCGAACAAAATGGCAAACAAATTGAATGTTTGAAAGAAAAAAAAACACCGACCATCATTGAAAAGAGTGCGAGAGTGTGTAATGTAGAATAAGACAAACAAAGACACTTTGCCATAGAGTACACATCGATTTTGTTTGATCTTTTATTTTTCATTCGTTCCTCAAGCAAAACAAGAATTCTTTTCCACGGTTTTTCTTCTTTTATTCTAGATGGATCATTCTTTAACTGAAAGAGCAGATACATGTCCAGTATGTGCGGAAGATTCAGTGACATTGCATCAATGTTGTCCAAACAAGAAAGATAGTTTGTGTGAGCCGTGCTGGTCGAAAATAATCTCCGGAGAAATAGAAAGAGGACGTATAGGCTCGTTATTTCTTGGAGAATTATTGTGCAATTTTTGTAATAAACCAATTGAACGTAATCGTCTACCGAAAGATCTTCAAAGTCGACTTAATAATATTCTTCTAACCATTCCACGAACAAAAACACCGAAATCAATTGAAGACTTCAATTATTCGTACAAAGACTCCAATCATTTAACCCATAGTTTAACTAATGAGAAATTTGTCTTCCTCTCCCAACGTCATTACAATGCCTTGGGTGCTTGTATAGATGTTTACATACAATCAGTAATGAAAAGTGATCAATGGAATTACAAAGAAATTTGGTTGCCAGAAAAGAGCGAAAATGTAGACGATCATCATGATCAAGTCAACATATTTACTTCAAATGATTTTGAAACAAATGAAAACGGCTGTCTGATTTTACTTCAAGGTTCTGGTGTTGTACGTCTAGGTCAATGGGCACGCTCATGTTGTATCAATGAATCACTTGATATCGGAAGTATGTGATCTTTTATTTGACAACGCGATGTTTTAAATTCTCTCATGACTCGAAAAAGGATATATTACTGCATTTTTCCTTTACATTTATCATATTTCATGAGAACGTAGATCAGTTTCCCAAAGAATATTTCGTCTAAAAAGAAAGCAATTCATACAATCTAACAGACGTGTGGTCATTCGGTCGCTGCTTGTAATACAACCGATATTCATGCCGAGGGTGTTTTCAAAACACTAAATTCTTTCGTTATATACATCATTTGACAAACATCTTTTCTTAGGCATGTTTCCATACATGAAGAAAGCCAAGGAACATGGTTTATCTGTGATCATTCTCAATCCAAATCAAACAAGCTATGTTGAAAAGCAAATATGTGATAATGGAACTACAACGCTTTCAGATAGAAAAACAAATTCCACTGAACAACAGTCATCTGCTACAAACAGACAAGCAGATGACAAGAAGACAACGGACTCTGATAACGACTTGATTTCTTATTATTTATCTCCCGATCCACTTCCTTATCCAATAACAAAAAAGATTCCAAATTTATCAACAAACCGTGAACATGTTCTTCATGTATATGATAATGTCATTTCCAAATGTCCGGCGAAGAAATTCTATATTGTTGCACATTCAGCTGGCGGTGATGGTCTAATGTTTTTACTGCGTAAACGTCAAAATACTATTTTAAAAAAGACGTGGAAAGTTGCATTTACTGACTCAGTTCATTCTGTTTTGCCATTGGAATCGAATGAAATCAAAAATTTCCTCAAATTACATGCTATTCACTTTGTTGCCAGTGATCAACCAATGGGAGAAGAGCTGGATTCAGTCTACGATTTTTCACATGGATCAGCTTGTCAAGAAGTATCCGCTGGACATCCTAAGCACGAATACACATCTGGATACTGTGTCGAGGGAGTTTTTAACTTTTTTTTCCCATCTGATCATAATATTGATAGAACAGCTTTTTAATGAATTAAAACTAAACTTTCCCTTTATTATCATTTTCAGATTATTCATGTTTAGCAGAAAATCTATACCAGGTATGAGAAAGATATTTGTGAACAGAGCCGGAAACTTTTTTACATTTACTTGTAGAGCAAACGAAAGCTCATAATCGTGAGTTGAGAAAAACTGATCGGGAATTGGTGCGCGATCGTCACAAACTCGAAGCGGAAGAACAACGCATAGTAAATATCTAGTATTAATATTGTCTTTCGTATTAACCTTCGTTTAAGGTAAACGAAATTCGAAAAAATGCGTCCAGTGGCAATAAAAAGGTAAACGAACAAGCTGGATTTTACTTCCATTTACACTTCAATAAACAAACCTATACTAGGCAGTAGAGATCTTAGCAAAACAATTGGTTAAAATACGAAATCAGAAAGCACAGTCGTTTCAAGCATCGAGCCAAATACAAGGTTTAGCCACACAAAATACAATGATGGCTTCGAATGTACGAATGGCCAATACAATGCAGGTTAGTGACAAAACGATTTGTTCGTGTACGGAACGAAATTATCTCATCGATCATTTATAGGCTACCGCTAAAACCATGGCTAAGATGAATAAGGTTATGAATCCAGAAAAAATGGCTAAAATTACTCAGCAATTCGGTCAGGAACATACGAAGCTGGGTATCAAAGAAGAAATGAGTATGTACTACGTCGATTTTCGGACTGATCGTTATCGAGGATTATCATATCTTCTTCGTTTCAGTGGGAGAAACACTGGATGCTGCTTTCGGACAAGAAGGTGATTCAGATGAAGAAGATGCCATTGTCAATCAAGTTCTCGATGAAATCGGCATTTCATTCAACGAGAAAATGGCTGTTGCTCCACGAGTTCCTGCCGGTGCCACCGGTATGGTATCGAATCGCCGACAAGCCAACAACGAAGACGCCGAGATTGAACGAATGTTAGCAAATCTCAAATCCTAACTGTGACATTTCTCCACTCTCAGTCTCTGACACAGGACACACGATCGATTTTTATAAAAACTCATTTAGATGATCATCTTCTTTTTTTTATAATCTTGCTCTTTAATCGTTTTCTTTCCTCTTTTGGAACGCTTATTCTGATCAACAGATCTAATTGTAAATAGAAAAATCGCCATTGGTTTTCGAACTTTTTCATACTGTTACTAAATTTAATCAATCATGTAGTTGATTTTCATGAATTAATCGATGAATGAACGAACGAACGAAGTTGTATTGTTAATAGAAAAAAAGGGACATCTAGTTAATCTTTAATATTTGTACGTTTTTCTTTTCTGTTCCAAACAAAAATCAGTCAGACTGTTGATTAAATTATAATAACGTTGATCTCTCTGTTTTGCGTATGTCTGATTAAGTGAACGTAGCTTTGCTACGGCATGTTCTCGTTGATTTGCTTGATGGAACTGTGCAAAATGTTCACGAAACTCCGGACGAAACTTGACAAAATGATCGACAAAATCACTGTAAGTTTCACATTCTAAAGATTCGTTCATTAAACGAGTATATTCGTCGAAATCGATCGATTGGGTCATGGGTACATTTAAACTTGCACTATGATACGCAGACGAACTTCTACCCGTTCTTGTTATAAAACTTTTCGAACCAGTTAACGATGTCGACGGGCGACTTTGAACCAGAGATGATTGTGATCGTGTCGCTTCTGAACGATCAAGTAGTTTTTGTGCAGCTTGTAACACCTGATTTGTTCGTCGTTCTGTTTTCGTTCGTCGGTCTGGAAGCGAGTTAATTGTTATCAATGATGGTACACTTTGATGTACTGGATTAGTTGATGATCCGCAACGTTCCTTGTGCTTTTCGTGACGATCTTTCTCTTTTTTCAGAGCATCACGAAAATATTTGTCGTATCGATACCAGGTCTCGTGTCGTTTACGAGTGACATGTAAGAAAGTTTCCATATGACGATCCGCATTTAGTCGTATCTTCCTTCGTTCACGATCAATCGGCAGAATATGAGTTTGATAAAATCTTTTCTCTATTTTATTTCCAGTTAGAATTGCTTGAGAGAGATGTGATGGAGCTGTTTCTGAAAACATCTCTACCCGATATAATTCAACTGTTACAATGTGTTGTTTTGAATGCAAAAGAAGTACAATATGAAACCATATTGATGTTTTATTCAAATCCGAGTACTGTAAGGGCTCGCTAGTGAGCAGTAATGAAAAATCGTATTGACACTTAATTTTAAGTTATTTTTCTCTCAGGAATATTGTCTGTGACAAAAAAATCAACAATTCAACGAGATTATATTGGAAAAAATGAATTGAATAACAGTGCAAAAATATTATTAAGCATCAATAAATAATATTTTGAACCTTGTATAGCTTCTGAAGAACTGTCACATGTGAAAGATATGTCATTGCATCGTCATCGCCAAGTTCTTATCTATGAATGCATCCAACATTTTCATATTTATCACTTGCAACATCATCGTCATCATGCATACCCTTTTTCGATCGCTCGTTGTTCTTTACGGTTGCTTCATTTGGAACATAGCTGGTCTGCCAGTGAACTGTCCTAGTTCACCTGCTGAATGGTGTGGAACAAGAGCAATCGCAGCTGCGTGCGGAGTTCGTATTTATCGTATTAGGTTTCTCGTAATAAACTTTGTCTTGAATAGGTTACAGAGCAATGCACAACGTTTGTATGGAATAATCGAACAAACGATCGTGTTAATTTTACGATTTATTATGAATCACTATGCGCCGATTGCCGGCAATTCACTATCACTCAAGTCTGGTTCGCTTATCAAGCTGTTGCTGATATCGTTAATTTAACGTTCGTTCCGTATGGTAACGCGCATGAAGTCTATCGACCTGAAACTCAGTTATATCAATTCTATTGTCAACATGGTCCGGATGAATGCTATGCGAATCTTATACATGTAAACGTGACAAATCAGACGAAATTGTTTCTCATTTTCTTCGCCTTTTCAGACGTGCGCCATTGCATCTTATCCAGACATTCGTCAACATATGGTAATGAGCGAACATGCAAGAAAAAGATTCAAGAGACGGCGTTTGTCCTATTTTAGCCTTTCATCTACTGCATGGACGCAACATTTGGTGATGTGGAAACCGTAGCGATACAATGTGCTAAAAATGTCAGTCTTGATTATGAAAAGATTTCAACTTGCACAAGTAGCCGAGTCGGAAATCAATTGCAACATGCATATGCTGTTCAAACCGAAAAAACCAAACCGACCACCGCTTTTGTACCATTTGTAACACTCAATGGCAATCACACAGATGAAATCCAAGATCGAGCACAAACTGATCTTATCGCTCTGTTATGTGAGACATACAAAGTAAAACTCTGACATATTTTGCTCCTGATACTACTCCAATGTGATTTATTTAGGGTCCCAACCCACCTTCTGGATGCAAAAAGACGACCTAATCAAGTTGCTACCTTGATAAAACTGACTATCATGCATATAATAGTTTTCTAATATACTTCGATGTATGATTTTTGTCAAAACGGAAACTCTTGTTCGTTTCGTTAAGATCTACCTTATCTTTTCTTATCATCGTATTGCAACGAGAGATAAAATTGACACTAGAGTATAGCATGCAAACAGAGACATCATTTAGATAAAGAAAAAAACATCTCTGTACATTCATTTCCAACTAGCTTTCAAGGCACATTTATCTATTCGAAGTACTCGACGTAGAATATGTCCAGAACTATACTTAGTTTCCTCATCATTCTATCGACTATTCAATTATCGATTGAACATCGATCGAAGACAGCTTTTTTTATCTCCATTCCCTTTATCGGTCATATGAATCCTTTGTTACGTCAAGCAATAGAATTGTATCATCGTCATACTAGCGAGTATAACATCTACATCGTCAGTTGTTCAAATATCAAGACACACGTCGAAATGTACTGTTTGAACACAACAATCAAGTTTCTCGATCTTGGTTCATGTTATAATGACACCGAACTAGCTCGAAACTTGGAAGCGATCGCATCACAAACGAATATACTGGTAGGTGCAATGCAAATGTTCGGAAGTGCTATCACAGACTATTATCTACATATGTACGATCAAATGTTGCGTGTACTTCAGCCAGAAATGTTCGATCATCAAGAAACAAGTATAGTAATTACCGATCGTCTAACGTATGCCGGTGCAAGTATTGCTGATCATTTTCAAATACCATATATTGTGAACGTAGCGGGTTTACTTCCTTATCTTGGTTGGCACGATATTTTACCAAGTGATTATAATCCGTGGATTCTCAGTAACCAACCTCCGAGCATACATTCACTTGGTATCAATCTATTAGCACGCACAGTTTTTCCCATCCTACGTTATTTTCTGCTTATTCAAATGTATTTTCAGTTCGATCGACCGTTTAATTATATTCGACAAGAAAGATTCGATTTCAATCATTCGAGTCACTTATGGTCTTATTTCAATTCTCATTTATTTCTAGTAAACAATGCGTTCGGACTTGAGTACGCTCAACACATACCACCCAATGTACAATTTACTGGCCCGATGCTTTCGATGAAACTTTCTTTTAATGATTACATAGAACAACTATCGCATGAGGATCGACAGTGGATTGAATCTGACACGCGACCTATCATTTATGTGAACTTTGGGACAGCCATTCCACTTTCAAAAGAACAAGTGAAAAAATTATCACTTGCTTTGCAATCATTGAGTGAATATCGTGTTCTTTGGAAAGTAGACCATCCGGACATTTCGCAAACCTCATCATCGACATTTCGAATAGTCAAATGGTTTTCATCTAGTTTAGGTCATTTAGCACATCCAGACGTTCAGTTATTCATTTCTCATTGTGGGATCAACAGTGCTTATGAAAGTGTTTGGTTAGGAACTGCGATTCTATGTATACCACGACTTGCTGATCAACTAGACATGGCACAACGTTTAGAAGATGCTGGCGTTGGAAAATGGTTAAATCAGGATAAGTTTACACCTGAACAATTAAAGCAAACCGTCGAGCTGATGTTCACATCTGGAGAAATGGTGTCGCGAAAGAGAAATATCAAACGAATTCAAGCAATAATGAAATTACATGGTGGAGTTGAACGTGCAGTTGACTTAATCGAAATGACTGCTGAATACGGAATCAAATCATTCGTACCAGTAAACAATTCCTACCCATGGTACGCCTATTATAATTTAGATGTTTATACCATATGGTTGTTTACCTTGATTCTTTTGAAGAAGTTAATCCATTACTTGTTTTTTTGTAATCGACGTACAGCTAAATCGAAAGAAAAAACAAATTAAATAGATCAATTTTCGATTGCGAATATATTTCGTTATTATTTAATCACAGCATATCGAGTTTTGTTTCTTAACAAGGATAAAGACTCGTTTACCTAGGAATCAGTTTCCAATCAACAAGAAAATAAATTTCGAGTGTTTGGACTAACCGATCATTTGGTCTTTTACAAGAAAATCATGCAATCATCGTGGAAGTATCTTTTTCTTTTTTCTCTTCTTCATTCCGCATATGGAAATTTTGAGAAAGAAGACGTGTCTTCAATCTCGAGCGGTCTTTCTTTTGGAATGTGCCGTGGTTATTGTCAACAGTTTGTCAATGCGACAAACAATCCTATGCAATTAAGTGCAATGAAGCAACCTAATTTTGCCGACGTATCTTTTCCACCACTTCGACAAACGTTTTCGTTTTCGTCGAATCAATGGGAAGAACTCCTGGCTCTTGTTTCACCAAAAGTATTTTCAAAATTAGGTGACACGATCGGATGTCCTGGTTGCGCGGACGGTGGTATTGAATGGATTCAAATCGACTGGAAAGATGGAAGCAAACGAGTGACATTTGAAAGTAGACGAGCTATTAAAGGAATTGAAGGATTGATTGATAAGTTACGAAAAATGAGAGAAGAGTATCTTCCTCAATTTTAATCGTTTGATTTCGATAAGATAATCAAATAAAAATGTTGAAAAAGAACGCTCAGATATTTCTATTTTGAATGCATGAAAAAGCGGATTGCTGCTACGATCCTATGTCAACCGACAGATGGCGGTATCGTCTTCGATTGAATTTTCGCTTTACTCGAATGTTTGCAAACATTCAAATTCTCAAATTAAGTAATATCGTCACATACATTGGATACCGGCTCTTTTTACACTTGTTTTGATCACAAATCGATCTCTATTGGACTCAGAAATATATTTCTATGGAAACATTTCAGAGAACTTTGTCGGATGGCGACTGTTTAACGATGAAATGACATAAAGTCAGCTTTTGAATACAGTATCTGAACTGAAACATAATGGATCGATCAGTCCAATATGCTCAAGTCATGTCTAATTTTGATTCGGTTTACAATGCCTCACCTAATTCTATACATCGTCAACCTCATATCTATGTACCTACTTCCTCATTTTCATCGCAACCAAGTCAATCAATATCGTCTTCTCTGAGTTCGTCACATGCAAAATTTAACATGGATTTATATCAACCCAATGATTCTCTTACTCAATTCGATCTTTATCAACCTTCTCCTCCATCATCTGTGATTGTTCATCATCATCCTGTCTATTCTCCACCTCCCTCACACGCAGTGTCAAAACTGCGGCAAATCAATGACGAACTGTGTCATACTCTCGCACAATCCGAATTGCCAAATTATCCTCCACCATTGCCACCACAGTATCATGTTCATCATCATCCAATATCTCATAGAACATATCGTTCGCAGTCTTATTCATCATCAGAATCCGAAGATATTGAACCTAAGAAACCGACTGCTCGAATTACTTATAAAGTTCATATTCCAAGTCGAAGAAAGCGACAATCACAAAAGCCAACTCCTGACGTTGATCAAATACTTGCTTCAACTTCCGATGCGTATGTACAAGACGATCCAGTAACGATTGATGTCTATCCAACACGTGATCAAGGTTACATTCGACGTATTCGAAATCGGCCGGATAATCAACAACCATGGTTACCGGATGAAATCCTTGTTCGACGAAATTCCTATTCAGGTCAGGATACTTCTCGCACACCGAGAGCAACCGACTATGAGAACCAGCTACTGCAACCAAAAAGTCGACTATCAGATTGCAAAGGTATGTTATTGAAGAAGATGACATAATTGGAAAATTTTCCATGTAATTGTCATAGAACGTGTGAGATCATCGTCGGCTAAACCTCGCATTCGCGGTGGTAGTGCTCAAAATGTACTACGGCATTCGGCTACAGCGCCCGTTTGGAGACCGAACGGTTCGATTAAACATGCAAAATTCATGGGTTCGAATGACCCACCTTCACCACCAAAACCAACGCGAGAACCACCTTGGAATCCTTCTGGTACTGCTACAAAAACCAAACAATTACGTGCATTCGATCCAACGAGTAAACTAGTACCAGTGAAGAAGCCTGAACCGGTATGGCATCCACCATCGAAAGAAATCAAGAAAAAAATGCCTAGATATTTTGAACCCACTACAAAGCCTGAGCGAACTACTCCGGTAAAATCAGCAACGGAACCAGTCGTACGAAAGAAACCTCCAAAACAAATTCCCAGTGGTGATCCAACATTAAAAACTCGTATTGCAACGGCTGAAAGTAAAGTTAAATCTGCATGGGAATCCACAAGCAATCCTAAGCCATTAGCTCCACGTCCGACTAAGCCGGCAACGATAACTGCACCTGCGAAACGTACAGTTAAATCTGCTCCGGCTCGCCCTATTACATCTTCTAAGAAACCAATTCGGGAACCTGCAGTAGCTGTGGATACTGGCCGAAGCTCGATATTTGATGCTCCTCCACCTCCGCTATTCGAATCAACGCCGCGAAATCAGAGTCCTGTCGGTGACGAGGACGTGATGAACGAAATATTTGGCGACACGTCACAAATATCCGTACAATCGAACAAAAAACACAAAGTAGAACCATCAACTGGCCCTGTAAAAACACCACCTAAAAAATGTATGTGCACATGTCTCTTTGAAATTATTTCATATGCAGTTTCATCTCTAACAAGTGTTTAAATAGTAGCACGATCAGATAAGGAGAAGATGTTCGTAATTAAAAGCGATAGTTAGGCTAATGGTGGATTTTTCTTTTATGTAAAAAGACTAAATTGTTATGCTTTATTTAGCACCATCACCGAAGCCTGAACCAGGATATACTAGCGACTTCGAAGAAACTGGAAATGATAAAGAAAATGATCATGACTTACAACCAGTACCGAATCCTTCTGATTCGCCACGTACGTATTATTTTCTATTGAATATCAAGCAATGCATCGTGTTTGTTCTGTTTGTAGGAGCGTCACCTGTACCAGATGATGAGGATGAGGCTCACGATAAGGGTGATGCTGTTCCATCAAAAGGGGATGATACCATTGGAAATGATGATGAAACCGCCGGTATAAACGAATCCGATCATCACGCTGAAGAAGATGATGATGATGACTCGAAGAAAAAAGAAGATGCATCTTCAACATCTCCAAAACGAAAAGATACATCACCTGAACCTCAAGAACCGAGTCTCGATGAAACCAATCCATTAGAAGATGATTCAGATGTGCCCGCTACTTCCGTCCCTCCGCCTGCTCCTCCTCTTACTACTACTACTGCTGCTCCTGCAGAAGCAAATGATGAAGCAGACGGCTTCTTTGACTAGAATAATTCGTTTGTGCATCTGTTTCATATGCTGTGATGAAGATTTTCCTATTTTTATTTTGATAAATACGTGCAAAATATATATGACATTTGAATGACACCGTACCGATCAAAATAAAGATGTGCACCTGGTTGTCGATGAGTTTTATAAATAAAATACTTCTTATTTAAATAATTATGTTTACTTTCTTTATACACACAAAGAAAAGAAACGAGAATGTTCTCGAACGCATCCATAATTGTTCAACTGATAGATTGTCCCATGAGTCAAAAAGATTCTTTTTGTCATCATTGCAATGCACTTGGTTTTGTCATGTTATTCTCATACAATTCTGTCGATAATTAAACATATTCAACAAAACTACGATGCCACATCGTGTAGGTGGAAGTAGCATGCGTTGTTTATCTTCTTCTCGGTATATATTAATAAAAGAAATAGCAATCCATTTCTTATTCATCAAAATTTATTTTCTCAGAGCTCCATGTCCAACCCATGCCGTAGTCGCACCGCAACCAGCTATTTCAGCTCCAGTCGGACGTCAACCTGGTCTATTTGCAATAGCCGGTAGCTAATTACAAGAAGTCTCGTATTCCACGATTGTTCCTCTTTGACACATTATAGATGGCTATCATAATCATGATCAACCAGCTGCTGTTACACAAACAACGACTGGTCCGACATCTCAACCGTTTTATCAAGATTCGTCGGAAAGATATGGCACAGATCGATGTAACTTATATCAAAAGGATGTTATGAAATGCTTCGATGAAGCAGACGGAGATTCCAAGCGATGTCAAGGCTTTTGAGAAGCGTTGAAAGTGAGCTGATTTGTTCCACTATTCACAATTTATACAAATACTATTTTAACACGTTTAGACGTGTCAATGCGATCAAAATTCTGGTCAGCTTGCTTATCTTTGAAGAGAAAGAATCCGAAACCATTTGTTTTTGCTACATTTTAAATGTAAACAAAATCTTGTATATTTATACTTTTTGTTTTGATAACCCGATTAAGAAGTTCGCCATGTATGTCATAGCAAAAATTAGAAAAGCAATTCTATTAATTATCATTCGAAAGAAAGAAAAGTTAAACAGCTTAGGTTAAGACAAATCCGAATTCATTAGTTTTTATAAGCTTAAGATCATTGTCATGCAAATCTTGATGCTTTGAAATCACATACAATCGCGCATCTATATCCGTCACCTCAGTAAACTCTACGTTCATTTGAGATATTCATCAGCTCGTTAAATCATCGAAATAATTGAGCATAACATACAAATCTAAGTTTATTAAAATGTCACAATCAAACATATCGTCGTTGAACATCATCGCTCAACAAGTGACTATCTATGCCGGCATTCCGATTCTTAGTATCGGTGTTCTCGGCAATTTAATCAACATCATCGTTTTTCTTAGTCTTCAAACATTTCGACAAAGTTCTTGTGCTGTCTATTTAATCGTTATGTCGATTGTTAATAATGGCCAACTAGTTACCGGCTTACTTACACGTATCATGATTAGCGGATTTGGCATTGATTGGACGGAAACGTCGCTGTTTTACTGTAAATTTCGACAATTTTGTATACAAACATGTGTATCGATCTCCATGACGTGTATGTGTCTAGCAACGATCGATCAATTTCTTGCCACTTGCTATTCTCGTCAATGGCAACAATGGAGCAATATTCAAGTTGCACATAGATTAACTTTTCTATCGGTGATCATCTGGCTGTTGCATGGCATTCCATACTGGTTTTATTACAATCAAGTGCAATCTATCTGCATGATTACCAATCGTATCTTTCAAATCTACGCGATTGCAATTCACATCGTATCTTGGAATTCTTTGATTCCAACGATAATTTGTATCATATTTGGTTTATTAGCATACCGAAATATCCAAGATATATCCTATCGAACAATTCCACTTGTTCGACGAGAATTAGATAAGCAACTGACAAGCATAGTTCTCATTCAAGTTATCTTCAATTTTGTCACGACCGTGCCATACGTGACAGTTTATATTTTTATTTTGTATGACAATCTGGCTGGAAGTGACGCCATCAACTTCGACAAAGTTAAATTTGCCAACACAATGACAATCTATTTGTTCTATTTGAGCTTTGCCGTGAGTTATCAAAATGCTTCCGTTTTCTTTTATTTATATTTACACGGATTTTCCTAGAGTCCCTTTTACATGTACATGTGCGTATCGGGCCGCTTTCGTCAACAGTTTGTTCATGTTTTCTTCCAGGTTCGTGTGAACAAATGGCGACGAAGAATAACAAACACTGTTTATCCGAATGCAGAGCAAAGATAGGAATTCAATCTCAATAAGCCTCTTACGTCCACAATAAACAGAAAAAAAGAATTTCCATCATCCGGATTACGTTTGTTGGAATGTTTTTCTTAAAACTGTATGTTGCTCACACTTGGCTGACGGAGAAATTTTTCACGCACGAACTGTACAGATATCGTAGGCGTATTAAACTTTAACAAGAGCTTTGGATTTGAGGTACAGAGTATTCACTCGTGCATCAATAGTCTCTTGGTAGCCTATCATCATGTGTTTCATTATTAATTATTCAATAGTCCTTGATTGACTATAGTATCAAATGAATTTGTCAAAACAAAACCAGATAATTACGCTTCACATGAGTTATTTATATATCCAAGAAAGCAAGACGCCGAGAAAAATGGAGTTTAAAGTTTCTGCTAGGAGAAATTCTACACCGTTGTATGATGTATGAGAAAGATGAGAAATTTGTGTGTAACCGTAATATAAACGATTTGTTGACCTTTAACTCAAAGGAATCTCGTTCTTGTCTGGTGTTAAATGTCGAACTGCTGACAGTAAATTTCAAATTAGTGGCAAGCTGCTTGTTTATATCTGTTTTGACAATGCAGAAATTAATGACTTTGCATCATAATTATTTCTTTTTTGTCGAAAGATGAAAAGCATATTTAGCATGCCTTTGTAATCGAAAATAATGTTAAAATTGAGCAATAGAAACGCCTTCAATCCAGAGCTTCTACAATAGCTAACCTAGACAGTACCATGAATTAACTCTGATGGTGAAAAGAGAGTCCATTCTTGTTCTTAAGGAACAAAAATATCTTCTCTATTATCGGGATGCACAATAGAAAATCAGGAACTACTGACTTTTCCTAGTTCTGAATTATAACAGGCTTTCTACGCGATGAGGAACCTCGGAATGACTTTGCTTTGTATCCAAAGAACTAAGAAAAGCGCCATTCAAGGAACATCTAATTAGAATTACTTGGTGCGCATTGAAAGATTTGCACATTCTGTTTGATTTACCGCGATCATCACTCGTAAAACGAACATATCAGTCAACACCTTTTATTTCATAAAAGGAAACACATAGATGTAGTTACGAAAAAGAAACAACTACATTTACACACTGGTTAACTTTATTAAACACAGGCTTGTCTCTTCGGACTGTTGCTCTGTTTCCGTCACACTCAGATCATCTTTGTTATGCCCTGACATGAGAAATGATTCCATGGATGGATCGTGAGAATTAGTCAGTCGTTTAGTCAGGTCTTTGTGTATCAATGGTGATGGGAGGGTTATTCGAAGTGGTAATGTCGCTGCAGATGGCCTATGTACAGTGATTTTACTTTCGTCTGTTCGACTTTGCCGTTGTTTTTCTTTGGAAAAAAACTTGGTCAAATGTAGAATTTCGATTAACTCATTACGAAATTGTGCGCCGCATATCATCAAGATCAGAATGTTAGAAGTCGATGTAAACAATTCCAAAATGCTGCCGAGAAACATCGGTAGAATATTATTACTTGACGGGCCGTAACAATTATCTGATTGCATACGAAATAGTAAACCATGGCAAGTAAAAAAATTAATTATATAGGACTGCAATGCACTCATCAGACTTAGTAAAATCTCGACTAGAATCAGCGATAAAGAACGTAGCTCTGCGCGCGAATGACTATGCTTACGAATTAATGGTTGATTAGCTATGTAATAAAGACATATGAATGATGATAAAATACATATAAATGAAGGTATAAATGTTCCGATGATAAAGCCGATGGTATAACGATTTTTTAATGATAGACGGCGATCGTAGAGAAACTGATAATACTTTTGAAATGTTTTTGCTGACAATGGAAACGAGCAATTCGCGTACGATTCAATGAAATGAAACGATTGAGCGCAAAATTGATGTTCGAGAAAGTAGTCTTTGCCTGGACGTGATTGTAACCATGGCCGAGTTAAATTATTGATTGCTGAAAGAAGATGATCCGACAGTTTATAGTCAACATCACACATCGAACGATTAGCATATTCATCTGGCCAATCAATTGACATATATGATTGAAGATAAACATATGCAACAGTCTGATGACGTGTACGATGCCAATCGGGTTTGACGTGACACATTGGATCAATACTACTATTCAACGATTCATTCGTTTCGGATGATGTTGAATAATGATGATAAATAGTAGTAGAATCGAATACTAAAAATAAAATAGAAATAGAATAACATAGAGATTGGCCCGAAAAGTCAATAACTGTAAAAGAAGCAAACAAAACGAGCTGATGCCTATCGGAATCTTCGATGCGAAAAGATAATATTGGAAACAGCGATTACCTGATATGTTACTGAAAGATTTTGGTAAACATTGCTTGTCGTATGCGTATTGTGCGTCGTCCATTAATGTATCAATAGTATTAGTTTGCTCTTTAGTGAGATCCAGTTGTTTTATACAAAATCCATCATATAGTTGCATGTATGACACGATAATCCCATAGACGAATGCAATCAACGTTAACATGAATGCACACATGCGACTCTCACGATATGATATCGACGAGAATGTTCTCACACGTTGGATAGACATGAACATGAAGATTAACATGGAAATTTGCGTGTACGTTGTGTTATACGTCAGTACGGAGAGAACTCCGTGATCGAGCATATCTTTATAACGTATCAAATCGATGAATTTCGAGAGAAATATATTAAACCAACAAGACTCGGCAGCACCAAAGATTAACATTTTTGCCACGTGTGAAATGAATAGAAGCATACAGTCAATGAAAAATAAAGCAATAAAATAAACGCTAATTGAACGTACACGAAAGCGACGACGAAGAAAAACGATTATACAAATGATATTGCCGAAAAAGCCGCATATGAATATTGGAGCAAGTACATTACATAATTTACACGGATCGATATCATCTCGAGTTAAAATCATGATCTTTTGTTAATCTAAAACAGAAGCAACAACAACAACAGAATGTTCCTTTCGATCTGCGCTAGTTTGATTATTACAACATATGTGTTATATTTCTCTAGAGATATGCGGAAAAAAATGCTGTGTTATCTTAATAACTAAATCAGTTAAGGAGAAAAAAAAACTTACAGGAACTTTTTTTTCTCGTATTTTTTCTTCTTCGTCTTTCTGTTACGAGACATTTGCTGAGTGAATGATAGATATGTAAGAAAGACTATAAATACTAAGTGACTGAAAGTAATGAAAAAAGAAAAGAAGAACTAATTTGATGGGCATAAAGCAGGTGTCTCTGGAATTATCTTTTTCTCGCAGAATATAAAATCCAGATACATGAAGAAATTGGAATTAAACCAATGAGAAGCCTCTTAGCAGACGACGAACGGATCATTCATGTCCATTCGATAACCGATGAAGAAATCAGAGAAATAATCTGAAATTACTTAACTAAGTTAATTCGAAATCATCGCATCGGAAATCTTAGATAAGAAGACATTAGTTTTCTTCTTTTCTTCTACGTCTTCGTTCGACGTTATGTACGGAAAGGATAAGTGGTGTCAAAGGAGTAGACGAACATCGGCTTCTGATTGACATTTCTGGAGTGTAGATTGTTTTTGCTGATTCTTAAACATGATAATTGCCGCAACTAACTTACGATAATGTGGCAATTTTTATCAAAGGGAGGGGAAAACACTCGAGAACAAAAGATAGAATCGATGTCAATGATACTATTTCTGTTTGTTCTTTCTATTCGTCTTAGTTTTCAACAAAGAAAATCAATGTCATTTAGACTCTAAACATGAAACTGTCCGATGTGCCTCTACATTCATTAGATACAAGAGGTTTCATCCTTCAGTATGTTAATTGGTAACCCTAGATAATCATATTTATTTGCATTTGAGTAATTATCTTACTAGTTCGCAGATGATTCCGTTTTGAACGCAGAAGAGAGAAAGAAAAAAAAGGAAAGAACTGAGAAAATTTGTTGATTATTCGTTGGAATAATATCACAAAGCGAAGAAGTTGAAACTGCTGTTGTTTTTGTTATTTAAATTGTTGTATTCAACGTGCTTCGTGGCAGCATATGAAGAAGAAAATGATTGATGAGAATCGCTTGCGGGCTAACATCGTCGCTTATTATCAGTTTATTTCCGAAGATCGTTCTATAGATATATATATATATCTTTCTAAATCAGTGAAGGCCAAACAACTGTAATTCGCATGAAAGTCATCTAGGAAATTCTACAAGCAAAAGTTGAATGCATACTAGAATGAGAATTAGTTTACGCTAAACATCACACTAATGAGAAACTATTATATATGCTATTCTTGTTCATCGTGTAGGTGGGTAGTTAATTTCATGTTATTTGATACAATTGAGAATGTTGTCGAAGAAATATGATGTGAAATCTATATATTCGAGTCAATCTCTTCTTTTTCTACTAGTTGCTCGTTATTTTTCTATTGTCGTGCGTTGTCTTCTTCTCTTTCTCTCTCTCTCGCACAATTCGATGATGAGAACGAGAAACAGATCGTTCGCTATGATAATGTCTCGTTTTGTTCTATTTCACTTCTTTTACAATCAAATCAATGGTATCGAAATAATCAAATTATCGACAAAGAACATCGAAACATTGGAAAAATAATTGACAAGACTAAACCGACTAATTCAATTCGAAAACAAAGCCTATTTTTCACTTCTCATTACACTTATGAATTCATGTAAATATTCTCCTCTTCCCTATAAAGCAAAAAGAGAAAAGCTCGAAATCCCAAACTTACTTGAAAGTATGATTTATTCTACGATAATCAGACATAAATTTATTGGTGTTTGATTTGCACGTTTATTTCATCCAATTCATGTCACTCCTACATGCAGATTTGTCTGTAAAGAACCATATTCTGATTAATTAGATTTCGACTAATAGATCCGGTAGATTTACGCGCATGGATTCGTTCTCTTCTTACTATGTTCAACGCTAAGATCGTTAAGCTACATACGTTGTACGAAGTCTGCTAATGCGAGAAAAGAAAATATTATTCTACGTCAAAGAGTTTGATTGAGTGTCGTTTAATATATATAAATAATAAAGCAAAAAATATCATGCAATATGTGAGAAATCTAACAATAAATCATTGACAAAGAGGTTTTCTTTCTTTTACTTTACCTATTTGAGAGTAATTATTTATGTTCTTACATATCTATTATATTGAAAGAAAACTATAAAAAAAAGCCCTAGCATGCTAGAAAATGATCGTAATTATCTTTTTCTTCGTCTTTTCCTTTTTCTTTTTAGTATTCTCTCACATTTCACAGTCTTCTATTCTGTTACCTTTTAAAAACTTCTCACAAGCATACTTGTGATTTGACTAAAAAAGAAATCTTTGTTCGAGTTAAATTCCACCAATTCTACAAACTATCGCATGACACATGAGAACGGATATTGACGATGACTTACTTATTGAACTAATGGCTCAATCATTTTGTCAATAACTATATCGATCATCTGATCCGTTGTCTTTCCTTCTTAGCCCGGCATCTTTGTTTGCATTTGATTCCAAAGTCATTAATCTTTTTAATTCGCTTCTGACACGGTTTTCTGACAGACGTCATTCTAATATCATATGTCGCTGGCTCGATTCTTACTGGTGAGAACATTGACGGCAACGGTAAAGGTCAATGCATTATGCATACGGCAGCGTAGGCAAATGATTATTAAGAAGTCTTGTTGTTTTAGCTTGATGCATTGCTGAAAGGTCGGCTTTTACATGTGAGAAACTAATTGATTTCGATGTTTGAATGTGTTAAAAGTCACAAAGTTCAACGATCGTTTGGATAAGCTTTTCTCTGCAGTTCGTAAAAAGTATGATGAACATCAGACACCTTTATTGTTAGTTCAAGTGAGATAATCAATTTATCAACTGTGATTTTATGCATGAAATTACTTTTTTCTCTTCTAATTGTTACAGCCAACGGGTACTCTTCATTTATCACAAAATATAGTTTAACGATGCCTTATGAATGTCCCTTGAAAACGACTTGGGAATCGTCGAAGATGTTTTGCAGTGATTCCTATTTCATATAGACCGTTCTGACTTGATTAGGACACCATAACTCAAGGAAGCTATTGAATAGCAATAAGAATTCAATTAACAAAGCAATCCAGAAGTGTTTCATTTGAAACAAATCTTAAATTAGACTATATTTCTCAAAGAACATTTCGAGCAAAAAGACCCGAACGTCTTTCTCCTTTTGACTTTCTTTAAGATTTAATGATGTACTTTAATACGAGAGTCGACTAAATTATCCAAATTAATGTCTAGCATAAATTCTAAAACTGTTAACTATTAATTATGTGAACATATGTTTTCTAATCAATCTACCTTCCGACGGTGTATGTCATACTGAGAATGAACTCAAAAAACATCGAACACAATGTAGGAGTTAGTTAAACATAATCAACAGTTGACAGATGGACTTGTTACTCTTCTCTGATCGACTCGAATCGTTGCATATTCAAATATGAAATGGAATTGGTTTGGTCATTCATGATGTCTATGTCATGGAAAGTACAACGTGAATAAGAAATGATTTTTCCAATTATCACATAGGATTAGTTTCATTCATGGAACCAACACTTATTGTTTTCTAAAGCGATTAGAATAATTCGATTTGCCAGGATTACATCTAAGCAGACAAAGAATCTTTTGTGATTTTAATCTTCCAGTACATTCATGTTGTTCCCCGAGCTTAAAGCTCGATTTTTCTTGTTTATTTTTCTAAACATCTCGTTTTAATAAATTCAAACTAAAAAAAAAGAAGAAAGTGTTGATATAAATACAATAACTTATTAGGAGAGAATATCTTCTGCTTGATGTTCGACCAATGCCGACATTTGTTTCACATCATTGGTCCATTGGTCCAGGCGTTTCTTCAATGTGCCAACTTGTCGTAAATCTAGTACACGTGGTTTCACCCAGTGCATATTCAACTTCTCATCGACCTGGTCGATACTTCCTCGGACTAAACCTAATGATAAAGCTTTCATAGCTAATAATTCGACTTGCTCGACAGGTAGTTTCGTTCTTGCCGCAACGTCGGAGAAACTCAGCGCACGTGCACCACCAGCAACGAAGATCATGTCCATCAAGCAAAGTAAGGTGATCTTGCGTTTTAAAATACCTTCTGCCATACGTAAATCTGGTTGAATTTGCCAGACAGGTTTTAATGCTTCGTATTTTTCGACGTCGCCGATGTTGAAGGCTTGCAGAAGATCGATTAACCATTGTTCACGTGTGTTTTTCAGAGCGTCAAGGACGGGATGTTGGAGAATTTCACCGAAATTATAAACATTTTCAGCTAATAATGCAGCTAGACCAAGGTTGAATGCTCTTTCAGCCTTTTCCTTTAAAACCATTACGGAAATGTCCACGCAACCTGAAAAGACCAGATGAAAAGATCAGATCGAAGTTTCGAATATAGTTTTACCAAGATATTTAAGAGCATTTTGGTAATATTCGCTATGATTTCCCATGACACGATAATAATTCGACGCTAAATCATAAAATCTCGAATGAACTGTTGTTAGATGATCGAGTTCATCGAATTTCGGTGTCAAATCTTCGATGATTTTCTTCGCTTCATTTAAATTTTTCGTCACCAAATATGCCTTGCCAATTGTGACATCACAAAGTAAAACTGCAAGTGAGTTTGCTTTGACTTTTTCGCGAATTTGTTGAATGAACAGAATGGCTTCATCGACTTGTTTGAAAGTACGCGAAATAGGAATGATAATTTCAACAAGTGCTAACTGATTGATACGATGTTCGAAATCTGACAGGAAGTTTTCATAAAAGGATCGCAATTGTTCGCCTTGTTGGAGTTCTTCTCGGTGAACGAATGCTGTCACACGTAAGGTTAGTTCATGCCAAAGACGACTTTGATAAAGAGATTCCAGTTCGAG